AGAAAATACTATAGCTAATATATTTAGCCGCCGATTAGATTATATAAAAAATATTAAACTAAAATTAATAGTTATACTTAAGGAAAGAAATAGCGCCTTAATATATACTACACCCGAGATTACTACTCTCGCGGTTATAGATATTAAGCTAATAGAACGATAAAAATAAGAGATTATTAAATTAAGATATAATGATAAGCTAGTAGGTTACCTAGGGATCGAGAAGACAATCGAACTAGTTATAAGAAACTTTACCTAGAAAGGACTACGAAAGGATATAATAGAGTATATTAAAAACTACGATATATACTATAAAGCTAAATACGTAAGATATAAACTATATAGACTACTTTAGACACTAGAAATCGCTAGTAAAGTATAGTTAACCGTTACACTCGACTTTATCGTTAAGCTATCGAAGTCTAAAGAGTCCCTTATAGATATAGAATTCGATAGTATCTTAGTTATAAACGATACTCTAACTAAGTATACGTACTTCGTACTATACAAGGAAGTATCCACGGCAGAAGAACTAGTATATATATTCTATAAAATTATTGTCGTACAATATAGAATACTAAAAGAAATACGCTTAGATCGAGACAAACTATTTACTTTATAATTTTGGCAATTACTTATAGATTTAACGGGAATACACTAAAAACTATTAATAGTATATTACTTATAGTTAGATAGATAAATAGAAAGAACCAACCAAACATTGGAACAATATCTACGATATTACGTTAATTTTTAATAGGATAATTAGATAGAGCTATTACTTATTGTATAGTTTACTTTTAACAATAGTATATCAATTACGGGAATATTATTATTCTATACAAATTACGGGAGACACCTAAATATTAACAATAACCTAAGAGGATTTAAATCAATTGTAAAGAAAGCGTAGATATTAGTTAATAGACTTAGAGAACTATATAGAATACTATAAAAACAGTTAAAGAAAATCGTAGAAAAAACAATAAAACAAGCCAATAAGAGAAGATCTAAGGGACTAGACCTTCGAGAGGGAGACTTAGTCTATATTATTAGAAAAAACATAAAAATATAACGACTATTAGATAAACTTGATTACACTAAGATTGGACCCTATAAAATTAAAAAGAAACTTAGACCAATAATATTTAAATTGGAACTATCTAGGAGAATAAATATTTACTCAGTATTCTATAAATTACTTTTTAAGAAAGCACTACTAAACATTAAACTCGGATCGGTGCTAATATATAAAGAAATCTAGGAACTACTATATAACGTTGAGAGGATAGTAGACTTCTAAACTAAAAGACAACGAAGGTACTACCTAATTAAGTAGTTAAGGTATAAAGAAGAAGAAAATACTTAGGAACCCGAGGAAAACCTTATCTAGGGACTTATAAAAAAGTACCACCAATAGAATCTAATAGGGAAGACTAGTCAACGTCCGAAGGCTTCGGCTATACGTTAGGATCGGTAAAGGCCACTTCCGCGTCTTCGGGCTAGTCCTTTAGAACTTCTAACGCCATTATTTTACGACGAAGTATCCTATAAGATTTATCCTCTAATTTAGATAGATCCTCGTTAAATTTCTTATTACTCTCTTCAAGTAAGGAGATCTCTTAATCTAGGGATAATATAGTCTACTAGGCCTCGATAAGGGCGCTATAGGCTAATACTCGCTTTTCGCGGAGACAGTTAATCTTCTAGCGCTTAGCGCGGGACTTTAGCCGCAATCGCTTCTTTTATTTAACTATCTTACGGAATTTCTCTAGAGAGAAGGAACCGTTATAGTCTACATTCTTTTTTAAACAATAGGAATACTTGATCGATAGCTCCTTCGAGAAGTAATATAGTTTACCTAAGTTGGCGTAGTTCGAATAGGCGACTATTGCGATAGATTACTCGAACTCGATAGCTAGGGTAAGGTTAAGGCGGCGTTAGGTGGAAGACTACTTCGGATGTCTACGATGGGGACGCGATATGGTTAGCTATAAGAAAGGAAGAGAGTTAGGATATATAGAACGGGGGATAGCTTACGTTTATATACATTAAGGATAACGATAGGTTCTAAGGAGGGGAAAGTATTACGAATTAGCCTACGACTAGGAAGAGGCCGTGACGCCGTACTACGTAGGACGGGGAGAGGAAAGAGTGCCGAAGAGATAGCCTCGTCCCGAGTAAGGCTGGGTTATATAATACTGATCTATTGATCTAGTGCTCTATTGGCTCTAGGAGTAGAGTAAGTAGAGCAATAGATTATATAGATTATACGACTATATATACGAGGTCGTTTTATAGCTTTACTACGTAGTCAACTTCGTTCACGATTATACCTATACATTTTGGATATCGATCAGCTTCGCTCTAGTATAGCGACTTGCTTATATACTCGTGCTCTTATAGACATACACTCTATACTTCCCACTTGCCAAGGAACCCTTGTCTCGTGACACCTTATCGTAGAGCGATTTATAATATAGACCTAACTTTTTAAGATAATTAGGATATAAAGAGAAAATTTTATATATAGTAAAAAAAATATATTAACTAATTTATTAAAGTTATTTAAGTTTAGCGGCGACTCGCTTCTTTATCTTTTATATCCTTTAGTAGTAGGCTTTAATAGAGCGTCTCTCTTAGTCGTCTTAATATATTAGTTAAGATAGTATTAGCGATAACTAAATCAGAATCAAGCAGGAGAATTAACGTCTAACGAGCCGTAGGTCCTAACGTTATCTTATTGGCGGCGCCCTTGAATGACTAGATAGCGAAAGGCGTCACTAGCCTTCACCAAGACAATGAGCTTGCAAGGGAGCATTGAGACCTTCTTTCGAGGTAGCCACTGGGGTTGTACCTCAAATGTATATAGGCACAGAGAATTTGCGATAGGGTTCAGGCAACCTTGTCTAGCGTGTGTCGGAAGGCTTCCAAGGCCCCGACGCCGCGACCAAGCAAATGCGGACGCGGCCTTCTGAAAGCTCAGAACATCGAACGGCAGTGTGCCTCATGTGTCTCGACGTAGTACGACCCGTTTTGCCTTTCCGAACAGCCGCGACACGGTATTCGAGAGCAGTCAGCTATATTACCCGTGCAGGCTATGGCTAGCAGTACGCTATCGTCTATTTTATCCTACTGATTTGAAATGTACAGCAGCAGACGACTGCTCTACACAGAATACCTCTTTCCTAAAGCTTAGGGTGCAGTAATATTCCTCCTATTTCTCCATGGAAATAATCACTATATACTATCGTACGTCCATTAAATTTAAGCCCTACCGTGACCGCGGATAATTGGCCCTACACGCGTACGCCGATAAATACCACTTTACGCAGCGGCGAACCGTAACCTCTCCAAAATCTATTTCCGTTCTCGGACCTAAGTAGGCTCGCTATTTAACGTGATCTATAACTAAACTATTCTATACAGTAGCTATATAATTCTAAGCACTAGATAATTAAGCTATAAGTATTATCTACTATCCTTAAATCTTATAAACTTTTAGTTATAAACGAGAAAATTCTTTTCTACTTTATTATAGTTTATTTTCCTTTATCTAAGATAATCGCTATTTAACTTAAAATAAATAGACTAGCTTTCTAATTTAATCGAGAATCGTTATATTTAAAGTTTTAACTAGAATATTTAATATTGAAAATACTAAGTTACTTATTATATCTTTCTAAAAAAAATTATAATAAACTTAAAGTTTACGTTAATTAGAATAATAGTTTCTAAATATAATAATTTAATTAATGAATAAACTTATTAAATATAAGGGCGTACCTTCTATCTCCGCATCTTTCAGTTTCAACAACTTGCCATTGATGGTGTCGTATCCTATGAAATTGTCCTTGTCGATCTTGTATTGACTAGACTGGGATGAGGTGCTGCTGTTGGTCCCAACGCGAGGTGAAGGGCTCCCATGTGTGAGCTGGCCATGAAGGGACTTAGCGCGAGCCATGAAGATGAGAATAAGGCCGGATTATAGTCACAGTTACAATGCGCTCTGTGCTTCAACATGAAGCGTGCCGGAAGACGAACTCGACACCTTTTAAACGTCGGGGGCAGAGCCGAGGGGGGACAACAATCTCGGGCGGCAGATCATGCCTCGTGTTGCTGCATACTATGTGGCACATTCGCGACCAGGGGAAGGAATGGCATTTGCGGCCATGGCTGACTGGTCCGTGGAGAAAGTACACGACCTATGAGTCTGCTGATAAGGCTTATATCTGGTGCCAGACAACGCCATGATGGTCGTGAACAGTTTGAGCAAGGGGCCCTGGTTGGCTGAATCACGAAGCTGAACTGAATCACCCACGACATTATTACAAAAGGCTTAGACTTTGTGTAACGTGGCTCTAGATGGTGATTGAACGTGTGCTCCATTTGTGGAGGCTGTGCACAAGCCTCCTGCACATATCACAGGGTTCTGATCTCAGCCTGACTCGACCTGTCCCTCACGACATTCTTACAACACAATCAGGCACCTACCTGTCGGTCATGAAACCTTCTTCAGACATCATATGTTAGCATTCCGATACTGACAATTTGCGCCCCTGTCCATCAACAGATACACTGTAGGTCGTTTGTGGAGGAGACAGCTGGTGGGAACAAGACCATAAATACCTCAGCCTGACGACGACCACATGCTTGTTTAGCCAGCCGCCTGCTATGCGGAGTGTGGTCACACAGCTTGTTCCCAGTCATCAGACTGGTTCCAACCGGGCCTCACCATGATCTGCGGGCCCTTGAATTGGTCCTCGTGGGCCGGTAGCCATGCGATGTTTGCGCAGTCTTTCACAATCTGCGAAAAGGCTGTCATTCAGCCACCATGAGCTGGGTCCGATGCAGCTGCCTTGTTGAGATTTGTGCAGTGTCTATCAATCTCCCTACCCTGAAAGATGCTAGGGTCTATGCTCCCCTCACGGCGTAGGGCTCTGAGGCTGAAATTTCCTCACGCGGCGATGGCACTATATTGCTGGTTCGCCCCAACAGCCATGCTGCTGGGAAATATTTGCTTCTTGCTTGACGTGCCGCTACAAAATGGAGGGTTTCAGCCGACGCACTACATCGGACAGCCGCGCCTCACTTGCTCTAGCGGATTCAGTCCCGGCAGCCGTAAGTGAGGCCTCTGAGCCAGTAGCGCCGCCAACAGGGGGCTCCCAACGGACCAGATAACTCGACCGACGACTCTGCCTGGGCGAAGAAACTCCTGCTCTCATTTGGTACGTCTGAAACTGAGCTGAGAGACATCTCATTGACCACTCGCAGACGGCGGCGGTATCAGGAGGCTTTCCAGCCTCTTTATCTTGAAAGAATTGATGGTGCAAATCCAAATGATCGAGCTCGAAGATGATGTCAACCCTGCTACGCACAGCTTCTGTCCATTGGAATATAGGCCTCCCAGAGTCAACGCTGAGCCCATTGCTAATGGGAACGGGAGGAGGAGTTTGAGTCTTCCGCTAATGCCGAGGATTAGTCCTAGTGATGAACCACAAACAGGAGTGGACCGGAATACACATATCTGCCATGCCACTACTTCGACTTCATTGCCGGCACATCGACTGGAGGGTGAGCTGCTGTACCTCTGCTGTGGGACGAACTAACAGAGCAAGGTTGATCGCCATGATGCTTGGGAGGCTTCGCATGACTGTCGGTCATTGCATCGAGGAGTATATATTGCTGGGCGCCGAAGTATTCGGCAAGCCAAGGACATTCTGCGCCAGATCTCCGCTCTACTGGAACAGAGGCAAATACCACTCTGGCAACGTCGAAAAGGTCGTCAACCACGTTGCCGAAAAGTATAATCCCTCTGTCCAGACGCCGGGATGGGCCAGAATCACCCTCAACTGTCCAGAGACACTCTGCAAAACGTAAGCCCTCCAGAAGCGAAACCTTCATTGGAAAGAAGTTTACGTCTTTAGCATGGTCTTTGCTACTCAAGAGGACGACATGCGGCCTTATATATTTCGCTCATACGATCACAAATTGAAGACGACATCGGCTTTTCACTACAACCCCGGCGGCGCTGACACGAATCCCATGTCCGTTGTGGGAAGAGCAACCTCCGCTGCTCCAGGATATTTCAATCCGTTTCCAATTGGCAACAAGACTTTTCTGGACGGCGGGCTCGTTGCGAACAATCCAACCCATTATGCATACCACGAAGTCAGGCTCCTGCAGAACAACAGACCTCCAATGTTTGTCTTGAGTATCGGGACTGGAAAAAAGAACAAGCGGTCCTTCAAAAGTCTCGAAAGGTTCTTCCCACACTGGGCTCCGTTCATTTCTCTGGAGCTGAACAATAAGATTGCCAAGTCCGAGTCGGCGCACGATCAAAAGCGGGAACAGCTAGATCAGCGGCCAACATGGGAGGCTTTCGAATACGCTAGGTTGACCGTCACCACCGACTTTGGTCTGGGATGGATGAAACTCGAGGAATGGAAGAGGAAGGCCTTGTCAAGAACACGTGCCAGGGACGCTCAACTGACAGCTCGGGAGTTCAAACACGACAGGGAGTACTCACGGGAGAAACGATCGAAACACCACGATACGGTGGAGTTTCTTGAAATCAGGACAAGGCTATACCTATCCCAGGACGGCGTCAAAAATCAATTGCAACGCCTTGCCAGATCCCTGGTGGAGACCAGGGGACAGCGGAGCAAGACATGGAAGTGGGAGCACTTTGCCACAGGAGACACCTGGCAATGTCCAATTCGCAGTGACGACGGCTGCAATGGTGACAGATTCAATACCCAGAGGGACTTGGAACGCCATCTTGCCAAGAAACATGGGGAGGGCCCGCACAGGGCCACCAGAGAATGTGTGATCCCGTATTGAATTGACCACATTTCTCCAGTCCGCTATTGATGGTATAAGCGCATGTGTATATGTCGGCAAAAGACAAATGTGTTTATGGAAGCATTTCCACTGGCAAGGCCTGAAGCGCGAGGGAAACATGGAATAGGTGAAGTTGTCATCCCTGTGAATACGCAAAAGATACAACCTTAATCCAAATTACATTGTTGAAGGAATCCTCACTCACACTCTGCGCCTATATCTTTCCGGGAAATAATGTAATCCAATGTTTAGGAACGCGACACCTGGGTCGTACACCGTGCAATGCAAGCGGTGTTTGCATCGGGTCTGCGGGCACATGCCAGAAAGAGGACCGAGGCACAGGCATTAAGACACCGACATCAATTGGTATGACTTGTGGTGGCCGTCGACGCAGGTCTTTCACTGCCCGCTCTTTATGTGGGATGATTATTGCACCTACCAGCCTGCAGCCTGTCTGCCAGGTTACACAGGAAGCAAATGCGGCTGGCTCAACATCTCCCATCTCCAATCCTCCTCCTGCGGCAGAGCCTTCCTCAATCTCTGCGTCATCGGATGTGTATGCCTATAGCCCAATTGGCCCTTGACCTGGCGTTGTCCGACGTTCCGCTCCTCGTACTTGGGCTCTTCGCCGTCCTCGAACAACTCACAAAGTGGCTTGACATTCACGTCTGTCGAAGGCGACATGAAGAAGGGCAACGAAAACCTAGGCTTGTCGATCTTGCCAAACACCCTGTGCACGGTGGCGGGCCAGCGCCCATTCGTCCACGCCTCGACGTAGTTCCCCGTGTTTACCACAAAAGTGTATAGGACGGGTGGTGCTGGGATCCAGATGCCGTTTGCATTCAGGACCTGCAGACCAGGCACATCGTTCTGCAGGAGGAGAGTGACGACGCCGAAGTCGGCATGCGGAAAGAGCAGCTCCATGGGCTCTGAGTCGGTGGCTTGGACGGGGTAATACTGCGTCGTGATATCCGCCAGGGGCGTGCGGAAGTATTGGTCCAACGCTGTCTCGGGGAGTCCCAAGGCCAGAGCAAAGATCTGGATGAGCTTCTTGGCGAAAGGGTAGACTTCGAGGTCTGCTACATGTCAGCTTACTAGTACAATGTTGTCCCACATGGACATCAAGAAGGTGCTTACAATAGTCGTAAATAGCCTTGCGGAACTCGGGTAATGTGTCGTCGGGCCATTGATTCAACGGAATACTCCCATCAGGCGCAGTGCTGATATGGTGTTGCTCAGGGTCGCTGTAGTCATTGCCCATTGAGTACGACTCGCGAAGGACTCCATTGGGACCGACTGTCTGTCGAGGTTGCCATCCTTTGGCTTCGTTGCTCTTGTTGCAGTCGATCAGCTGCTTGATCTCATCCGGTTGACCGAAGAACTTCTCGATCACATCAAAAGCGCGGTCGATGATTGCGTGTGATACAGGTGCGTTCTTTGCGTAAAAGAAGCCGACATTTCGAGCGGCATGGCCCACCTCTGCCGCTAGGCTCTGGCGGGCTTCGAGCGATCGAGATAGGAGTTCTGAGAAGTCAATGACGGGAATCTTCTCAAAGGTTTCCTTCGCGTCGGCACCTGTCAGGATCGGGCGCGATCGGTGGAAACCACCAGAATTGTAGTACACTCTGTTAGGGTCTCGTTCGCTTCCGTCCCCCATGGTCAATCTCGCTGAAGGTGCTTTTGATGGTAAGACTGGAACGAGGTTCGCTTGCGGGTAGCAGTATAACTGTGAGAGACAGTCTCCTAGACTGTTGCAAGGCGTTCAAAAGGAAGTAGTCACGACTATGTATTCGTAGGAAATGATCTGCTTCGACAGAGATCGTAGAGATAAGGAAATTGAAGCCGTGAGATGTGGAAGGGTTCCTCGTTATCTGAGCTCACAAGAACTGTCCTTCCCTATCGGTCAACTCCGAGCACGGTCGATCGAGTTCTGGACCTGCCTTCATCGAGTGGAATGCACAATATGGTGAGTCCCAAACTATGCGGCTGAAAGGGCTCTGTTATCCGTTGAGGATATTGACAATGCGCCCATCGTTGGCAGCAAGTGGTACTGTGCGATTCGGGAATCATGAGAAATGACCACCCTTCCGGCGAGAAAGACAGAGCAGCCTGAGACGGCTCTGATGCGAAGGCTAATTGCCTGACAAGGACCAGTCCTGAGGACCAAGGTGGCCAAGTAAATTGATGTCGGTCTGCGGTATCCCCAGACTTCAGAACGAGGGTGCAAATGCTTGTCAAAAGCTTGGCTCTCATGATGGCCCAGGAGAGAGAATGGCGGCTAACTCCTTGTAGCATATTCTCAGTGTGAATTTTGCTGCGGGAACCTCTGTTGCTTGGAGGATAGGAAGGATGAGGCCGGACTCAGACCCGCGTCGGCCAGGATTGCACGGTGCGCTCACCTGTTCTCTGGATTGGACTGAAGACTTGAGGACGTCTTCTCAAGACGAGCAAGGATTTCTATCAAATGATTGTAGCGCGGTTAGCACTCCAAGGGCCAAGCTTGCGGTTGCAGGGTGTGGACACGAGTAAGTGGGCCGATACGGGCCGATATAGCGATGATGGATGGCGTCCAACATTACCTACCTTCTCATCTGCCAAGAAACATACATGGACAGTTATCAGTGAAAAGTCAAGGCGTTCAAATATGCCTCAGAAGCGGTGACTGCCCACCCAACCACAGACTTTAAGAGAGCGAGGGAGGTGGTTGGGTGGAGTAGTGGTTCGCAGATATCATAGTCATGTAGGCGAGGTGTGCAAAGAGGACCGATCAAGGTCGACACCAGCAGATCCAGCAGCAACTGCTTCGAGTATATGTACAGGAAAGCTAGGCGGGTAGATAGACAGCAGGGCAAGCAAGACTTTATTTCATATCGTCGTCGTTATTGCAATCCTAATAATGAGGCCGCTGGGTGCTCAAGCCCCGAGCTCCTGTAAAATTTCGCGCAATTCGCCTAGGCTTCCTGGTCTCTCACTGTATAATGCAGCAATCAAGCTCGAGTCGATGTTTGGAAACTCCTTTTGCAGTTGTGCCTGAATGCGGTCGGCTTCGCTCTGGGGCGCGTTCGCTTCGTACTGTTGCATATGCTCAACTTGCTCTGCACGGTCCCCTTGACCCGCCAACATCTGATCCACGTCAGAATGCTGAGCACCTTGCGATGGAGCCGTTTGCTGTCGCTGTTGGTTTGGCTGAGAAGGATACTGAGACTCGGACTGAGGTTGAGAAGGGTTGGACTGGTAGTAGGATTGGGCTGCACCCTGAGATGCATTCGAGCGGAAGGGACTGCCCTGACTTTGGGCATCTTGCCAAGGGTTGTTTGAAGCCATTGTATTGTGCTGGCGCGATTGAGGTACGATTTGCTGAACGCGTCCGACTCGACCGTCGGTCAGTTTCACCTTGATCCCTCGAGGATGATTGTGACGAGTGAGGAGCTGAGAAACAGTGCCTTGAACTTGTCGGCCGGTCTTTTGGTCTGCTTTCAATATTATTGAGACTGCAAGACCTGGTCTGATCTGAGAGAATTGCGTGACGGGCATTAAATGTAGGTATGAAAGCGTGCCTGTGGGCTGAAGTTTGATAGTCGCAGGCTGCACAATTCAAGAAAGGAATGACCACGTGAATGACGTCCTGAGTGGCGGTGACTGCCGTCTGACAGTGTCAATACCGCATATATACGCATACGCACGTGACTTTTTTGTGGCGAGTTGTTGTGCTCTATTATGTCTGACAAGAACTTTTCTAGTGGCAAGGCTGCATCAGCGGACGAGGCTGCGCTAAACTCGATGAGCTCCTCTCGCCACGAAACTTGGTCGACTCGTCGACAAGCCATTGACTGCGTGTCTCGACCTTGTTTTCGTCTTACGTAGACACATTATACACTGTGTGAACGGCACCACCAGACCGTTGCGACTCTCCGCTCATATGGCATCGTGTCTATGTAAGTGTCAATGGAACCCTTCATTGTCTCACGGACTTCCCAGGTTCGGAGATGACCGTAGCTGTCAATCCTAGTAAATCGAGGTTTGCTTGACATTGACTTCCTTCCTTTGCTAGTCTGGACAGACTTCCTGTTTCTCAAGTGTATTCCACGAATGCTCCAGTGCAGTGATCCAGGGAAACATCAGCATGAAGGGAAAGGCACGAGTGTTTGTGATCGGCCCTGGCTTCATTGGGCATAACATCATTGAGATTCTCGTCGAAGAAGGATACAGTGTGCACGCCTTGACACGACGAGAGCAGCATGCAGAAGCTATCCGAAACTCCGGAGCAGCCCCAGTGATGGGTCAACTGAGTGATCTCGACCTCATTGAAGAACAGAGCTCGAAAAGCGACATCATCTTCCAGGTCGCCACTGGTGATAATTTACCTCTCGAAGAAGTTATCCTAAACGGCGTCAAGAGACGTGCCAAACAGGGCAAGGCGACAATGTACATTCATACAAGTGGCGCGAAGGTCTTTGACGATGGTGCTAGAGGAATGTTCAAGTCCGAGAGGATATACTACGACGACAAGCGCGAAGATATGGACAGTGTTCCGGACAACGCTCCACATCGAGACGTGGACCTGGCCCTGGTGCGTGCTCAAGAAGAATTGCAAGAACATCTCCGCCTGGCTATTGTCCTTCCGCCTGAAGTCTATGGATACGATTCGAAGCACGATAGGCTGTCAATGATGATTCCAAACCTCACACGGTTCGCCATCAAGCATGGCTATGCTCCTGTCATAGGAAAAGGCCTGTCCGTGGAGACGCAGGTACATGCTATGGACCTCGCCCGGGGCTATGTGGCTGTTTTGCATTTCCTGGAACATGCCAATCAGGAAGAGGTGCTAGCCAACCCTTACTGGCTTTGCGAGAACGGCGAGGAGTTCTCGTGGAAAGAAGCGGCCGAGGTCATGGGCCAAGCATTGTACAAGGCAGGGAAGATCAAGGACCCAACTCCCAAAAACCCGCCCAGAGAGCTATATTCTGAACTATGTGGCCAGAAGACAGAGAGCTACATGGGTCTTAATTGTCGAGCTAGAGCTGTGCGACTGAGAAACCTTGGCTGGCAGGCCCGCGAAAAGGGCATATGGGCGTCTTACTTGCAGGATGAGTTACCTGTCATCCTGAAGCAAGTGGACAGAAATGTGACCTAGAGAGGAATAGTATTGATTCGAGTAAATTCAGCCCTGCGAGCGTCGTCTTCCGTAACAGGGTTGGTAGAGTGCGTCCGGGTCCAACAACAAACACATAACGTTATATGTGCCTTAAGCCGGGCTAAAGCTGAAATGGTAAAAGCCGCCCTTCGGCATCCCTCGATATCACAGCCTCGGCTTACTGTAAGCTCGACAGCCCAACACCTCAACGGCGGAGGGATAATTGGAGACGAGGGGTCCCGCAAAGTGGGAGTGTTATACCCAAGGCACCTTCCATCTTAGTTGTTTGAGGCATCTTTCCCGCTTCCAGTGAGCAGCCGTTATAATTGCCTGTTCCATACTGGTAAGGATGGGCCGAGACGATGGTCCCACGACCAAGGAGCTTGACTTCGAGGCGCATATCGAACTGACGCAGATCGGACCGGTAAGCCATCCATTCATTGCTCGGACAGACGGACGACAGGGCATGCCACCTAGTACCTTCCGCACACGAGTCTGATGTCCAGAGTTAGGATACGTTCACCAACATCCACCAACCATGGCTCTTCCACATCACATTCACCGTGCCCGGCCCGCTGATGATGGCCGAGGCCGCCGCCGCCGCCTACAAAACGGTCCCGGACGACTTCATGCTAGACACCCTACAAACGCACTTCATGCTTGCCCCGGACAGCAAAAAGCCACTGGTCTACAGAGTGCAGCGTCTCAGTCAGGGGCGCCGCTTCGCCGTCCGGCTCGTGAACCTCGAGCAGGACGGAAGAATCTGTGTGACGATAACGACCAGCTTCATGAGCGGCGCCTCCTGGACCGGTCGGGCCATGACGCACTCGGAATCGATGAGGACGACGCGACGAATCCCCGACATCACGCTCGATGACTTTGAAGAGAACCGCTCGCATCTAGGACCCTTCATGAAGTTCGAGAGACTTCCGCATGTCCAGCAAGGTCAGAAACCCCCCAGATGAAACGGCCCCTCCCTGAAACCCCGTGAAGGCTTTGGGGCACGAGATGGATGATGGCTGACGGCTGCTGACTGTTGACAATGTTACTAGTAGTCCCGCCGGATGAGAGCACAACCATGGCGCCTGTTGTCGCGAAGATCGATCCTCCAATCAAGGCACCGGCGGGAACCCTCGCGCACCTGCTCGGCATGATATATCTCTCCGACTACCATGTCATGGACTGTCCATTGGCCATCCACGAGGCGGACTTTGGCTTGTTCGCTATCGGAGATCACACGAGGACGAGGACGTCTTCGGGTATGAAGATCATGACCAGTCTGAATCATACAGTCCACTTTCACGCCCATGATGGCTTCAGGGCCGACGAGCTGGTCTATGTCGAGGCGACGAGTCCGTGGGCCAAAGATGGGAGGGCGCTGATTCATTCCAAGATGTTCAGCCACAATGGCTTGCTGATTGCTACTTGCGTTCAAGAGGTCAGTATCAGGAACATCTGGCTCTATCGTGCAACTGCTTTGAAAAAGCTGCTGACCTCGCTTAACAGGCGTTCTATGTGTTTAAGGATGCTGCGAAGCTTTAGTACCTTCGTGATAAATATCAATGTGCAAAGGAATCCGAGATAGACACGGAGCCAGAAAATACAAAGAGGATGGCCTCGGCCGCAGCTCCCTCAAAACGCTCAGTTGACGCCGCAGCTCGAGGTGACCAGGCAGTAAACTTGACTAAAACAAAACACTTCCCGTCCCACCGTATGATTTCTCGGGGAGGATGCTCTCGCAAGCCAGATTCCAGAACGACTTGCCCACTCCTTCACACTCATCGCCTTCAAACCACAGGAATCTCCCGCAGATGTCTCTTACTAGACCCCATGCGCTAGGTTTGTGTTTTACGTCCGCCTTTGTGGTCATCTTCACGAACCGCGACGTCAACGTAATGCCTCCCTGATCTGCTTCCGTGGACGGTGTTGAACCCGGATCCTCATCTCCATCATGGTGGCCTAGCATGCCGCCAAGAAGAGAGCTCCAGAGGAGTAAACCAGACCATTCGTCCCAGAGGTCGAGTTGACTGCAATCATCGAGAGCGGTCAATAATCTCGTTGCGACCTTGATGTGACTCCCCGAGAAAACTGGTATGGGGAAGAGGACAAGTAGCATATATGCCAGAACGCTGTAGCGAATCGCTTCGTAGATGGCCGTTTCTGGGTCGAGAGGCACGTTCATGGCGGCGGGTGGGAGTGAAAGGAGATCATGTGAAATGCTATTCCGGGCCCAAACAATGTGTGCCAATGAAGGTGCCTGTGGATGACGATCAGTGTACATTGAGAAACCGATCGTTATTGTGCGTATGGTCTGAATCATGGAGAACAGGGACGACGAAGTGAAGGTACTGTGCAGGGAGTCGAAGCCCTTGCATAAATCATTACGAACTGCTGAAAGTGGTGCTATAGGATGAGGCCAGCTAGACATGACAAGGCTGGTAGGCGTGAGAAGTGGGAAGGACGGTTTGGAGAGATGGCTGAATGAGATGAAGATGCCGCTCCTAGACAACGATCAGTATACCTGAGACGATAAAAGAAAGCGGCGTACAATTCTAGGGCGTTTGCTAAACCAGGTATCTTCACCGCATGGAGGCCGCCTTTTCGTTCGATGAGTGGTGCGATGGCGTGGTAGTGCGCCAGCTCCCACCTGATAGTCCCGTAATAATCAAAGTTCTGCGCAGTGGCTAGAAGGCTTTTTGGCGCCTTTCCAGGCGGTTCTAGTTGCTCACCATTTCCATGGGCTGCCAGGGTGATCATGGACAGGAGCAAGTCGTCCGAAGGCTCGCCCTTCAGGGCTTTGATCTCCTCATTGACAGCTTTGATGGCTTGAAACTTGTATGATAGCCTCAGCATCTTGTTCTCTCTCGGAACGTCCATACCGGTGTGAGCGTACGCGTTGTGTGTGGCCCCCGCAAAGATTATAGTATAGAATGATGCTGGACTGACCATGGCAGATGAGAAGACAGCGTGTTTGATGTTGGCCACCGAGGCATTAGTTTTGGAGGTGGAGAATACGGGCCATTGATAGGAGGCTGCGTGATCTAGCATCTCCAGAACATAGTGAGGCTGATCTCCGGGGACGGCAACATTGAATGGATCCAGCTGGCCCGCGCCCAAGTCCAATATGGCGAGCGAAGATTTGTTGTTTTCCTCGTCGTCACTGGCAGAAGTATTGCTGCGGGGTAACAAGGGACGACGCGAAGATGATTGCAATTGTCGAATATGTCTGCTGCTCTTGCCTTTCGGCAGCTGTGTTGGCGCGTCTGGTCGGGCGAGTCTTTGGAATTTCACCCTCCTGTGGTACTCCAGAGCAGCATGCTTGTGCTGGGTGATGCCAGGCTCCTCGACAAATGATGTTGAACCTGAAGATGACGGTTTGTAAGCAACAAAAAGAACATTCGTACACGGTATCGGTGCCATTTGGGTCGCCCTTCTCAAATGGTGGGAAAAGAACAGACCGAACACGAAAGGTACTTGTTAGGCGATCCTCAGAAGCCGGTCCGTCATGGCGCATGACAAGAATATTGACTCGACGACATAAAAATGAAGCAGGACAATATCAAAAAGCCACGAGATACGACAGAAGATAAATGGCAACACCTTACGTTACGTTGAGTAGACTCGATTTGGCAGTGCCAACCTGCTGCCGTGGCCACACGATGGCTTATGCATCTTTGCCGCGAAGATTCCTGGGGTGTGGGAGGCACAGATGTCGGCAATGGCTGACAAAGTAAGAAGCTGAGAAGCGGTATGGTGCAGAAAAGGAGATGAATATGATTCGGTGAGATTTGAGGTTCGCATGCCGTTGGGCTGAAGGTGCGCAGTCTGGCCAAGACCAATAGCATGTCGTCTGCTGCCACAGGCATTGACTAAGCCATGCATCTTCTTGAATGGCTTCATCATCCTGGTCGTGCCCTGTCCATCTCGTAAGGTGCGCGAACCTTTCTGCTTTGGCTAATACTATCGTCACTTTCCTCAACGCTTGGTGATCAGATCAGTTAGTATTCTTCACTCTCCCGGAGGAACGGTAGGCGTCAGAGCAATTGTCACCTAGCTACTTTCGCTACACCCCCCGGTTTCCCTTCCATCCTACTACGACCGCCATCATGTCCAAAACAGTCCACATCGAGTCCACTGCGCAGTTTTCTGCCCTCCTTTCCTCCTCCACTATCGTTGTCGCCGATTTCTATGCCGACTGGTGCGGCCCTTGTCGCCAGATTGCGCCCATCTACGAACAACTGTCTGCCCAGTTGTCGCGACCAAACAAGATCACCTTCGCGAAGGTTAACACCGATCAGCAGGTAGACCTTGCTAGGTCCTATGGCGTCAAGGCAATGCCCACGTTCATGATCTTCAAGAATGCGCGACGGATCGAGTTCATCGAGGGTGCAGACCCGAAAAGACTGTCGGAGGTGGTGAAGAACCTAGCAAACGAGGCAAACAAGATGGAAACAGAAGAAGCTGGCGAAAGTTCAAGTGGCGGTACATGGGTTGGCGCAGAACTACCTCGAGGATACGTGGATATCACTGACCAGGTCGACTTCCTGGGCCTGGAGTTGCTGAATTGGGATTCGTCTCACGGAAATGCCAGAAAATTGATCAGCGGCGACAAGCCACGAGGTGAGTGCTTGTCTCTTGGGAAGTCTGAGATCAGACACTGACAGGTCTAGGTACACCAGAAGCCAAAGTGGACTTTGTGCAAAGCGACTCGGACGAGCAATTGATGATCTACATCCCCTTCCAATCTACCGTCAAGATCCACTCAATACACCTCACTTCCCTCCCAGACAACACTGACGACGACGAGTCCCCAAGCAGACCGAAGCTCATCAAACTCTTCACCAACAAACCTCACATCCTCGGTTTTGACGAAGCTGACGGCGCACCAGCAACACAGGAAGTCACATTGTCAGAAAATGACTGGAATTCTAAGACAGGCACTGCGAAAATCGATCTCCGGATCGTCAAATTCCAGAATGTTTCCAGCTTGGTGATGTTCGTTGTAGAGAGCGAGGGAGACAACGAAAAGGTCAGATTGGACCGGATAAGGATCATTGGCGAGACCGGAGAGAAGAGAGGTGGCAAGATCGAGAAGATCGCATCCGATGACTGATTGCTCAATACTGGAGACATGACCATGAGATATGAGAGATGATTGCATTCAGAACAAGAGAGAAGACAAAAGCCATAGATTAGGGGATACAGTTGATACGAAAAGTCCAAAGAGATAGCCTGCTGCTCTAGCAATCATGGGCTTGATATCCATCATGCTCGCCAGATGAAGCCAAAAGTTCCGACCCTTGCGCGAATACAAGCATTCTCTCCCCCGACACTTTCACCGTGGAGATTGCACACATTCAAGTCATGTTCCGTAAGAAAATCTGTCCGACCCCACGCGTTTACAAGCGCAGAAACACTCGACGAGCCGGAATTCCAGCCTCGGTAAACTGGTGCTCTCGCCGAGGAGATCGGTTGCAATTGTTTTGCTCTGTGCTGCCACTGACACTTGGACTCGCTATTGAGGATTTGAAAGTCGGCCAAGCAACACAGGGGTAATAAATTGGTGGCAGCGCCGCACGAAGAAAGAGAAAAGAGAAAGTGAGAATTGTTGTTGGAAATAGAAAAATTGTCGGCGCCAGGCACAGATGGCGGTAAGCCTATTTCGGAATGGCTTGCTTTTGAGGCTTGGCGATATCGAAAATTTTGGACGACAAGCCATAAAGTTGCCTGCTTGGTTCGATTTTAAAAAGATCACATAAATGAGGCTTGTGATGAACTACAACAATAATAACGATAGGAAGAGAATGATTGCTGGCTTTTCTCATTCCGGCTGACCGGGATGCAGGAAACAGTATGATCTCAAATTTTGACGAAGATTCTGAAGCCAACTATTTTTTCCATCTCATATTGTTCACTTACTCCTCCATGCTATGGTGGCAGTCCATGCCTTTTCAAAGAATTCTGAAATATTCTGCCCGGGTCTTGTGGGCAGAGGTGTGTTGGCTCTGGGAATTCCCATATAACTCAACCCTTATCAGCGGGGCGAGATGCTACGGCTGCTCGATGAGAATTGTTCAATGCACAACTCAGTCTACTTGACCCCTTCTTTCCCCTTAGATTTCAGCGGCATCTCAACCGGGGCCACGTCAAGAACATTGTCCCAAGCTCCTTTCCGGTAGGCAATGCTGGAGATATTGGCAATCGATATCCCAAATAGGTATGATCTTCCAGTCCGATTGGCATCATTTGGCCATGCAGCGACTTCTTGTTTACATGTTCGTGACCGCGCGGAAACATATTGAATGAGGTCGCACTTGGCCACAAAACCTCATCACACATCCCGAGCGATTGCGAGAATAGAGAACCAGGCGAACTGGGTTCTGAAGAAAAAAAGCCGCGGTCAAGTTCATTACCTCCACCACTGTCCAACAATAAATGACCTTGTTTGAGAAGAAGATTCAAAAGTCTGGTACTTAAGAGGAACGCATGTTGGAAGGAGTGAAGACAGGTAGGCCATCTCACTCGACGTTGATCCAGAATCCCGTGACTATGAATTCGCTGTTCCAATTTTCAAAGGTGAAGTACCCTGAGCAGTGTTCTCGCCAACAAGTAGATGGCAGTGTCTTCACAGTAGGATTCACATTCGCCTACCAAATTAGCATATGCTGCATATAACAACGTTGACTTGGGGCTCGGTGCCATGACTGGCACAAACTGTGACGAGATCAACCTGATACACCCATTTTCATAGAGCGCCTGTGCTTGGTCAGTGCACTCAACATCGATTGCCTCCTAGACTTAGTAAGGCGTTACGATCAGGGAGGAACGTGCACGCTGGCACGGACCGCCACCCTCGCGGCTGCCTTCGTGTTGCTGGTGGCTCGTGTGATCCTAAAGCAGACCACACATGACCTCATCGGCAGACCTGACTGGCATCCGCTTTCCCTCCGTACACTGTCTGAAGAATTGTCGACACCCATGTTGATATCGACGCTTAGGTAAGAATTAGTGCAATCCGGGCAGATAGCTGTACAACTCCGTTGACGCTGAATCGGCATTCCAGCGTATCAGCCTCCAACATCTCTGGAAACCATCGCCTGACTGTTGAGGTTCCTCGGTCGGGCAAGTGGAAAAGTCATACCGAGCTTTCAGACTTTGACAGGTATTGGAGGGTCGTGGGTCGCCCTCGGCCTCGGGGTCAGGTCCAAGATGATGACGAGAGATCGTCAACATCTCGTCTGGAATCAACTCGAAAGGATTGGCTGGCCCCGCGCCAGTGCAGACCTTTCGACGCGGAATGCGTGGATTGCAGGCAGAGTTCCTACCTGGACTCGTACGAGCTGTACTTGGTGAGTGAGGATTGCATCTCGCACTACTTCTCCAACGACGGACTTGTGCCGTAGATGCTGCCTGACAAATTTCTGGCCTTGCAACAGATGAGGCAGCCCAATCGAGAGGGTTGCTGGTATCACCGAGCTCTGACCCCGATCCGTAACTGGACCTCAAGTTGTCGAGAATCGGCCATACCTTAGCTCGTCCTGAAACACAAAGTCTGGTGGAGCTGCGCGGCCGATCGACTGAGGTGATTTGCATTGAAAAAGGCCAACCAGCAGAGTCGGAGGATGAGCATGAGCCTCAAATCATTACACACTCGGCGATTCTATGATGGATTTGGCTCCTGGAAGCTACGGCCAAATCCACAAGCGCAAGAGAAGTATGCCGATAGCGGCTCAGAGGTACGTAAAGATCGTCGGTTAGTGAAGAAAAGCTTCCCACATCTGCCGAACGTCTGCACCTCGGACATATCCAGGACGATTTGAGGACGATTTCAATTTGAGCGAATGCCAAATGCAAGTTGATGCATCAGTGAGTTTGTTTCTTGGGCTAACGGTCCTTGGGCATGCGGTACAGTATTGCTTGATGCCAGAGACCATGAGGAAGACACATCAAGCACAAATTGGTTACGTACCTGGAAAGACAATTGCTGCAACTGCCAACATGTATTCCCAGACTTGAGAAGCCTCCCTCGCCAATAGTGGTCGAAGCGACGAGCAGCGCCTAGAATACGTGCAGGCCACTATGCACGGAACCTGGAGGGACTGCCAGGATCGGAAGAAGTTGAGGACAATACTGTCGACTAGGGTAGCAGTGAGCAGCTAACGCGGCCGCCATACCTCATCCTCGCTGCCAGACACGATAAGCAGATAGAAAGAGTGGACACCAATTTCCCCGGAAGCGCTACTGCTTCCCTCCGCAGGAAATCTCTGCCTGGTTCCGCCATCCACGATCAAGAGCGAAATCCATCCCACCAAAAAAAGGAATCAACCCTTGAGGGCATGCTGCTTAGTTTGGTTGGGTGCGGCCTCCCGTCTTCTGGCTTCGAACACTTAGAGGTTCTAGAGGGACTTCTAAGCCACCACTTCCGAGCTAAGATGGCTAATCGAAGTTGGAGCCATGATTAGGAAGGTGGTAGCACCAGAACTGCAACCAGCAACAGGAAATGAGACGATGCTCAACCATCAGTCTGAAGGTTGCAGTCGCAAAATTGGTGGCCAATGAAACCAGCGTGCAGTTGGAAAAGCAGCGTTTCGTGATGAGCACATGGCATGCCGTATCGCCTCGAAATATGAAACACAAGCTGCAGTTCTCGGCGAAGGCGAAAGAAAAAAATGGACCAGAAAGAGCATTGGTACCTGCATTAAACTCGCGAGTTTAACTGGGTCGCACAGTCGATCGATGCCCTTTGGCGGCATACATCTTCGAGCAAAGGTCGCATAAAGACGGGCAGTGGTTCCTGCATTAGGGTCCTGCTCGGGTGGAAGGTAGGCTTGTGGTGGGGCTTCACGGTGCTTTTGGCAGTGTTCCCAAAAGTCTTTGGGTGAAGCTGGCTGGGATGTCGCCACGCTCCTCTCATTACCCAGGCCCCAAGGGTCCTGGGAAAATCGAATCAGCAACGGCCTTCTGGAAACACCCTACTCTCGTTTGACCCAAGTGCTGGCTCTGGAGGGCGGGAGAACTAGTTGGAGGATCCGCGGCGAAAAACGGACGGTGCCTCAAGTATGGGGCTGGGGCCGTCGGGTTGAGGCAGGGGTACTGTGCTTGAGTTCTCCCAAGTGGACCAGCGGGACACGGATAGAATGGACCTTAGCCTCCAGGGACGCACTGGTGATGCTCGGGTACCTGAGAGCACTGTGCAAAAGTGGGATCTACTGAAGGGTTCCCTGATGCCCCGACTCGCATGGTGTCATCTCGCCAACCAAAGTGCCCTGGCTGCCTCACACCACTATCTCTATTGTGTCAAGGACAGTGCTGCTTTTTCAATACTGCCGTGCTCGTGGCGAACAACGCTCTCTCGGTGACCGCTGCTGATTAGGAAAGTTGGCAAACAGATTAGCAAATCCACACGCAAACCAACAGTGACCAGTCTGTATCTAGCAGCGTCACCTCGCTAAAGCGAACGCAGCTCGTGAACTCATGCACCTAAACAATACTGCATCGTGGAGCGAAAGTATGAGCAAGTGCATAAACTTTTGAGCACTACGGGATACGAAGTAAGCCTCAAAATAATGGCAGGCTCGCTACGAATTCGGACGCACTGCATAGTGGCAGAGAGGCTCCCGTCACTCAAACTTCAGTAGCCATCCACCATCCACAGTGGTCGGGGGAAGTGACCTGATGTGCCTGATCAAAGAGATGCCTATCGATAGGTGCCCGGGCGAAGATGCTTAGGTCACCCCACCACCCAACGAATCCCAGGGTTTTCCACGCTGTTTAAAGCGAATGTGTCTCGGGGTTGCGAACCCATGAAAAACCCACAGGCTTGACGGCCTCAAAGACTGGCGGGTCGATGACTCAATTGATGCTACCGAAGACGGACGAACTACGAACCGGAAAGAAATACTATGAGGTGACTTGTTGGATGATAATAATTCTGGCCAACTTTTTGAGACTTCTTGACCCGCTCTTGCAGGTCAGCGTGGTCAGCGTAACCGATCGAACCTACAAGAATCCAACAGTAGGGTTTCTGGACCCTGTTGGGACAAGATGAAACACCCGGCCACTTTCTGATGCGCACAGTCATGGCGGGGAAAGGCGATGTGTTATGCTCGAGAGGCGAAAATTCTGGTATCTTGGGATTTTGTTCTGCACCTTCGCTCGACCTAGGCTGCTGGAGGCGAGTAATGGCCTATGACATGGGACACCCAAGATGTCTGATGCCTGCATGTGCTTTTCAAGACGTGCAAGCCTAGTTGAAGATGCAGCTTCTTTGCTCCTTGGCCCACCACACACGAAAGGTAAGGATCGCGATGACAGAGAGACCCCAAGCACGCAAGAGCAAACAGTCTGTTTTGGTGTCGCGTCAAGACTCTTAGAACGCGAAAAAGCGAAAGACACTCCGTACTGGCTGGACACCTGGACAGTTCCAAGCTCTTTCTGACGCGGACCAGCCTCTCATGACTTGCCACTGGCCAGGCTCTAGCTGTACCTGCATATGTAGGAACGGCAGTGGCTCTGGAGAGTCTGAGACACGCACGCCCGTCTGCACGACCTTCAAACTTCAGCACGTTCACAATTTTGGCCTGGGAGCCCGTGAGAGCCGATAATTCTTGCCACGTCTTCCGAAACCCGATGCTCTTCCCGTCACCTCTACAGACCAGCAGGCGATGGATGGTGCCGTCACTGTCAGTCTGATATGCAATGACATTTGCTCCTCCAGTGCTCCTTCTGCCGGGGCCAATCTAGACACGAATCCTTCGCGCTGCTGATCCCTGTAACGAGCAACATTCGATCTCAACGTGAACCAATATTCGGGCTCAGCGTTTACGAAATAATATCACTGCACCTCCATCAAGAAAATAAGTCACAGCTGACATACTGAGTATTGGTAGGTAGGATGGACTGAGAAGACGCCATGGCTACTATGCCCAGGTCCGAGAATAGGTCTTACAGCGATTCGCTCTACGGCCCGAGGGGATGGCTTATCACCAGCTGCGCTCAGACGTCACGCTCCTGATTGGCGTCGAGATCCCAGCGACTCGCCCAGTCATTGACCGCGCGTGAATGGAGCATCACAGGACTTTCGATGTGCACACGCCAAACACCAGCTTGGGCACTGATTCGAGTACTTTTCCTGCCTCTTCGCGGGCAATGTAACCTATCAACGATCAAAGTATGGTTTGCCATCCATCGTCGAGCTGACTAGAGTTGGCCATGCACGTCGTTCAACGAGTGATGGCGCGCAAGTCACAAAAGCACTATGCATCTTTCTACGGTTGATTGGGAAAGAATTGACCTACCAACTGTATACTTTCTGGCATCCTTTGGTCAACCAAGGAGACGTCTCTGGGCCAAGGCTGCTATACTCGTACCATATCTATATCGTATCAACCAGTCACCCATTGGAACTCAAGCGCTCTTCTGTTGTGATGTGTTTACTCTGTTTGACCAATGATGGTACCTGAGCCGTCAAATAGGTCGATCCGCTCACGTTCACAGGATTTTCCACATCTGGGATGGAGGTACGGATATCGTCGTTGTTGCTCTTGGGGCGAGGTCGACTCATGGTGCGTCATCGGCATCCGTGACAGTTGGGAGGGTGTGTCGAGCATGTCTGTGCAATTTCCCATGCATATCAGTGCTGCGTGACAGGCCTCTGCAGCGTCACTCAGCACAAGCCCAGAAGTGCCAGGCACAGCAGGCGGCGACCTGGACAGGCACGCTGCTCTAAGAGGAGCGGCTGGACAGGGGTGGATCAGCGTTAGTGGGTTGACTCGGTGGGTGATAGTCTTTGAGACGGACTGGGGGGGTGGTGAGACCGCGAGCTCCACCCTCCTTCAGTGACTTTGCATGGGTCGCGACGACGGTCCCGAATGCAGCGCCCGTTCCTGCAACCACCTACCATGCCGTATCGAGAGGTGGCCCAAGTCACTGGTCGACGACCGGCCTTTCAGACCCTCAGGGCATCTAGCGATCTTCTCTTATGGCTCGTCCTTGCACCCAGCTCTTATCCTCTTCTTTCGTTTCTCATATCGAGGCAGTCGCTCTTTCTTCCCCGCGATCTACACTTTCTTTTACTTTGTTATAACTCTCGTTGTGACCAGGCTCTTCCCGGGTTCTTGTTCAATCATCTGTACAACATCATACTGTACCATTGAACGAACAAGCATCCAGTCCTTCCTTTCAAGCCTGTGCCAACATTGTATCATAACATAATCCCTTTCTACCTACCTACCTACGTCGAGGACAGCATCGCTCTCTTGTGTGTTTTGACGGCTACCAGCATATCATATCTGCAATCTATATGTACAGCTAGACACCAGCGAAAACTCCTGAGACGACCCTGCCAATCATTGGACCAACATTTTCATTTGTACCGACTTTGTACCACAACCAAGCCGACTTGGTGATATCGACCACTCTTTGGGAACAGAGCCCAGAAGAAAGTTCAGAGGCCAGCACAAGAGACACCAGTCATCAGACATGGAAACCCCATACCCAATGGCTGCTCAGCAGATTCAATTCTACCAGTACCGGCCAGACTCGGACGCACGGCATAACGCTGTGTTCACGCCTATGCCGAGCGAGCAACCGGTCTTCAGCCCCATGGCTGGATACCCTCCTCCGTTCATGGCACCTCAATACTGGCAAGCGCCTCCTCACTTCACGCACGCCCATATCATGCCACAGCAGATGATCCATCCTCCCAGGCCATCACCGCCTCTGACGCTGGCCATGCCTATGCCCAAGTTTATGCTGGAGAGCCATGGCCGCATGGAGCATGGAAGGTATTTGGAGAGCAGGCACTCTTCACCTCCCACTCCATGCTTGTCAGCCTGCCCCAGCACGGCCAGCAGCCCACCAGCCAGCAGTGTCAACCAGACGCCGGTGCACGGCCCTGGCTACTTCAACCTTCCCATCGAGGCCTCCAAGGAGGAGTATCACCCTCTGCAGTATGTGGACGAGTGGTCGGAGAACGGACGTGAGTACTGTCCGACATGAAGCGCGAGTGAATGTTTGAAATTTGAAACGAATGCTGACACTGGAGTGATCTTGACAGAAGTGCACATTTTCCCGCATCCCGGTGATGCCAAGCTCCTGCCCAGCAACTCCTTCCCCAGTGGCTGCACTTCGCCATCTCTTACCCCTGCCACTCCTCAATCTCAGGTCTCGCCTACAAGTGCATATCCTGTCGCCGAATTTGTCAACCTGCGAGAATTGACCTCTACCTCATTCGAGCCCGTCCTGTCGGCGCCCGTCCAGAGCTTTCCTCCTTTGCCTACTTTGTCCGCCGAAGACGACGAACACAAGTTTGCCTTGGCCCACACTTCGTTTCCCGTGACGCCTGAGCACGATTCGGCCGATCCATTCACACTGTCCGAGAACCCCACCTTCGAGTCTTCGTTCTGCTCTGAACTCGACTCCGAAGACGATTTCGGCTTTGTGAACTTCACCGACGCTGAGATCATCTACAGCGGAGACAAGAGACAGAAGTTGTCTGTGAACGAAGAGGAGGACTTCCTGAGCGTACACAGCTTCGGCAGCTTTGATGAGGACGCCCACGTCGGCTTGCCATCTCCTCCTGCGTCCTCATTCTCCGACTCGGGTTCCTGCTGCGCCAGCACGAAGAAGACTCATCGCAGCATGAAGCGCAACAACTCGACCGACAGTGACTTCACTTTCCATCAAATGGCCGACTCGGATGCCCCCATGAACAACGAGGGTGAGGGTCAATCCTCCTCGACTGCCTCTCATGGGCAACCTAGCTCTGCCGATGACAACGCAGCCTCAGTGAACGCAGATGGCTCGTCGCAACACACCTCAACCAACCGCCGCGGACGCAAGCAATCCTTGACCGAAGATCCCTCCAAGACTTTTGTCTGCACACTCTGCTCCCGTCGGTTCCGTCGTCAGGAGCACCTCAAGCGTCACTACCGCTCTCTCCACACTCAAGACAAGCCATTCGAGTGCAACGAGTGTGGCAAGAAGTTCTCTCGCTCCGACAACCTTGCTCAACATGCCCGCACCCACGGCAGCGGTGCCATCGTCATGGGCGTCCTCGAGAACGGCGAGCTTCAACCTCATCAACCTTACGATGAAGAGATGGGCCACGTGCTCTTTGAGGCTGCTCAACGAGCCGCTCTTGCCACTTCGTCCAGCAGCAGCGGCTCTGAGTCTTCGTCGTCTGGGGAAAGCAAGCGTGCCATGAAAAAGCGAAAGCGAGACGAATCCCTGTAAATAACAGATTTGATATTGACGAACCCCACAAGATCATGACAACAAAACCCAAAATCACCAGCGAAACCACGACGACGAAATGATCATTATGATGTTTACCAAGACCGATTGAATCTTCTTTTGCAGGGACCACCTCGCTTTCACACGAAGATGGAGTCAAAGCAAGACGGCACAGCGTAGGAGCTCAAGACTGTATGCGTATCCCGGGGAAAAGTGCATTAGAACCTTTGTAAACCACCCTTCGACCAACCTGTATTCTACGACCTTTTATTATGGCAGGGCTGTTGTGAGCAAAGTGGGACAGAGAGTATTGCTGGTTGAGACTGCACAGAGGAGAGGCGAGGGATTCGAGAGCAATGACTTTTTCCTTCCAAGCTCTTTTTCTTTCTCTTTTACAACTTTTATTTCTCGTCAAGATGGGCTTCGAGTTCTGGCTGTGGTGAGAGAGGATCGAAGGGGAGATTTCTCAGCAGGATTGCTACTACAGCACATTGCAAGCCATTGCTTTGTATGTAAAACCCCCAACTGTACTATTAGAATCGATATGATTTTGCATTCTATCTATCCTGTCTCTTTGCGTTTGACTCCGACTCACAACTACGTATAATAGTATAATCGTATAATCCAAAGTACGCAAGTACGCGTATCACATCCCGTCTGCCCGTCCTATCGTGGTCTTGTCGATAGGAGCATTTTAATCGATACAAGATAACTCAAAAGTGCAGATCATGCGATAACAACTTGACCCCTACTACGTAGACACGGGTAGGCGTAGTGGGGATTTCGCGCTATTGGTGAAAAAGTCTGGAAAAGAAAAGACTGGAAAGCCTGGAAGTCGCTACGATGTAGGGAAATTGCAATGTGCCATCAGTGCCATAATGGAGCGGCGACATGGGCGAATAAAGAGTGCACAAGGAAGCACGCGAGAGACAAGATGAAACGAGGCTAAAAGTACCCGTAGGTAAAAAAAAATAATGCGGCCCCCGAAAGAGAAAGACAAAGGAGAAAAAAGGAAAAAGGACAAAAAGGACAAAAAGGACAAAAAGGACACACCGTGACTTGTTACGCGAGGCACGCGCGAAACGCGTCGAGGCGGCGGAGGGGAAGGAACTGAAACACTGAGACATCGCTGCATGGCGCTCGACGGGCATGAAGCCTGGACCTCGTACTGTAGACTCCAGCGGTTACTGACTACGTACCTCATAGTACCTTGCTAGGCTCGGTAAGTTAGGGAAGTTCAGGGGTCGAATGCCAGAAAATACCTACTACATAGTACGTACGCTCCAGAGGACTGCACGCGCCGTACAGGACGGCTATTGTGACTGTGCGTACCTACGGGTGCCTAGGTAGGTATGCAGTGCAGCAGTAGTCCGTACAGAGCAGGGGTTGGCTTGCTTTTGTTTGTGCAATGGGCTGAGGCTGAGCGCAACCTACACGCCATATGCCCGCCACTGGAAGGCCCTGCATGCCGACGCGTACGAGTACTGGGTGCGTACACTACCTACGGGCAAAAAGGAGGCACGAGGAAGTCAATTGATGATGACACGATGCAAGACGAGAACGAGAACAACACCTAGGTAAGAGTTGGGAGGCTTGCCACAAGTAAGTATGTCAGTCAGTCAGTCTTATTGGGCTTTTCTCGCAGAGAAAAGGTGCAGTGTCTCTCTGTCTCTCCATCTCTCAAGCGGCTTGAGCTGGTTCGGGACATTATGGGAATCACTTTGGTTAAGACCTGGGCGAGGCTGGTTCGGTCACGCTGAAAACGTGACAAGCTGTTGGTGTTGATACTCCGTGCCATACCTAAAGGTATGTATGCCGCACTCGTCACTTCAGCGACGGATAACTGGTTGTGACTGCGCTACTAGGTATCTATTCCCTGGGAAAGACAAACAGGGTTCCTTCGGTGGTTCCGGGAAAACGCTTCCAAGGCAAGCAAGCAGGCAAGCAAGGATTTACTCGATCTATGATGCTTTATCCAGGAGAAGTCACAGCACGCTTGTTTCTGCCGAGGCCTTCTTCTTCGCTTCGCGCCATTGTTATTGTCTTTTGTTTACCGAAACAGTGAAAAAACCCTGCTTCTCCATACTAGGTGCACGCGTTTTTTCTTGGTTGATTTTCGCTAAAAAGAGTCCAGGTTGTGGAGGGCGCGGGACGTCATGGGTTGTGGTGGGCTGACAGCATGCCCCCAGTCAAGGCAGGCTTTTGACATGATCCCTCAAATCTGCGAGTGACGGGCTGTGGAGAGCCGGCTACACAGCTCGACAGCACTGTAGAGGCAAACGCATGGGCTCCGGTTCTGTACAGTAGCAGCGTGGCATGGTCAGGGCTCTGGAGGGTCGGCTGGCTGGGCTTGGAGCATCGGGGCAGAGCGCAGGGTGTCTAGCCAGAAAAGCAGACGGCTATCACAGTCTGCCCCCGGGAGATATCAAGAATTGCACGTCGTCCGACACCAAGATCTCGTGGAGCATGCCAACAACTACCTACAATGGTTTTCGGAGGCCGTGGGTCGTTGCCCGCTGGACCGCTGGACAGATTGACCTCCGGCAAAGGAATGCCGGAATCTGCAAGACTAACTGTACTCTCTGGTCTACTCGAGCCCATGACCGAGAACCAGATCGATGTCGTCTCATGGTGTTTGTTGGTCATGTCTCTTGCCATCTAGACGTGCCTGGTTCAAAGCGGCGGGCCCTGTACGCGCACTGGAAGCTGGCAGCTGCTGGCAGCTGCTGGCAGCTCCCACTACAGAATGACGTTCGTTTTAATTACAGTGCGAGGTTGAGCAACGAAGAGGCACTAAAACCCCACTGGAGGCCACGACCCAGCTCGCCTATCTTTCTTAGTCGATAAGATCCCTCCCGTCATCCACAATGGCGCAACCTGTCAAAAGATAGGCTTGTAAACACCACGCGTTGACCGACGTGTCTGAACTTTGAAGACTTCAATTGTGGACCAGAACCGCTAAGTCCCCACACAAACCCGGATGTGCCTTTGCCTAGTCGCGTTCCTGTGCGGTTGTAGGTCGTATGAGGCAAAGGGTCTTTCGAGACTTCTTCGGATGTCTGTGCCTTGCGGAAGCGACAAGTGGAGCGGAGCATCCACCAGCAAGTGCTTCGGGTCTCTGACGATGGCTGGATTTTATCTCTTGACAACATGTCAGAGATTGTCTGGCTGGCTGGCTGGCTGGCTGGCTGGCTGGCAAGAAATTCCACGCTAGACTCATCGCGACAACGTCGAGTCAATGCGCATGGCCATGGCTATAGCGAGAGGCTGACATGGCGCGGAGTGGTTGTTGAAAGCCATGACGTTTGGACCGGCTTCCTCAGAATGTTCAGAACTCTCGCTGCTTTGCCTTGCCTCGGATTCATCATCGATCGAGACGGAAAAGTCGGACTGCCCGTACACCGACTTGCATGGGATGACTGTCAAACTGTTAAAGAGGCCCTGTCTGGAGAGCTCGGGCCATTGCGTCTGTCCATTGGCGGACAAAAACGCCGTGCCGTGGACGAGCTCGAACGACGGTTTTGCTGGTGGCCAGGCACTATGCTCCGAGACTCTGATCTGGGAGAGGTAAGCCTGCAGATCACCCTGGAAGTCATGGACAGCTTCGACCACGCCCATCACGGCAGCTAGGTGGACGAAGACCGTTACCAGATGGATGGTTGTTTCCTGTGTAAAGGACTGGTCTTCGAGAGCAGTTCGGAGAGAGACTTGGATGATGGACCCCCAGCCAAAGACGGCTCGACCAAAGCTCGCTGGCGCCCTTGGAGTGTTTTGTTTGATGATCCTGGCAAGTCCTAAACTCCACCATTCAATCGGAGCGTCCCTCGGTAGAGACACAACCTCTGCTGCGATGAATGGAGGGATAAATCTCGCGGTCGTGGCAACATGGCCGAAAACAGTGTGATTAGGCAGAACGTGAAGATGCTGGCCGATGGTCATGGCTTGTATTGACGAGTTGAAACGATTGAACCGAAGGTCCCATGCATCCAGGTTGTCTTCTTCGGCGTCGACGTCTTCGGATGCTGGTTTCTCGCATCTAGTACCGACAGAATGAGCTGCAGCCCATGCTCTCCCCGCCATGGCTGCGTGCGTCGTTACCTTTGATGACTGTTTGAGAAAAGCAATCCCCCACGGCCAGATGTCAACGCCCCGTTCCTGTCCGACACGCCAGAGATGTTGTAGGCTCAAGACTGCAGCCTCCAGGAAAAGTCCATCAGTGAGAAGCATACTCTGGGGAACCAGAGGTATCTGGCCAGCCATGTGGACCATTTCGAGCAACCCTGCGTCGTGAATGTTGAGGGATGGTTGGCTGCTTGGCTGGACTGTCACACAGATAGCCTGACTGTAAGGACCAATGTTGGCCGGCGCCCAATAGCTGCGGCTTTGGACATGTAAGCCACGCCGTGTGTCTCGAGACCCAAGGTCTAATATGATGCTCAAGCTGACTTCAGCATCGTCAGGAAGCTCGCATGAGACGGTCACTCGAGCCGGTGGATTAGGCTCCCCAGCCCGAAATAGTGAGGAGTATATCGAGTTCACGGCGCCAAATTCTGACATGTCTTTGAGAAGCAGAGTCGTGGAAACAATGTTGGACGTTGTCAACCTTGTGGCCAGATTATGGACATCCGATATTGACTCGAGTAACGAGTCAAGTTGCTCGCATATCTTCTTCATCTGACCAGCGGCTTTGCCCACGCCGTCAACCGAATTCTCTGCAACAGGGGCGGTCAAATTTGAAAACGTTAAACACGTCGATGACATGTTATGATACGGTTGTAGTTCTGCATTCGAAAAGGAACTTGAGCAGTCGCGGTGATCGATGACACTGTCTAGAACGGTTCCGTTCCCTGCTGTCTCCACGCCTCGAGGCTGGAGTCTTTCCAGCACGGCGTTGAATTGGGCATCAAAGGAATGAGGCTGCCGAGTCACTAATTCGTCGTCCACTGAGGCTGGCTCGTTGTCCACGACTCTCGCTTTGCCTAGCCGAAGGTAACTCACGCCTCCTTCCCCATAGATGGTCGAGTCTTTGGCTATTGGGACCTCGATTCTCTTCTTCCACAACGTCCGCGGACCGTTGATTGCCAGCGTCTCGTATTCACCTCCTTCCCCGAGAGCAGCGCCGCGCAGCCAGAATTCGTGATCTTCAAAAAAGGGTTGGAGACCGCTTACGAGCCTTGACTGGGTCGTCGGATCTGCGACGTTGGACCACAAAAGACTTTCTTTGATCCCCCCACTGGCAATCTTTATGATTCGGGCATCACAGCCCGCATCTAGCATATCCTCGAGCAGCCCTGTCAGGGAGTCTGCGCGACCAGGAGGCGGTGGAAGAGCAGGATACTGCCAAAGATAAGCGAGAGGCGTCAACCCCATTCGTACAGCTACCGATTCGACTCTTGTTCGTTGATACGTCGAGAGGATGGCGCCTGAGCACAGAGCATTGGCTTCGGGATGTTTTCTGAGGACTTCTTGAAGAAGCGGTATCAGATCTTCAGTCTCGTCGAGCGAATCTTGGATCCTGCTTGGATCGTAATATCGACCAGTCTGGATCGCCGAGCCTGTGATTTCCTTTCGGTAGAGGGGGATACCAAGGCACTCGGAGTAAAGAGGAATCACGGAGTGCCCCACGGTCTGGTACATGAAGCTGTTGATATCCTCGCCTTCGTCGCCGCCATCGAGGACATTGGTCGACGGTCTTCTTGGATGGAGGTTTGCAAGCGCAACAACTGTATGTCCGTTGTTGATACAGTGAAGAATAGAGAAGAGAGAGTCTTTGCCCCCAGATATCAAGGCAATCACCTTAAGTGACTCGGCCATCTTCAACAACCGGGCAGCGCCTTCGGGCTATGACCGGATTTTTGACGGAGTGTATGTTCTGGCCGTGCCAGGTGGGACCCTTTCCTGTTCACGCTCCCACTCACAGCGCCGGTAGATCATGTTTGGTGAAAGACTACTCCGTACTGCAAAAACAAATATCGATCTATTGATCCGCCCTAAGTCCTCTTTCAATTTGCACTTGGTGTCTTTAGAACTTGAAGTAGACGCCAAGACACTAACCGGCTTGCCGGTTTCGCTTCAAATCGGCATCCCGGAGCTGGGGGAATCATCATGCTCCCCCCATGCTTTATGATTTCAACTACTCCGTACGGGGAATGCAGATCGATCTCGCATAGGTCTCTAGCACAATCCAATCGGACTCGGCAATGCTACCGGCACACAGAGTCGGGAGTGCCAGCTTCGGGTATACCCCCGCGATGATGTTCGGAGCAAAGGTTCATTCAAAAGATTTATTGGTCAATAGGACTTGATGGGACCTTCATCTACAAACCCCTCTTTCGGAAGCGTGCTGCCCACAGCTCCGAACGTCAATGGACCTTGGTAACACGTACAGTATGTATGATAGGACCGAGTCCCATCGGAAGCTGGCTACCCACAAGCAACCCCATGGGCAACCGAGGAATCACCGCGTATCATTTGCTACTGCAAAGAAACACGTGTGGGACGTCTTTGCTACATAAACTTGACCAGTTCTTCAAGTCTTCTCCCTGATATCAAAGGGAATTTCCCCCTCCCTGTTCCAGCTTTGAACGCAACAACCCACTCTAAGGCCGCCTACTGCATTTGTTTTCACCAACATGGCTGTCAAGGGGACCGTCGAAGGGGCGCCGGCTCCTGACAAGGTCGATCTCCTTATCGTTGGAGCTGGACCTGCTGGTCTTATGATGGCGATGTGGATGGCTAAATGCGGTATCAAGACCCGGATCGTGGACAAACGAGGCACGAAGGCAAGACCACGACATTCCAACATCTCCGCAGACCTCTGACTAACGTCTCGCCTAGATTTTCAATGGTCAGGCTGACGGGCTCCAATGCCGCACACTGGAAATATTCGACTCTTTCGGCTTCGGCCACCGTGCCTGGATCGAGTCAAACCACATGCTGGAAATCTGTCTCTGGAATCCGGACAAGGACGGTATCATCCGCCGAGGCGACCGCATCCCAGACACGATCCCCGGCATCAGTCGCTTCCAACAGGTCGTCCTGCATCAGGGCCGGATCGAACGATTCTTTCTCGATTCCATTGAAGCATGCAGCGATATCAGAGTCGAGCGAGGTGTTATGCCAGCTAAACTCGAGGTCGACGAATCACTATTTGAAGATAACGAGGCACACCCGATTACGGTGACTTTACGACATCTCAGCGAAGAAGAAGCCACTCCCAAGCAAACGGCGACTTCGACTAATGGCGCTGCTGTGCAGGATGGATTGTTCAGAAGTAACCTCGCCGCCGACGACACCCAGGACCTGCTTAACAGCGCAAAATTGAACGGGAAAGCCAACACCGAAGAGGTTGTCCACGCAAAGTATGTGCTTGGGGCAGATGGAGCGCATTCTTGGGTGCGTGACCAGTTAGGCTTCAAGCTTGAAGGTGAATCGACGGACTATATCTGGGGCGTACTAGATATTGTTCCAATCACGGATTTCCCCGATATCCGGATGAGGTGTGCTATTCATTCTGCGAGTGAGGGGAGTGTCATGGTCATTCCGCGCGAGAACAAGCTCGTACGGCTCTACATCCAGCTCACGAGGACCGAGAAACATGGCGGAAGTGGCGCCAGGGCTGATCGGTCAAAGATCACCCCGGAGACGATCCTGAAATCTGCTCAGCGCATCATGGCGCCTTACAAAATCACTTATCGTAAATTAGACTGGTGGACGGCTTATCAGATTGGACAGCGAGTCGGAACACAGTTTTCTTTGGCTGAGAGGATATTCCTTGCAGGTGATGCTGTGCATACACACAGGTAAGTTGGCATCAAATGTTCCCCACAAAGTGTGAAGCCTCGAAGAGACGTGCTGAAACCGCATCAAAGTCCCAAAGCAGGCCAGGGGATGAATGTCAGCATGCAAGACAGTAGGCAATCCTCCAATATCCGGCGAGGTCAAAAGCTGACTTTGGTCTAGCCTTCAATCTAGGCTGGAAGATCGCCAGCGTCGTCAAAGGCCTATCGAGCCGCTCCATTCTGAAGACCTATCAAACCGAAAGGCGCAAGAACGCCCAGGATCTAATCGACTTTGACCACCGCTTCTCGCGCCTGTTCTCCGGACGACCGGCGAAAGACGTCATGGACGAAGAAGGAATCAGCATGGAGGAATTCAAAGACGCATTTCAAAAGGGCAATCTATTCGCCAGTGGAATCGGTAAGTCATCTCGTCAAAAAATTCGCCCTTTCCTTTCAACCCATGGCATACGCAGTATGCGAATGGAAAGCCTGAGCTGACTGAGCTGGCCGATTATAGCCGTCGACTACGGCACAAGCCTCCTCGTCGCTAAACCCGGCTCTTCCACGGCCCAAGGCGACGGCACCGACGTGTCAGCCGCCCAAGATTTCCGCCTCGTCTCCACGCCATCCCTGGCGCCGAAAGTCGAAGTGGGCAAGCGCATTCCCAGCTTCAAAGTCCTCAACCAATCCGACGCACGGCCGTCTCACTTGCAAGAACTTCTCCGCTCGAACGGGCGTTGGCGCGTCGTCACATTTCCCGGCGACATTCGAGACCCAGAGCAGGCGAGCAAACTGAAGACGCTGGGCGAGAAGCTGGCACGTCCGGACTCGTTCCTGAACCGCTTCACACCGGCTTCGGCACGGTACGACGACGTCTTCGAGATGCTGGCCGTCCACAGCGCTCCGCGCCAGGAGGTGACGGTGTTCGACTTTCCCGAGGTCTGGCGGCCGTATGACGAGGTCGACGGGTGGGATTACTGGAAGATTTTCGTCGACGACGAATCGTATCACGAAGGCCATGGGCAGATCTACAAGAACCTCGAGATCGATCCGCGCGGGTGCACGGTCATTCTGCGGCCTGATCAGCATGTGGCCTATGTTGGGCCGCTGGATGCGTACGAGGAACTGGATACGTTCTTTGCTGGATTTATGATCCCGCAGAGCGCGCATGGCAAGGCTCACGTCGATGCTGAAGTGGATATTCCGGCACACACTGAGACCCGTGGTGTCGTTGAACCGCTCCGGGATGACGGCCTTGTTCTAGTATCTTGAGTGTCCGCCAATCGCGAACCGGTTGCCGACGGGTTCGGCCAATCAACCAGCATGAAGAATCGAAAGCGAAGTCAAGCAGGGCCTATTGAGAGATTCCCTTTAGTGGTGCTTAGGTGTCAGGGTGTCGTGTGTTGTATTGACACAGCAGGCGTTGTTACGGGAGCGAGAAACTTAACCTTGAAGCAAGATATGCCACGATCAGCGCCAACGTCTTCATACGACTTCCGCGGAGCTGTGGAAATCTTGGTCCTCCAGATAGTACATGGCTCATAATATAAGAAGATCATCTCACTCTCAAGCTCGTTTCGAGGCCGTAATACGAGAATCCTTGGATCCCGAGTGGAAGACGAATTTGATACCTATCGACGTCGACATCAACATGCACCTCGACCTCATTACTGTTCAACTAATTTAGAGTTTCTTCTCGGCAGCGAGCTTTGCGAACCTCGCCTTGGTCCTCTCGGCAACACGCTTCTCATCCCAAATATAAGTCACACTCGGCTCCTGAACCACCTTCGCAGCCCAGGCCTTGAATCTCGGAGCCCTCTCGTCAAGAAGGGCACCGATTTTCGGACTCAAGATCCCATACTCAGGCTTGCTCAATGCAAGAAGCCGAAGAACAAAAGAGCCGGTCAGGACCTGTGTACGTAGTTAGCCGGTCGAATCCGGAAAATCAATGAGTGAGCAAAGAGGGTGCAAAACCTACCTCGGCCAGCGTGAGCCGGTCACTGCCTCCGAAAAAGGGCGAACTGTTGTTCCAATTGAACAGCGGCTCCAGTTCTTTCACCACGACCGCGACCAAGTCTTCCGCGGCCGCGTCCTTGTCGGCTTCGGACTGCGCACGCTGGCCCGCGAAGATCAGAGGCATCGCCTTGGAGAAGAAGGCGTCGACGAAGAAAGCGACCCGGGCCCGGTAGAGGGCGTTGGCGACCGAAGTCGTTGGAGGGAGTAAATGTGACTGATGTGCGTCGGCGAGGAATTGCGCTACAACCGCCGATTCGGTGATGATGTCGCCGTTATAATTGATTGTCGGGACGAGGCCGCGCTGTTTTTATTTTTGTAAGTTATAGCGATAGCAACATTATCAATTGGTACTGGTAGAACAGATAGATATATGCATAGGTATAGACCAAGCTCCGAGAATCTTGCAATGCTAAGTGGTGGCCACATACCGGGTTGATTTCCAGGTACCACGGCTCGCGAGGCCTGTCCAGATCAATGATGACCTCTTTGTAAGACAGCCCCAGCTCTTTCAGCGCGATGTGAGCTCGATGCGCCCATGGACATCCATGGTTGGTATATAAGATGATCTCGGGACCGCCGGAGCCGTTTGTTGCGGTGGTCGTGGTCCCGTTTGAGGCCATGGCGTGCGAGATATGATGGGATTTCGTGCTAATGGGGGGATGAATGGATGAATGAAATGGAGACCGATGCTGAAGTTATTCTCAAGAGATACTTTGAGGATTCATAAGATGCCATAGTCTCCAAGTATTGCGATTTGTCATCGGCCCAATCATCATCATCGTCGATGGGAGAGATGCAGGTCTCACTAGGCCAGTCGACTAGAAGTGAATGGGGTGGTAGCGCACTGGGAGGCTTTCCGCCTCGGATCGTCGAGGGCGGAAGTCAAGCCGCCATCCTCGCATTGTCATCATAAGGAAGAGACCACGACGCTCGTGGACGTTGTACAAGTAAAGTTGTTGCCAGCAAATCCGCCGTCGGTTGATGCTCGTGAGGGAGTGAGGCTCGTGAGGGAGTGAGGCTCCTTCGCCCCTTCTGGGTTTCTGCTCAGCCACTGGCACCGGCTGTGCATGAAAAGGCAGAATCCAACCCCTCATGATGCCCTCATGAAAGAATCAATAATTGGTGGGCTTTTCCCTAACCATCGTGCACCAGTTTCAACCGTCTTCATCGACGCATTGCTGCCGATTCCAAGGTAAATCATGTTTCGTCTGCTGTTAGTCATAACTCTCCATGATTCAGCTAGAGGCTTCAGCTGAATCGCCATCGGGAAAATGGCCGAGGTAGGCGTGGCAGCCTCACTCATAGGCATTGCGACTTTCGGCATCCAGCTGACCACCACACTTTACAACTTCGGAGCAACAGCTTCGTCTGCTAGAGAGCACACAGATTACATCGCTCGCCATGTTGCGCTGTACGCCGACGTGTTGGAGCTATTGGCCCGACGGATCGACGATGACGAGCCAATCCATTCCCATAAGGCCCTTGATCTTGACGATGAGATCTACGACCAATCTCATGAGCTTTTTGAGAATGTTAGGAGCCTCCTACCTGACAGGGCGGACAAGATCAGTTTCATGCAAAAAATCAAGTGGAACTTTAAAAAGACGAAAGTCGATCTGCTCGTCAGTGAAATCGAGTACATGAAGACCACAGTGAGCCTCCTAGTGAATATTCTCTATGCAGGAAAGAAACTACGAGCCTCTAAGCGCAAGAGACGGTCGAAGAAGGCGGGAACCGATGCAAAGCTCCAGTTCGCCAAGGCGCAAAATGCCATTGTTGACCAGATGAATGCGGCGACCACCAAGGAACAGTTGCAGGCCAAGGTTGAAGAAGACGATGAGGAGGTGGTTCACGTGTTGACGGACAAAGGTGGACAGCGAGTCTCATCTGCCTTAATCAAGCACACTCCACAGATTACTCACTTCACCAACAACGTCGCTCTCGTTCACTTCAACGAGTCGTTGCGACAAGCTAAGACTTCGTCCGAGCAGCGAGCTCTGGTGATGCAGAATTCTGTCAACCTATTGAAGGATCTACTCGACCAGTGGACAACATTGGCGGAAGAAACCAATCATGCGAACGAGGATGTCAGCAATGCTGCCAGAGACCCGGAACCAAGCCCTTTCAGCGAAAATCCGGGACGGCAAAGCAGCGGCATGAGAAGCAAGTCGGCTAACCCTGGAGACGCCTTGAGCAGCCACGAGCCCTTGGAACATGCGACGACCACATATGGACCAACGGCTAATCTTCCAGATACGCGGTATACGACTTCCATCGCAGAGAAGTACGCCGCCTCGCAGAAGAAGATAAGAGACCTTGAAGACCAGTTGGCAACATTGAAGAGTGAGAAGAGCAGAATGGAGGGAAATGAGGAATTTCATGGAGTAGGGGTGATGGATCCCTATGAGAATCGAGATCCCTACGATGGCAAACCTCAGCAACCAAGCGCCCAGAAGCATGTCTACTATGAAGACCAAGTTCCTCCGCCACCTGAATCATCCGAGAAACTCGAAAAGCCTATCAAATCAGCTTCGTACCTCGCCGCGGATTGGGCAGCCAAGCTCAAGGCTCAAGCGGAAGAGAGCCGAGCCAGCAGAGCGGACGAAAGGCGATTGGCCAGGGAGAAGTGGTGGGAAAGAACTGAGAAAGCTCAAAATGGAAGACCCGCAATCATTGGAGATAGAGACATGGATGACATAGAGATCCGGGCATATATGAAAATCGCTCAACCGAAGACTCGCCCTTACTCCGATCGTCCTGCAGAAAGATCCCGAATATCTCAACGAACAGACAGAGCCCGAGCCCTGGATGAGGAGTGCATTGATGAAAGACGGGAAAGGTATGACCGAGATTTCGAAAGGCATCATCAAGAGAGCCGAATTCTTATTGATAAGGCAACAACTCGTCCCAGCTTAGAACGAGCTGGACCAGACGCCTATAAGTATTGGGCCGCGTCCAAACCAAGAGGTGGCCGTGAGAGCAGTTCTGACAACAAAAAGAGACCTGTTCGCGATGAAACGAGAACCCCGCCGTTCACGGATAAATCAAAGAAGGCCTCGACGAGATGAGCTTCAAGCGCTTTCTCAATGAGAGCCTAATCAACACCTTCAGGGTAGTGCAGTCGAAAGCAGCCATCATTTTCGAAGAGGAGGACGGATCTCTTACTACGGAGTATCTCTGAAGGGGACTGTTTCTGTTCCATAGAAGGCAAGTCATTCCGGGAGAGGATCCAGAGAGATGGGGGGCTGATGAGAAGGGACTATGGGGAGTGATCGTGGCATCGGCTCCCGAAGCGGCGGCGTTTATTAAACCCCCTTCGATTCTCCCACTAGCTGCTTCAAATATGCATTTCCATCACCTGTGTCACGAACGTCAAGACACCAGAGTCTGGAGCAGCTGGCGACCGGTATAGTTATCGTGTACCGTTTGCATACGAGGCTTACCTCCTTTTGCTTCGAGTCTTGTTACGACATGGAGAGTCAAGGAACGTACATCTGCTTAGCTCTTGATTATTCGCTTTAATCTACCTACTATGGTATTCTCGCTAGCTGTTCCTAACACTTACCTGTTCCTACAGTACATCGGTGGAGCTTCTCATTCGACCTGCGATGCGGTAAGTGGACGATGATCTCCAAATGAAGTGGCGTGACCTTTGAAAGCCGCGTGGAGCATGTGGATGGTGCAGGAAAACAGCCGGATACATAGGAGGAGCTCAACGGGCAAGGAAACGAAAACGACGAACAAGTCACTGGCACTCAACCTTGGAAATCTTCCCGCATCTTTCAATTGGTACAATCTATTCTGCACTGTGCAGTGCCAAAACCATGGTCCAGCTCAGCACCGATCCGACATTCCACTACCAAATCATCCGCGCCCTCGGCCTGGCCAGCTATGGCGGTGCCGACGTCGGCGAAGTCCTCGCCACAGCCGACGAAATCAAACCCGGAGACTTTGAATCGTTCTATGCTGCATTCAACAAACGTGCCGAACGAGTCCTGACGCAGGCTCGACAGACGCGCCATCCCGTCTCGATCCGCGACGCCATGTTCCGCGCCGCCACGTACTTCCGCCTGGCCGATCTCTATATCCACAACAACTGGGACGACCCGCGAATCCTGAGAATATGGGGAAAGCAGACCGAATGCTTCGACCGGGCGATGGCGCTTCTGCCGACCCCCGGCCAGCGGAAAGTGATACCAGCTCCGGCCGGCTTCCAGGTCCCGACCATCTTCTTCCCAGCCAGTAAAGACACCGACGAAAAGCGTCCGACGATACTTATGTGTAGTGGCCTAGACGGATCCATGGAGGAAATGTACCATGTACACGGCATTGCGGCATTACAGCGAGGTTTCCATGTCGTTTGCTTCGAAGGGCCAGGACAGGTCTTTACACGCCGGTCTCAGGGACTCGGGTTTATCCTGGAGTGGGAAAAGGTCGTCGCGCCCGTGCTTGACCACCTCGAAACTCTCTCCTATGTCGACATGGCCCAGGTTGGCCTGCTCGGGTATTCGCTGAGCGGTCTTCTTGGAGCTCGGGCAGCGGCATTCGAACACCGTCTGGCTGCCTTGTTTTGTGTAGACGGAATGTACAGCCTAGCCAACACCCCGGTCTTCCCGACCGCAATGGGTATGCTCAGTCAGAGACTGGCGAACGCGGACGACGAATCGCTCGACGCTCTAGTCCATCATCCCGACATTCCGACGACACTGCGGTGGGCGCTTTCGCATTGCAGGTGGGCCTTCAAAGTCAAGTCCCCCTTCGAGCTTGTCGAGAAGATCAAACAGTTTACCATCGCCGATGTGGTCGCTAAGATACAGTGCCCTGTTCTGGTGTGCGATGCCGTGGATGATCATTTGGCCAGGGGCCAGCCAAAGATGCTCGTGGACGCGCTGGGGGACAAGGCCACGCATATGGTGTTTACGGCAGACGATGCTGCGGAAAAGCATTGTCATCTGGGCGCTGCTAGATTTTGCAATCAGGCCATTTATGATTGGTTTGAGGAGAGGATCCTGAAGAAGTGAAGAATGGCTGATTTCACTGCATGGTAGATACGAGATTTGTTGATGGGTTCCCGCATCGTAGAGATCTTCAGTACACGAGAGTACTAGTATCTCACCAATACGCGGCATTAGAGGATTCGGTCTCTGACATCGCAGTCCTGTGTTTGGGACAAGAATCATCATTTTCCCTCCAGCGAGTCGATCGCAGCCATTGAGGGTAGGCCATGGAGTGTGAGCGTATGTAATTCCCCGTGTACGGGGTCGTCCCGTCCGAGGTAGGTTGTGGAGCCCTACTGGTCTGGATCCCCACGGCACGTCCTGCAGAGCGCGGTTGGGTACTCTATACACAAGCACCGATCGACAAACAGCCGAGTCTTGTTGCTTTTATTAGGATTATCATGTTCCCCTTCCATTCAACAGATGACGGCCCATCATCATGCCCTTTTATACTTCAGTCTCGACACCTCCACTCTTACCATCATCATTATGTTCAAAAACCTCACCAACCCTACCCTTTGCACGCTTCGCCTTCCCAGCCATCCAGTCCATTGTCCTCGCTCCTCTCCATTGCATAACTCCCCTGTGCTTTCTGTGCAGCTGCTTGTGGTGGTCCTTGTAGTCCCTGACCTGGGCTCTGGCCCCTCTCGACCCGTCATCCTCATTATTGTGCCCGTCCACATCAAGCACTTTCTCAACCACATCCTTGGCCTTCTGCAGCGGCTTGCTGGCAAGCTGCGTCGGATCCAGCTTCGACGACTCCGTCTCGCCCGCCTCGCTATCGCTGTCTGAGCTGTCGTCGTTCGCATGCGTCCGTAGCCTCTTGTTCCGACGCTTACTCTCTTTCGCCTCGCCGTTGGTATCTCCGTCCGCCGACGTCGACTCTGAATCTGAAGAATCCCCAGAATCGCCCTCATCGTCAGAAACCTGGCCCTCATCATTCGCCGTATCAAGCACTTCAATGACATCCCTGATATCGGTATTATGCCCCCGATTGGCATAGTTCTTGTGATATCCGCTCAGCCCTCTCCACAGTTTCAGCGTCAACTCGATGTCCCCCAGCGGCTGCTCCCCGTCGGACCCACTGTACCCATAACTCGTCGTGGCGCGGTGCAACGCCTCCTTGTTGCCCTTCCAGATCTTTACGGACACAGTCCTCTCCTCTTCGTCCGGGATGTCTTGCAACCAGAACACGGCAAATTGACTTGTCGAGTCCGGCCCGAGCACTGTCTTGCGGAACTCGACGATCAAGGCGCTCGAATACCTCTTTCGAACGGCCAAGAACACCGATTCCTTGTCCCTCTTTGGCTTCCACATCGCCTGTCCTTTGTCCGGGTCGCTAGCAGGCACCATCTTCGCCCTCATCAGGTTCGTCCTCAATTTGATTCGGTGGTGTGCGTAGGGCTTGTCGGCCCCGCCCTTCGAACGCACAGGACATTTGATCTCGAGCGTGCCATAATTCCAACCCATCAACTCTTTAGGCAATTTCAGCTTCACGCTGCGCCAGACCATACTGATGCGCGCTCTGCCGTACCCTATGCCTCCCACAAGAGGGTACGTCTGCATGATTTGGCTCCTCTTCTCAAACACGTGTCGCAGCGGGAGGTAGATCATGCCGAGCAACGCATCATCCTCGGTCTCACGATCATCGCGCACGCTGATCATGACCTCCGCCGTCGTCCAGTCCTGTACAAAACGCTCCGTGCCTGCGTTGAAAAAAGGCTTCGCGTTCTTCGGCTTCGTTCTCGTTCGGAAGATCTTCTGATGGTTCAGTATGATCGTCGCGTAACTACTGGGCATGTCATCGCTGTGCTCCGATTCGTCCTCCTGGTCGCCTTGTTTGTCCTTCTTATCCTTCTTCTGTAGCGATTGGACTTCAAGGCCCGTGATGTTGTGGACCTGAATGCTGAATATCCCGCTAAGATAATCATTTGGTGGAGGACTAGATATCATCAACTGGTCTTCGCGCTCCTTGTAATCTTCCTGCTTCTGCTGCTTGATCTCTTTACTCTCATCGTGCGCCGTGGCTTCGCGCAATTTGCTCTCGGCAGTCTCGCTGACTTTCTTGCGTAGGTCCGCTTCCGACCTGATTTCCGGCTCAGCGGTCTGCTTGGCCAGTTGTTCCTCGGTGATCGTGGTCTTCGTGAAGTAGCCTACCCGCCATTGCAGAGTGCCGGGCATTTGTTCGTCGGCATCTTCGCCTACAAACCGGTCTTCCCGGTCACACATTGTGTTCTTGAACTTGGGACTGTGCATAAGTTCTTTCAAGTCGACTTCAACGCGACCTAGATCATCATCGGCTGTGTACTTGTCCGAATCCCAGAGTTGCAGCCGCAATCTCTCGTCAGCGTTCACTTCCTCTGCAGTGACCAATATATGAGACCATTCGTGCCAAGCAGGTGCTTGGTCATCGACGATAATCCTGGTAGAGGCCACAGGCTTGCCAAACTTACCCCACGACACTGTCATGTATGCGTCGCTTGAGCCTTTGAACGGTCCGAAACCGCCGTCGCCTTCTTTGAAGCCTTGCGCAGACTTGATGAAGATCATGACCACACCTCGTGCGACGGTGTCCTTCTTGAAATCATCGCCCACAAGCATATCCTTGAGATCCAGCGTCAAGCTCTTTGGGGCGACATACTCGGCCAGCGCGGCATCGATTGAGGATTGGACGAAAGATGATATCAGGGGTACATCCATCAAATTGAGTGCATGTCTTGACAATGGCACACAGGACAAATCCGCCTGCGGTTGTCCCATAAATGTCAATGTGCAAAGGCTGAAGAAAGGAGGGTCCGGGGTAAGCTGTAGTCGCAGTCTCATCGTGCCGATGATACCTCTGAGTTCGACCCAGACAGGCAAAGCAATCCCGCCGGGTAGGTAGAACTTGAGATAGAGATGCGCGTTCTTCGCTTTTGCTTGCAAAGATTTTCCGGACGATCGAGCTCGATAGGCGAATGCGAGCTCCATGTTCACAAAGTCGCCCTGCTCAGCCTCCATACCTTCGCGGATGGCCTGCTGTGTCTGCTCATCTTGTTGGTTGTCCTGATTGCCTTTCTTATCCTCGTCGTTGCCGTCGTCATTTGATTGGCCGTCCTCGATTTGCCCTTGTCCAGGAGCCGCCCTATCGCTCCCACCACCTTTACTATCGTCGCCGGACTTGACTTGGCCGTCGGAACTCACAGACTGACTCGCCGCTCCCGTAGGCAGCCAATTCACGCCGAGGATTCGGAAGGCTTCGCTCCCCTGTCCGAGATCGTCGACACTGACCATCCGCACGACTTTGGGCAGAGAAGCTTGCATGACATCTTCGAGCATGTCGGATATCGAAGTGAACAGGTCCGGATTGATCAGCGGCCACACCGAGGCGAGGAGATTATTCAACCAGGCCACAGACTCAGGAACGACGTCGTTCGAGTCATTCGCCTGTAGCTCCTCTGATCTTGCTGCGTCCCAGACCTCGTCTTTCCACACCTCCTCGACCTTTTTGCCCAGCCATCCTTGCACAGCCCATACCAGTGCAAACCCCACTCCGACGGATGTCAGCAGGATGGCTGTGGCAGGAATGATCGAGAATAACTTCGAGCCCTTCTTTTCACCATGCCGGGAGAAGTCCAAGTCAAAAAGCTGCACAGCCGCCATACACAGCGACACCAGCAGGACCACACTGCCCAACCCGACCGTCAGCGCAAGCTGATACGTCTTCGCCAATTCATCCTTCAAGTCATCGAAGCTTGGAGGCGGGAACAACTTCTGCATGCCCGCATGACTCTTCTGCAGGTCGTCTCGTTCCTGGTCTAGATCTTCCTTTGACTTATCCGCCCCGGCAGGACCGGTCCTCGTCTTCGGTTGCGTGCCCACGGCTGGTATGTTCTCGCCTGCGGTCTTGAGGTCTTTGTGGGTCGAGTCCCTGATGACTATCGGTAAATGTGTAACTGGATCCGTGACTTCTCTACCACCGTCACTACGCGGCTTATGTTTCATGGCCTTTCTCTTCTGTCTGGGGTCGACTTCGCTGGCGACAGCCTCCGTGGCAGATTTCCCTTCCTTGTGCGTCTTTTCATCTTTCTTCTCCTTTTCCTTCCTGTCATCTTGCTGTGTCTGTTGCTGGTTCCCATCGTTCTGATCTTGGGGTTCCCCGCGTGACTGTTCCGAAGGAGTGGGTGTACCTTGCAGATTTCTGTTCTCGGTCTTGTATGGGTCGTGGGTGGACTTGGGAGGCTCGTCGCCTGTGATGACGCCTTTAGCCGCATGGAAGGCTCTTTTGACGGTGGATTCGTCTTCTTCGTCGTGCTGTGCGTCCTCGGCTTGTTGTTGTTGGCCCTTCAGCTCGCTTCGTTCGGCTCTGTACTTTTGTACGGTGGGAATAGGATGTCGAGAAGTGTACGGTGATTTGTAATTTCTTCGCTGATGGCCGTCTGGCTCGAAATCCTCGTTGCCCGACATGATGGGTGTCGAGTCGAGTCGAGTCGTGTGAGGGCAGTGGGCTGTGACGAAAACAGAGGGCCACGAGTAGAATACACAAACGGATTGGCCTACCTTGACAGTGCTTTTGAGAGGACGATGGAAGATTATTAAGAGCCGGTCTCAGGAATCAAGAATGACAATGCTCGTACGAATACAGGGTATATGACATTGCATGGCACCACATTATGGCCATGCGGCAGGACGAGGAGAAAGATGTGTGTTCAAGACGCGATGACGTCCTATCGAAATCCAACTTTCACCTTGAAACTTGGAGACCCACGACACCTACTGGACACCCTACACAGCACGCAAGGCCCTACGAGTAATTTGACAGTTCCCCACAAAGACTGTCCAGCCAGGATCGAACAATCCCAGATCTGCGGTCGGAGAAAATACGAAGGATGCACGTCAGCAAAATGGTAATGCAGAATCAAGGAACAGAAGAACAAGCAGCAAAGCCATGATCGACCGAACCCTGTTATTGATGTGTCTGTGGCGCTAGCTAGACCTCCCGTAGGTGGTTATCAAAAACTGTTCCGCAGCATTTTATTATTTTTGGTTCATACTCCGTACCTTGATCGACGAGATCATCCTTTGATGTCCAGTCATTCGGCCTCCCAAAAACCTCACCATACGCACTACGACGTCCTTCTCCTCCCACGCGGTGCAGATTGGAGCCGCTTGTCCCAAGAGGACGTCAAATCAGCATACCGTCGCGCTTTGCTGATCCATCATCCAGACAAGGCTGCTCACTCTTCGTTAAAGCCCACGCCCCCATCTCGTCCGCGGGCATACGCCGTCGATGACATCGTCACTGCATATGAGGTCTTAATCGACCCAGAGAAGCGCGCAGCTTATGACGAGGCACTCGACAAGCGAAAAGCGCTGGAGTCGGGGCACAAGGGCACACATATTGGCGTGGAGGTCTGGGACCTGGAAGATCTGAAGTTCGACGAGGCCAAAAATGTTTGGTCCAAGTGCTGTCGATGTGGTGATGAGCAGGGCTATATCTTGACAGAAGCTGATCTTGAAAAGGAAAGTCAGCACGGAGAAATCTATGTTGGCTGTCGAGGTTGTAGTCTGTTTATCAAGGTCTTGTTCGCAGCCGCTGAGGGATAGGAACATGGTAGTGGTTCGATGATCGTGTCCAGCCATCAGCGATGATCATGACTTGTCCGTCATTGAGATCTCTTTGGGGACGCCGCCTCCTCCAACTTGTTCAACGATTCGATAGCCTCACTGACATCTTCCGACCGTCCACGCAAGACTGCCTCGAATTCCTCCTTGACCGCAAGGAACGCATCAGCAAGTTCTCGTGTATGCTCGATGATTTGGGCTTCGACTTCGGCCTTTCGACGTGAGAGTGCTAGGAGTCTTGACAGGTGGGCATCTTGAATGCGGACACTGTGCAGATGAGTGTTGTCAGTATACTGCTAGGACACTGAAGCCTCGAACGATCTTTAGTAGAGGCAAGAAAAGCAGAATGACAAGGGAGAGGGAAGACGCGCAGTATATGGAAGAAGAGTACAGCCCTGGGATTCTCCAGGTGAGGAATCAAGTGAGATTCGACAGCATGAGAGGAGAAGGCGCACCACAATGAAACAAGAGAAGGTCACTGGCAAAATCAGAGACCGAGTATGTGTCGATATTAAGGGAAGTTCAGTGATAACATGCCATCTGGACATCAAGAGGGAAGGAAAATGAAGAAACTTACACATCCTCCTTCCCTTCCGCAACCCTCTCATCTATCTGGCCTTCCAACTGCCGGACCTGACTCTCAAACTCCTTCTCGAGACGTTGTTGTTTTTGTTCTTTACGAAGGCCCGTCTATCACCTTTCAGCGTCAGTCACCTACGCACCCTCTCACACGTCCCGCCAGCTCCCGAACATGGGAAAGAGGGAGACTTACATCCACAGCCATAGTCCTCTTCAAACTCTCCTCGATTTCTCCGATTTCACTCCCACCACCACTTCCTCCACCAGACATCTCCATGCCAGAGTCATTGTTGTCGTCGAGGGAGTTGTCCCAGTCGTTGTGAGAAACTCTGGGATGGGCGGGCGCGGGTTTGCAGGATGGACGTCTTGCTGGCATGTTGAGGTGGTCCGTCGAGCAGGCGCTGAGGTAAATGGTAGTAGAAGCCAGGTGTGTTGAGATATTGGGGAGGAAAGGAATATGGTCACGGTGGTCACGTTGAAAGAATAGAGTCGAGTCGAGGCCAGAGAGCATGAGGGCAGTAGTTCTAAGTGGAGGAGAGACAACCCCCTGCTCTCACTGCATTACGTACAATTCTTGCTTGATGGTATGATTTCAAGTACTCTCTGCTCGCTACTGGCCATGATGAATGCCTTCATTTGTAAAGAGCACTTCCCAAGTTTTCCGGTAACTGAATGTTAACAACATTCGTCCAGGTTCAGCGCCTTGTCCCGTCCGTATTCTTACACATATCCTATACAATGCCATACACCATACACCATACACCATCACGATGCTTGCCTCTAGTCATGGCAGCCTAGTCAGTCGACCGACTCTTCCCATCAATCATGCCTCTTCAAAGCCTCTTCATTCAACAATCTGCAGCTCCCCCTTCCTGGCCGTCGCAAACGTGTCCTTATACTCATTCCACAACCACAACAACTCATCCACATACCGCTGATGCACCTCATCCAGGTAGCTTTCATCAACCTTCCCATCCCTCCCACCTTGCTGCACAACCTTGATCGGTCGTCCTACCACCACATTCACGGAGCGCCGGTACGGCAGCAGTCCAACATCATAGTTAAAAATCCCACGGGCATGAAACAACGGCACCGTGAACCCCAGCCCTCTCTTGACCACCATCTGCAGGTTATGAATCCACGGATGCTCCACGCTATCCACCTGCTCATAGAGTTCGTTCTCTCCGAACGCCAGCACAGGCACGAGATCCGCACCCGTGCGGATCGCCAATTTCACGAAGCCCTTCCTACTCTTCAACACGAGTCTGAGACTATGCGGCTTCGCATCCAAACTCTCCCTCGCACCACCAATCACAATCGTGACGGCCCGCCCCATACCTTCGCCATTATGTCCTCCTCGGCTCAACAAGTTCTCAATACTCTCCCTGCTGACACTTGCCAGCCCCATCGCAAGCGCATAGTCCCTGTACAGAGGAACCCGAAAATTCGTATCCAGCGTGAGCAAAGTATTCGTGATCCCTGGGAACAAGTCCGCGAAACCCAACGCTTCCGTCCCGAAAGCTGCAAACGCGCCGTGCGAGATTATCCCATGTGGATGGTATCCAAATATGAATTTCCTCGTGGGCTCCAGCTCGACCGTCCGATGCAAGCGGGCCGGGAAATAACTCGCGAACGCCGACCAGAACTTGCTGCGTCTAAGCCAATTCGACCGTCTCGATAATGTGCCATTGGTAGAGTCCTCGCTGATCAGCAAGATGTACAACAGATAAGGTATCAGCAGCGGCCACGTGAGAGGGATAGCGCAGAGGAGGAAGAACAGCGACAAGAAGATCGGGATCGTAGTCGTATGCCATAGTACAGCCAGGGTCTGTAGACGTCGTTGCAGTGGCACGTTCAACGGGGCCCAGCGGATCCTGTCATTCACAGTAGTCAGCACACATGTTCTCACCCGCACGCCTTCATACGAAGAGAAAGACGGTATATATACGGAAGGAGGGTCAGGCATACGCAGAAGTCTCCCAGCCCGCGCCCGCTCTTCGCCCACTGGCAAGATGAGGTGCTTGCTGCGCATTTGGAACATCCTGCCTCTTCATGCCTTTTTCAACGCCAGGCCCGACTTCTTTGTGAGGCGCCCTCTTTGCATTATGCCGCAAACCCTCCTCGTACTCCTCGCTGGGCTTGATGCTCGTCAACGGAATCTGTCCATTCTGACTTGTATGCTCTGTGTACAGGACTTTCGCATCGTCCACATCTTCCTTGTGGCCGTTAGCCACCCCGTTTCCGTTCGACCGCTCGCCATTAACTCGCTGCTCTTCTTGTTGGTCCAGAGGCGCAGCTTCCTCATTTACCGCCTGGGCATAGGACTTCGGAGGCAGACTATGCGCAGCGCGATCTTGCGGGTTTGCCGGTTCGGAGGTCAAGCCATCAGGGCTAGTAGTGGAGGCCATTTTCTCGGTGTAAGCGGATAGGCAATCGCTGTGCAGTGACTGCGTTCGCTCACGGAACCAGGCAAAGTCGGAGTCGCCGCGCTGCAGCATATAAGACGTCCAAGAAACTAAATCAACATTGGTCAAGCTTGAAGCAAGCAAGTGGTAGCTCGAGTCTGAGCTTGGGCGGAACCAGTTTGCTAGTACCACCGTCCGTATTTGAGAAGAAGGTGGTTTCACAATTAATTACATAGGAAGTACTCCGTCCAGCCACAATGACGTACTCCAGTATTCACGATCAAGGAGAATTGACATGAGCTCCATATTACTTAAGCAGTGCCTTCCCTTCCTTTGTCATATATGTATGTACACTCGAGAAAACGAAATCATCCCAGTCCTCATCGTCTCATCTCTAGATGTAAACAGGCTGCGTCCAACAACAACTTCGACTAATGCCAAAACTTTCACCATCAGTCCTTCGCCCGGTCCTTTCTGGGAGGTACTACCGTGGCAGCACCTCGACTGTCAGGACTGAAACGGAACTACCCTTCACAAATCCTTGTTCGCGAAACCAAGCTGAGTGTTGTCGCTGTCAAAAATAGCAAATACAGCCTTCAGGAAAACATCTCCATAGATCGACAGACCGAGCCCCTCGTTACTCTGAATACCTCCGTAGCATGCTGCGCACCTCGTTAGCCTTGTCACGCGATATTCAACACTGGGTCAAAACCTACTCGACGAGCCGTCAGTGATTGGGGCAAAGTTGATGAAGGATCCAGGAACAGTGAATTGAGCATCCTCAACACCAAGAATGAAATCAGGCAAAGTAGCAGTGCAGTCAAAGGTATATCCACCCTGGCTGTTGTCGTATTGGGCACCATCAACTTCGTCGTAGTAGGCAGAAACAATGTCGTCGTCAATGAGGATCAATGTGGTACCAGTGTCCGCGATGGCGTCAATGCTGCTTGATTGGAATGAACCGTCACCAACGCCATAGCCGGTGCCAGTAAATTCCCAGAACCCGTTGGCACTGTTGACCGCTGTATAGGTAATTTCGCCGGTGTACTTGCTATCATCGATGAAGCCAAAGTCGTAGGAGCCGGGAGCACCCTTCTTTAGGTCTACCGTGAAGACGTTGGCATCAAGGACTCCCTCGTGGATGGCGGTGTCGAAGAAGGTTGTCTGCTGTTTAGGTGTAACTATCATATATCAGTACAAAGGCGCCAGTTGACGAGAACTTTCTCACCCGTGTTGATCGAGCTAAAAGCTAGACCGAGCAAGCCGTCGTTGTTTTGATCTTGCTGGAACTGCGCGCTGATTGTCTTTGCGAGCTCAACAGCTTGGCCGGTGACGGTGGTGCCTCCAACGTCGACCGTGTCAGTGTAGACGTCACCGCTAGCACCAGAACCATCACCATAGCTGATATCCCAGGTGGCACCAGAAAGCTTCTTGGCGGTGGACGACTTGGACGGGTTGTAGATGCTATGTCCGGAGCTTTGAGAGCTGGGCAGCTCAGACGAGAAGACCCAACTAGGAACAATCAGTATTCTTATCGCGAGTCGAGCACTTGCCATTGCTTACAGATCAGCCGAACCTGTATCAAAGTCCAAGTTCAGGGTTTGACCACCGATGGTGACTGGGGAGAGGTATTCGGAGTCGTATTGCTCCGGAGTGGCAGTGACAGACCCATCGGCGGCTGCAGCATTGCTGACATCAGCCGGAGCGAGTTTGTTGTACTTGCTATAGACCTTCTGCAACTGCACCGGACCCGGCTGGAATGGCTTTGCAGGGCCTTGGTTGACAGTGAAGCCTTTCTTGGTGTTGACGGAAGTGCCCGGGACAGGAATTGGCTTTGCGAGCGAAATAGAGGCGAGGGCAGAGACTGCCAGCACGACGGCAAGAGAATGCATGGTTGATATAATGAATGGATGTCTCGACAGAAACTAGAAACGAGTGGATGTCTTGCTGGCGATGAAAAAGAAAGAATAGTTTGATAATTGTCAACAATAAAAGAAAGAGTGACCTGAAGGAGGGAAAACCCCTGAAGGAGATGTACTCACGCTGGACTTATATAGTGGTTGAGGAGCATGCTTGCTGATGTTGTGAGTTGGAAGCGGATCCAAGTCACTGTGCATAAAATCTGCAGGAAACAAGAAGGCCGCAAGACGATGATACCCTGGGTCCGTTCGATGACGATCCTTGATATTGGAGGACTGTTGCGGCACTGTGAAGATAGGAAGTATCACGGAGACATGAACAATTCGAGAAGGTCGGTAACGAAAGCCAGCTTCGAACATTCGAGAGCACATGCTGGCACACATTCGTGATTCGAGAAGGCGGCTGAACAGTCCAAGCATTGGCAGAAGCTGCAATGGCACTGCTATGAGAGGGACTGGCTTGCTGAGCGGCGCCATTGGGCAGGAGGGATGATAGCAGGGCTGTCCAGGTGCTCATGCAGCCTGAGGTTGGCGCTTGAAAGGAAATTGAGCTGGAGTGTTTGAAACATGGACTGATATGATGCATGGGGATGGGGCAGATGATAGCAGCAGAAGCAAGGCCAGATGTTGATGAAAGCGAAGATGAATGAATGGGGTTGGTAAAGAAGTTAAGATGAGGTTGGAAAAAGAAAATGCCGAGGGTGTTGATGGTTGGCTGCAGCTTGGAACAGGCTAATGCCCACGATCGACGCCCCTTCGCATTTCAAGCCCAAACCACCTGATGCCACTATCGGCCACCAATCGACCAGGTCTGATTGATGGCTGCTTCCACAAGCTCAACACCATCATACACCTAGCTGCAGAGCCTGGAACGACCCCTCCGATTCGTTGGCATCGAGATGAACCTGTGCCCGTTGAGGCCGTCGTACCTCGTATCCCATGAGGCTGCGGGACAGCCTGCCTTACGCCTGTGTGGTGCGAGTAGACGGCTTAACGATCCGCCCCCTGTTATGCTACCCTCTGGACCAGGAGTTAGTTAGTCCTGTTCATCTTCTGCGAGTCATCCCTAGCTTTACGGCAGGTAGATCGTGGCTGCTTCCTGCAGGAGCGATACGAGGAGAGATACGAACCTCGAAGCATTTTGCTGTCAAGCTTACACGGTGCTTCAAATCTCCAGAGTTTCCTTTTGATAGACTGTGTGTCGTCACACCCGCAAAAGAAATGCCGTGTGATATTCTTATGAGCTCTGAGCATGCTTTAATCTCTTGATGATCATGCATGCGACACCGGATCAAAACCTATCTCAAATCGCACCCGACAACGTCTGCGGCGGACCTCTGCCTCCAGAAGCTCTCGGCTGCCGGAGACCGCCGACACTCTATGTCCAAGTAGGCTTACCTTGGTTCTGTCAGGACGACGATCAGGCATGTTCTCCTACAGCAGGACAGAGCACTTGTCGCACAGACGAGGGTCACCAGTCACGTTCCGACATGACACAGAGGGCGAAGGTAGGAAGACGTTTGATTTCCAAGTTCTGATCTCCATTCACATCTCGCTGCAGAAGTATAAATGCTAATGAAGAATCCGGCGCTATACAATAAGCCACAATCGAAAGACATTTACGCCATTTTTGTTTCTCTTCATATCGTCATTGGGAAAGCAGTCCCGTCGCTGAATGCGCCTCGTGTTATGGTGCAGAATTGGGCGGAGGATATTGGATGGGTTTTGCCGTGTCGGAACGAGGAACTCCTGCTGCTAGACCAGCTAGTGCATTGGCCGCATCGCTTTCTGACCGATCTAACGCTGGGCGGCCCTCTTCTCGAGCTGGTCGTCGGAAATGTGACGACTCCTCACTCACTGGTGGTGACCCCACATGTGGGAAGGATAAGTTGCTACCGGACGACGGAAGGGGTAGTGGTAATGTTCGCAGGTTCGCTCCTTGAGCAAAATCTGGAGGTCTATCAGATGGCATCTTTGGTAGTCGTTGGGAAGGCTGGTATTGTTGCGTCGCAGGGCTGTATGGCAAAGAGGCGTGTAGTGCCCTGGGCATCTCCTGGTATGCCGTTCGAGGATCTGAGGAGCGGTTTCTCCAGGAGATCTCCTGCATGGTCGGCGATAAATGCGCTGGTGCGCTCATACTACCTTGAGGACCGAAAGGCGGTGTCGCAGCAGGATGCTGTTGAGGCGGCTGCTGCTGCTGCTGTTGTTGTTGTTGCTGCTGTTGCTGTTGTTGTTGAATAAAGTACGCTATCCTCGAACGTGCGAGGTGGTCAGGAGACGGGAGGGTATCCGATGGTGAAGCAGCTGTGCTTTGTCCCAACGATGGCGGTTGTGCTAAGGAACTTGTGCCCAATGAAAGAGTTGCAGTCCGCAACAAAGGTTCCGGTATGTCACTTCGTACCGTCGACGATTCGTCCGAGACAGAGCTATGACTGGACAGGAGCCCAGGACGGAAGTAGTCTCGCCCGGCAGGAATAGGAGGTGACCCGCTGCGAGAGGAAGGCAGAGGTGGGCGTGATGGCATCGACGGCGCGGAGGGGTTCGGTGGTATAGGGCCGCCTGTGAAAGACGAAGTAACCGATCCGACGGAACCGCCACGAGCATGACCTGACGGCGGTTGTGTCGCTTCTGAATTCAGCTCCAACGATTTCGTCGATATGATACTGCCACTAGATTCGGCTTCGAGTTTCGGTCTTTTGGGTTCCGACGCAGGTCCATGCTTGCTCTTGAAGTCCGCCAAGTACTGCATATACTCCTTGTATGCGTCGGTCTTGCGGTATGTCGACAACTGTATGTTATACCTCTCTTTTGCCGCGTTGGCCTGTGCCTCAAATGGCTCTTTACTGGCGGGGTCCAACTTCTGCCATTTGTCGCCAACGAGTTTGGCGATCTGAGTAAAGGACAAATTTTGGTCCTTTACCTCCTCCCGCACCCTGTTGGAGAAGATCACATATGCTGAAGGAGGGCGCTCGGGTGCGTTTTCGTCAGGCTTGGGGTGACGCCTATACTTCCTCTTGGCCTCAGGAGCCTGTCCTTGGCCTCGTTCGGTCGAAGCAGTTGGGGTTACACTGCTTTCAAGTGGCTTGCCCGTTTCCGGGGGTGCTTCTTGAGCCGGAGATCCAACGACGCGTTCGTACGGGATGCCTCGGTAATCCGCGATAGCCCGTTGGAGTTTCTTTGCTGAGAGTCAGCCATCTTGGAACTCTATGCCAGGTCTGGTAACCACTTACCCTTCGATGACCTAGCTTGACATTAAGAGCGTCGCTATAGGTATTCGTCAGTATGCCACGCGGTGGCATTCGGCCAGAGACTTACAAATCGCTCTCTTGAATATCGGTCAAGGTATCCCAAGTGTCGAAACCCTCGCTCAAGAATATATCAAGGTATTGCTCAAGGCCTAAGCGCTCGAGATGGGGCGCAAGATCTGTCATTCAAGCGTGCAAATTGACTCATCGATGGTAGGATATCGATAGCCGCGGTACGTTCCGGTCGTCAACCTGGGGGATCTGCCGTACAAACCGTTCGATGAGGTCCGGGGGGATGGGTATCGAGGTTGACCTGTTTTTCATGTGGAGACAACGCTTCTGGGGTGGCAAAGAGGTCTAGGCCTTGTGTCATTCGAGCATCCGGTGATGATTGGTGATGGGTAACAAGAGCCAGTGTTGGAAGGGGTGTATGTAGTATAGTGTTGTATATCGGTCTTGGCAATATCACCAGCCACAGGATAAATTTTCGTGTTCTTGGATTCAGAGTTAGGTAGGTTGCAGTGACAATGATGAGGTTTTGAGAGGAATTGCTTTCCGATTGATGACAAGATGCCCCTTTTGATTCCTGGAGGCCGATGCGCAGGTCGAGTCGATCGTCGACTAGTGATGGAGGATTCCGCACCAAGGTCTTCAGGGTCCGTAAGGGTCTTGTTCAATACCCATGAGGGCCCGACGTGATGGTGGTGGGGGAAAGACGAATGCGATACCGATGCCGATGAAGCCCTGAGATCGCGAGTTGGGCTGATGCGGCTCCAATCAGTACCGAGAAGCAGATATGGAAGTCCTAAACAGGATATCCAGATCTCAAACTGGAAATAAGGCGGATTTTTGGTGCAATACGATCATAGACCACGCGATCAGGAGGGATGCTGATGGGAGGGCCAAGCGAAAGCCCACGAGTAGAGACACAAAAACTCCCCACCCACCCGGTAACCGTGCAAGGATCGGACAAGATGAGAAAATTGGCGACAAGCGCCTTTGTACGGAAAGAATGGAAAAGAGGAGCGAGAAAGGGCCGCTTAGAACGAGATTATGGGCTGTTCATGGTCTGAGGAAAAGGTGATGTTGATGGAATGAAAACCCAAAAATCAGGCATTGACGTGGGCATGGACAGGGGAAGCTGATAGGATGATGCAAGGAGCTCTGCTCTCGCTTTGACGTGCCGCCATTCGTTCGTTAGCGAGGCAGAACTGGCCCCAATCATCTGTGGATTTCTTCGTCTTCGGGGTTTCCCAGGCATCTTTTAGGCAGTGGGTGGTGGGAGGACTCGGTTTGCGTTTCGAAAATCATACACTGCTAGCTCTTAGTAGGCAACCGAAGCCATGCATGTGCGCCTCCAAGCTGGGTCTCGTTCCAGTCATGGCGGTCCCAAGGCCGTCGCTCGGTGCCTGCCAGACCCTGAGGAAGCCATCCCACTTTAGCGGCGGTGGACTCGGTGGGGGAACCTTGTTGCCCTCTGCAAATGTACCTGCGTACGGAGTAGACAGAGCACATCTCGATGACACCATCGTGCTGACTCGCTACCAGCTGAGGTGCTGTACCGAGCCGTCGATGGACTGCATATGACGGCAATGGCTCCTGGCGCGAGATCTATTGACTACCGCAGTATGTATATATTTCACAGATATTTTGCACAGCATCGATGGAACGAGTTGCTCACAGACTCGGTCAGACGTACTGATTTGGCAGAATAATCTCCTGCTTTCGATTGCATCCAAACAAACGAGAGTCGTGACAGATTGAGGCGTGGAGGGTCCGACGGGGTAGAGTCCTTCGGAAGGAGAATTGGATGGACCCTGCACTTTGCTCCAGCAAATGTCGACAAACCCATGCTTGATCGTCGACCAAAAATTTGTTGGCGCCATGGTGAAAGCCAATTTCGCTGTCCGTTTCGATGCCCAAGCAGAGTCTCCAGGCGAGAAATTGAGCTACGAATAATGGAAAATTTAGGTCGCAGATCAACGGCTGCAGGAAAGCGTATCGTACGAGTCAGGACTCGAGAAAACAGGACAAGTGTTAAAACCTGTTACTCGGTCGATCTGGCGTAGAATAAAGTCGTCTGCGTAGGCACCATGAGTGGTGGACACCAATGAGCCCCAGGCCCCGAAGTTGACTAGGCGCGATATGCAGCCACGAGTCCGGAAGATTAGTTGTTCAAGGCCACTGACGTCGATTGCCGCACAAGAGCACGATCTCGGTGCACCCTTCGAAAATGGAGACCGGTTCTCGGGAACGCGATCTGTCTGCGAATGTTCGATCCCTCAGTCGAGAAGCCCGCCGCGGGCCAAGTCAGGAGGTTCCACACCCATAGTGCATGCAGAAAGGGTTCTCTCGGGACTGTAAATCCTTAAACTTCGTCCAGCACCACCTCGAAGGCAACAGTCACACGCTGAAACATGAGCTGTCCAGATGGAGAAGATCAAATGCACCGAACTATGGGTCTTGGCCCAATAAAAGCATATTCGACACAGGTTGCACCCGTCATCAAACCCAAGCTACAGCAACCTGCTTTGGGATGGTCGAGGGGTGAAATCCTGACTTCAATACTCCATAACGACATCAGGATTGATGCTTCTCCCCGGCGTACTCAACAAGATCGTTTCAAGATCTCCACGTACCAAACCACCGTCCCAAGCACTTCCATTGTTATATATATTGTGATCAGTGCGGTTTAAGGTCGACCATGGCCAGTGACATTTCATCGTTGGGTACTGTGCAGCCGTGACTTTTGCTTTGACCAACGGAAAGGCAAAGCCGTGAGTGTAAGTCCCAAGAAAGGTTAGGACGACAGGCCCCAGATTTGCCGAACCACGTACGTGTACGTAAGATGCTGTTGAGAGGGATCTATTACGAGTACTGTAAAGTTACTGGTGGCGACGCGGCAAGAGGCAAACAGACAGTTCTGCTCATACTCGTACTTGACTTGACCTTTGGTCGTAACAAAACATTGTTTCAGACGTGGTGCAAGGCTTTGCAGGGCAAGGGCGCGGTGATGAGCGTAACCCTGCCTTCGTCTCTTGAGAGTTGTGATCCGCGCTGCAGTTGTTCGTTATTGGCAAATGCTGGACGAAGCTCGAGTGTTGCCTTTGGTGCGTGTCCACTTGAGTCCACGCCTAACGACTTCGCTTTCATCCTCTGAAATCCACCGTTCTGTCAGATGAACCAGTCGTCAAGAACGATACGACTTCGGTCGTCCAGTAAGATGCCTCGCTTCTGGAGCCTTGGGCACCGTCAGCTGGCGGAAACCATGTGGGACACCCATACTTTTGTCTTCCAACCAGCTTCTTTGTACCCTCTTCCTCACCGTGTTGTGGAGCAAGGCTTGTACCGATTTTCCGTGAAGCCCGGCATTCTCCAGACGCGTGGATACCCATCAGCCTAAGCGGAAGCGCTGCTAGCAATGCAAACACAGAGTCATCTCGATCCGCATACAGTAGGACGAGAAACAGGGAGGATGTACACAGTAGTCTGATAGATGCAAATCACATCTGCAGAACGATTAGCGTTGCAGAGCGAGAAGAGGGATAACACGAAGAGGCGACAGAGGTGAAAGCTTGTTTCGACAGAATCAGATAATCGTTCAGCATACGGATGCGGGATACTTTTGGGGGATATCAAACTTCACCGCAGGCACAAGGCTGTGAGATGGGCATTGACCGAGGGGGACGGTTGAAGAGTGCCAGTTATAAACGGGCTGCCGGGTCTCCGGAGCAAGCCTCGAGCAAGCCAATCCTATTAGGTACCTAACGCAAGGCAGGGCTAGGGAGGCTTAGGGAGGCCTAGGCGATAGTTTGCTGCTGGTGTGCTTCTGATGAGCCTTGTCCTGGCGTGAACTTTACCTAGACGACCGCACGACGCCTACCTCGTACTTGATCCATCCTGCTTCCATGCCTGTCTACAACATTCTGTTCCCACCCATCAACACCTTCGGTTACAGTACACTGTCTTCGGTCTTGTTTCTCTTTGCTACTCGTACCCGTACCGTAGTCAAACACTTTTTTGACGCCGATCTTGGTCCCTGCGTCAGCTTCTCCCGGTCACACTCTCTGCGCTTTCACCGGTCCCTCACTCGGCCTCGATCCCACCAAAGGACCCTTTTGAAAAATTGCACCGTTGTCTCCCAATGGCACAACAGGGGCCCGACAGCCAAAATGTCAACGCCCAATCGAACGATAAACTAGATAACGAAAATCCGCAGCTGCTGAACTCGGAGATGGCAAAAGTGAGCAAAAATCCGGTTTTGATGCCTGCTCTTCAGTCCTCCGTACCCGCTGACTGTAACATTATTTGTGGCCAAAAGGCATTCCAGGAGCTTGCACAGTAAGGGACAGCTCCGTATGTCCGCCATCACTACGGCTTTAACTGATCACGATGATATAGCGGTGAAAGGACAGCCTCCGCCCTAGAAACTAAGCTAGATGGCATCGAGAGCCGCATTGAGCAGCTGTTGGCGAGCATGGAGAACAACACACGCCAACCCGATTCTTCAAAACCAGAGGCCCAATCACAAAAATAAGGGTTTCCGTGGTTTCCGAGAACTCGATACCATCACGCTTCAACACTCCCACTGAGCGGTTTCGAGCTGAGATACCACAGTACCACAGTACCACAGTCCTGCTAGTCATCACGCTATGCCATTTCTGGACACTCGTCTTCTTGAACGTCTCAACTGAGCAGTGTCTTAGTGCCGCACCGTACCAAGAGGCCGGCGTACTTTTAAACGGAGTTGAAACCTCATTGTCGAGGTAAGAAGTGCTGCGACCGACCCTTGGTCAAGACTGTTGGAAGATCGGACCAAAGTCGAACTTTCCATCCACCTTTTCCACTACGCCAACCTCTGTGATGACTCCATCAATGAGCTCGGCAGGAGTAACGTCAAATGCAGGATTCCATACTTCAATCCCAATTGCGGCTGTGCTGATGACTTCCGCACCTTCATCAACAAGTATTTTTCCCTCTGGGGTGACCTTTGGCCCCTTGATCCTGGTGACTTCCTCCGGCGCTCTCTCTTCAATCACAATGTCTTGACCGGAGGCGGTAGCTAGATCAATGGTGGTCCTTGGAGCGGCGACAAGAAATTTGACCCCGTGATGCCGGGCAAGCACGGCGAGAGAATATGTCCCGATCTTGTTGGCAGTGTCGCCGTTTGCCGCGACTCGGTCAGCTCCAACGACAATGGCCGCAAGTCTATCTCCCTGTTTGGCAAGTAAGGCACAAGCCATTGAATCTGTGATAAGGGTCGCTGGTATTTGGTCGTGGACGAGTTCATACGCAGTCAGGCGAGACCCTTGGTTATATGGTCGGGTTTCCGAACAATAAGCCCGAGTGAGCATGTCAGCCGTCCGGAGAGATCTGATAACACCAAGAGCGGTCCCGTACCCAGCCGTTGCAAGAGACCTGAAAGAAGGTCAGTCACCGTTAACAATGTTCAGACTCGTGCTTTCCCTACCCAGTGTTACAGTGTGTTAGGACTTGCAGCTCTTGACTCTTCTCTTGTTTTCTTTTTCTCCCTGCCACAGTATTTTCCTCGATCCATCGAGCGCCGTGTTCTCCAATGGCCTTGTTGTCGGACACATCGTCTACCAGCATTCGTTCGGCAGCCACTATATATGCCTGTGCCACAGTGTCGGGGGTTGCGTCCGGTTGAAGGGTGGCCTTTTTGGCGACAATTTTCAATTTGCCCACCGCATCTCCCAAATTGACGGCCGTGGGTCTGCTGGTCTTCAAGTAGTCCAACCGCTGGCTTAGGTACTCCTTCACCTCTTCCGCAGAACTGGGCAGTTTCCTTGCCGCAACTACTGTCCCGATCTCAACGGCCAATGCGAGAGCGGCTACAATAGCAATGGCTGGCGCTCCTCGCACCTTCATCTGCTTGATCGTTGCATGGGCTTCTTCGCAAGTGGAAACCTGCTCGTACGTCGTCCTATGGGGGAGGAGAAGCTGGTCGAGAATGCGCAGAGACGGGGGTGAAGAGGCCGATGCTGGCTCATACTGAATGGCTTGCAGTACCATCTTGTCGCCGCGACCACGAAATTGACGAATCTTGAGATGCCGTGGACCAGCAATAAAAGCTGCAAGTTCTCAGTCTGCTCGAGGCTGCGGTATGCGATGGCCGCCACCACGTGCGCAACTTCGCCGCCATCTCAACTTTTTTTTCCTGCGCTCGCCATCAGCGGTGCGGGGTATCGCAGCTACAGCCCCAGTCGTGAATCCGAGCCCTCACAACTCACCATTGGACGCGAGTGACGCCACCCTTCGTGTACTGTATACCACAGTCTTTCACTTGGCAGCTTTTTGTATTGACCAGTACATCTTGAACGCCTGACTTCGCGAGTCGTTCAGCCACTGCTGAGTGCGAGTTACGGTTATGAAAACATCAGAGATCCCAGGCGTAGCCCAGACGGGGTTCGCGCCAGCTGCAGCTTATGATGCTCATCGGCCCACTTATGCAAAGGAAGCAGTCGAGCAATTTCTCAAACGCCTGGAACTTGTTGGTGTCAACGGGGCCAAAGTTGCGGACCTAGCAGCTGGGACGGGCAAATTCACCGAAGTCCTCGCCTCCAGACTTGAAGAATATGACATTGTGGCAATCGAACCGCACGATGGCATGCGGGCGGAATTGGAAAGGAAAGCTCTTCCTCATGTCAGGGTCGTGAAAGGCACAGCCAATGACATGGCTGAAATCCCTGATGGAAGTCTGGCATGTGTTGTTGCAGCTCAAGTAAGTCAATCAGTCCGAGTGTGTCAGGAAAACCATATCGTTAACCTCCCCAGGCGTTTCATTGGTAGGTCGAGGATTTCGAAACATCAAAGCCTACTATCACTGACCTGCGTCAAGGTTTGCAAACATGGAATCTCTAAAAGAGATAGCTCGGGTGCTGCAACCAACCGGTGTTTTCGGCGGCATCTGGAACATCGAAGACTGTAAGTTGATATCAGAGCATGACTCGCCGTGCATCGCTCACTTTCATTCCAACCAGATAACTCACCACTCACGTGGAAAATCCATTCCGGATGGGAAAGCACAATGCGAGATGTGGTCTGGACATTTGACGATGAGCAGCCACGGTTTCGACATGAACAATGGCGCAAGGTGTTCGACGAGCAGAATAGAAGTAACCCGCTCACTTTACATTTCGCCGATCCGCTGTTTGGTCTGCCTCTAGGCGAGGATTCGGTGGAGTTCGAGACATGGTTGTCCAAGGATGACATTTGGAGCAGGTTGAGAACGCTGTCTCAGATCGCGGTATTGGAAGGGGAAGAACTGGACAAGGTGAAGAAGACGTTCTTCGACAGCATCAATGCGGAAGAAACGGAGACGGATGAGCAGGGACGGGTCGCTGTCCATGGGCGAACTGTATTCTTCTGGACGAGTAAAATACCTGCTGAACCGCTGAGAAGTGGTGGCTAGACTCTTGACTATCGTCTCCAAGCAGTCTTCGTCGCTTCGTCTGGACCTCAATAGTTGGCAACTCCTTATGTGCCACTCCTTCTCGTACCAAAATAGTCCCAGGCTTGTTCGCATCGCATACGCACCTTGTTTGATAGGCGCTGTTCAGTTTCTCTGTGAGCCTTGTGAGAGCGTCTCCCCAATACTGGTCCTCGACCCGGCGAGTCCCATTCGCAATGACTCGAGCCTGCAATGTGTTCGACAGCTGGTGAAAAGAGCCGTGTCGATTTGTCCCCAAAATCTCCGATCACGTACACATGGCGCGTTCCTCATTCGCTCGAAATATACAGCACTAGATGTATCACACTCTCGTCAGTCCTGCGCTCTTTGCATACTTCAAGACGCTACGGCCCCATGGTAAGAGTCCGGAACGCTGTATATTCTTACCATTATTCCCTCGCACGAACGCATCGCCGTAGTTCCTCCTCAGCTGCCCGTTGACATACTCTGTGCACTTCTCCAGGGCGATGTTCATGTATCCGTCCACAGACTGCAGTTCGCCTTTGTATACGATTCCCGAATTGAGCTTGACCGTGACGGGGACGCCGATGATCGAGGACAGAAAACTCGCAGGGTCTTTTGGGTCGGCGCTGGTTGAGGAGGTGTGGTTCTCCATCTTCTTTTTTCCTGGGACTGAGTGATGCTCTCCGCTAGCTATCAGGGGGACAGGATGAAGAGCAGTTCTCGGCGTAAAGAAAGAATGGTGTGTTGGCCGGTCGTTGAGGATGCGCGCTGTGCTTGGGAAAGTTTGACGTTGCTGGCGCACTTCGAAAGATTTGAGATTGATTGAGGGAACGTTACTCGTAGGCTAGGTAGGCACGGAGCCTTGCAGACGAGAGATGCGGGGGAGCTGACCTTTTTTAGGTAAGGCTTCTAGTGTGTATAAGCTTAGCAAATAGGCGTCGACCTCGCATGTCCAGGTGCTAGATATAGGGGCACTAGGCTTACTTTAGGCACCGCCATGTTGCATATAAATTATTCCAGATACCAGGTAAATATTGATTTACAGCCTCGCCAAGCTAGCCTCGCATTCCTCCTTCACTTCAATATCAACACGACCCGCAGGTCACTTCATATATCTAACTGACCGAATTTTGTGTAAGTATGGCCAAGCGACGTTTGGGCTCTGGGGGACGCCCTGGCCCCATTCGCCAATGTCTTGCACGTAGAGCGGTTTTCCCGCCAACCTGGCCCTGGTCCCCGGGTAACATCACGTTGGCACTGAGTTGAATCCGTCAAAGAATAAACCGGTTCGGGCTGGCCTCGAATGTCTGTGTTTTCATCATGACCTGGCTTCAAACCACCGAAGCTTGCATTAAGTTTTTGCTCGTCTCAGCTTTGGGTTGGATTCTTTTTCTCGCCGGAGAGCGGTGTGGTCGGCGGCTGTGTGGGACTGGTGGTAGTGAAGACTGCCGCACCTTTCACGATTCACTGAGAAGTTGTGGCACGTGTGTTAGTGGCTGGCCATTGACGCATTCCTGCGAAAAGGCGTGGCTTTACTTAACGTAATGAACGGCATGGACTTGGCCTGATGATAGCTGGGCCGAGTGAGAGCAGGACTTTTCTTAAATGGCTGAGCTATTAGACTGACTTTCCAGAATCAACACCATCAAGCACGTCGACGACAGAGGCCGATGGGGCATCTTCTAACATTCTCTGTCGAGCTTGATCTGCAAGACTGCCGGTGGGCTCGGTTTTCTCTTCCCGCCGGTTCAGGAATGAGAGGTACGTCTGCCATACAACAGCAAACACCCCAGAAAAGGCGAACCGCAGATGAGCTGGGATGAGCGTGAAATTCAAAGCCGTCACTATCGGCCAGAACTTGGCCGAACTGACAACGCTTTCTGGGACTGCTGATACAACGCGATGGATTACGACGGAAGGCTGGTGGCCCGACAGCGCAGCCTGCATACCGAAGAAATATGTGTTGAAGATCGGTGCGAACAGGAACTGCTGAATGAGCACTTTTACCGAAATCGAAGCCCATCTTGATGCGTAATTGAAGTGGGTACCCAGAAACAGGAACCTGTGAGAAGGTTATTAGCTTTTGCACTTGCATTGTCGACTTGTCGACCGGTCATACCATTTATACCCAGGAATAGATGCAAGTCCACCGATGGTGAGCATCCTCAAGGTTCGAACACCGTCATATGGCTCTCCTCCAATCTCCTGTGCCAGAAGATCGCCAATAAGATATGTGGTCAATGACGTTGCCAGCGTGGTCCCAAGGGGCCTCCTTCGCTGCATCCGGCTGAACCATGAGAAGAAGTCTTTGACTGGACCGAGACGATGGTACCATAGCGGACCAGGAACGTCTATGACCGAAGGTTCTGTGGAATGCGGCACCTCTGTCACAATCTGGTTCGGCGTATGAGGTGTCTTTTGCAATTCGGCAGTCTTGATCTGATCCTTGGTAAATACGTTTCTGCTAAATTGCCGATGGCGACCAAGTAGGCGTTGCCTGAAAGTCCGCGCCATGAGATGGGCAGCCATGACTGGAATGGGACAGGTACTTCTCGTAGAGCGAGCCTTCACATCGTCGGTGTCGCAATGGCAATCGGACTGAGTACCAGCACAGCGAGAAAGTCAACCGACCGAGGTCACACGAAAGGAAACTACCACCTTCGATCAGACGGGGCTTTGAAGGAAGAACTCCAACGTTGGTACTTTTGCAGCTCATTCAAGCTATCTAAAGCCACATATAAAGGGCATGACGTCACATCATTCGAGTCGACCAACCCATCAGAATCCATCGTGATGCCAAAACAACCTGATCGCGTCACGTTCCACCACAAGCAACATCAAAGGAAGGGCGAACCTGTGTGGTCGTTCTGTGCGACTCTCTCCCTGAGCAGAAGAATTCTAAACCCCCCTCTCAATCGCATCCTTCTCTTGCGATGCGAAATCTGGATTTTCTCTGAGTGCCCTCTGATCTGGACCAACTCCGGCCATATCAGTCCCACGTAGCTGAGCGTCTGGGAAGTCTTCTGGCTTGCCATACTTGCTCTCATAACGCTCCAGATCTTCCTCACGCGTTTTGTCGTCGTCGTAGCCAATTCGAGGATCCAGCGAGTTGAGGAATTCGGACTTGTGCCTGGGAACTTTGCTTGTTCTACCAAATGATGGACCTCCAAAGCTGTTGGGTGCTTGTTCCAGACCTTTGTCTTCGCCACTGCCTACTCCCAGGCTCGGATCTGGTGCTTGATCTCCCGACTTTGTGGGATTGAAAGATGGCGAGTTTGAATCTTGTAGAGCACCTTGATCTGCCCCAATGCCACTCATGCCTTCGCTCTTTGATACCTTCAATTTCTCGAGGACGGCCGCCATTTGATTGATGCTGTTTTTCACAGGTTCAGGTATGTGTAGATCAAGCCGTATAAAACCACGTTGTTTACGCTTCGCTTACCTCCTCAGCCCGCTCCAGCGGCCCAGCACCTTTTCATATATGATATCGGCGCATCTTCACCCGCGAAGACGTCATAATCAGGTTCTCGATGTTAGCCCCAGGGTGTGAATTAGGTCCCTGAGACCTGTTGATGAGATGTAGCCCAATGAGAGACTATCTGACAAGCCAACAGCTCAAGAATATCCCCTAGGAATCGATTGCATACAAGGCAGCGATTGGCTGACCTCCCGCAACATAGATAAGCTGGTTGCTTGCAATTCGACCAACCCCTGGACGCGGTACAGGACGTATGAGGCAGCGAGGATGCAAGTCTTGAAATGCGACAGTCCTCAGATGGGAATGCATCGCGCATGAGACTCTGCATCGTCGCTGTTTACTGTAGGGTCGACGGTGCGATTGAGGCCATCAACAACGTACATGGTACGGTGGAGCGGGAGACGTTCAACCCCAGAAAACCCGGAGCTCCTCACGGTATTGTGCTTCATGTCCATGTCCTGGCTCGGCGACTGCATTGTGGAATTCCAGCCCTGTGCCGTTGCCTTCATCTCCAGCAATGCCATTCTGCAACTCTTGCAAGAGCATTACACTTCGCTCGGTGACTGAAAGGAACGGACACCTGCTTCATAATGAGTGGCTCGCTCTTGAAAATGCAGCTGCAACATGCAAGCTCTGTCGTCTCTTCCTGGATTACCTTCGTCCAGAAGCCGAAAGGGCTCTTCTTGAGAGACTCAGCTATCCCCCGGTGGCTTATCATCACTTCCTCAAGTTCCCAATAGTGGTTCGTTATCTTGATGGGGGCATGCGTCTACCTGAACAGCGACATGAACTGCGTGAAGCTCCAGGCCAGACCACCCACCTGCATGTCACCTGCGCGGAATTTGGTTTTCAGAGGGCAACAACAGATGAGCATTCGCACGGGCAACGATCTCTCCATGGCTTGCAATCCAACCCAATCAGCGATTTCTTGGAAGGCTTTCGAGTCGACATTAGTGTGCCTATATATACCTACCATAGTATGGGCAATCGCGAAGACAGTACGAACCCAACTCTTCCAACTGACGACGTGTAGATGATCCTTTAGGCCGTTCGGGCATACAAATTCGTGAGCCATTGTCTCCAAGTTCGATTGACTCTTCTGTCGTCACGAAAATCAAGAAGTGGAGGACGCATTGTTTGACTACACATCCCGAATGTTGTCCACTTGATCCGGAGTTGAGAATTTACCCAACGAGGCTACTTGACCTTCGGAAAGTCAGCACTACGGGAACGGCACGAATCGTCCGAACCACACAGTCGTTTGGGCATGAGTACGTCGCTTTGAGCTATTGCTGGGGCGGCAAGCACGCTTGGTGGATAAACTATGTCAAAGAATGCCAACGCAACCCTGAAATGGAAGTCAAAGTAGACAAGATGCCGCAGACATTGCAAGACACGATAGCGAGCTGCATTGCCTTAGGCTTTGCATACTTGTGGATTGACTGTCTTTGCATCCTGCAAGGTAACAAGCAGGACTGGCTTGCCGAAGGCTCCAAAATGTGTGATATCTACGGCAACGCCGCCTTGACAATTGCTGCCAGCGACTCCAAAGATTGTCGTGTTGGCTTTCTCGTCCCGCGGTCGGGGCTAGAGCGCGAAGGCGTAGTCATCCCCTTTGCCGATGACTCTGGGAGGGCGGGAATGCTGCATCTTTGCATTCCAGGAACCCCTTTCGATGAGATAGTTGGACGCGGGCCAGTGGCTCGACGAGCGTGGTGTCTTCAGGAGCGGCAGATATCAAGGCAGGTTTTGCACCTCTGTCAGAGAGAAGTCTTCTTTGAGTGTGTGAGGTGCCTTCGCCACGAAAGTGAGAGGGTGCCTGACCAAGAGTTTGATCCTAATGATGAGTTTTGGCGGTTTCACGTGTCGCTTGAACGGCAAGGACCACAGGCGTTCCCCCGGAAACCTTCGCCAGATGTATATAACGTCTTGTCATGGTGCGGAATAGTCGAGGACTACACACGAAGAGATCTTGCATTTCCAGAAGACAAACTTGTCGCCATTGCTGGGCTGGCCAGGCGGGCGCAACGGATTCTGGGCGGAGACTATCTTGCTGGGTTGTGGAAGAACCGAATCCACATTGGGCTGGCGTGGCAAATCCCAAAGGAGATGGTCGCAACAAGGGCTCCGATCTATCGTGCCCCGTCCTGGTCATGGGCGAGCATAGACGGGCCTGTCAGCTACGACCGCAGCGACGGCTTCGTCCAAAGCGACGATGGCTTCCTCGAGTCCGCTATTACTGTGCTAGACGCAAGGGTGTCCCTGGCCGGACCGGACCCTTTCGGGCCAGTTCAGTATGCAGACGTGGTCGTTTCTGGCCAGCTGAAACAGATAACGCCGGGACAGCTTCTGCACAACGATATACTGAAGTATCCGGATTGGATGAGCGGTGCTGCTGCGCAAATCGGATGGTATCTTGAGGACGAGAAAGGAACCGTGCACGTGGAGATGATCACTTGTCTCAAGATCGCTGTGAAACCCTTCGGGCCTGGACCAAGTCTGCCTCCAACTAACTCTATGCTCATTCTGAAGAGTGTTGATGCTGACAACGGAAATGACCCTCCGCGGTACAGGAGGATCGGATTTGGGCAGGTCTTTGTCACGGACTACTTTGCTGATTGCTTACCGACCACCATAACCCTAGTTTGAAGGCACAGTACGGCGGCCAAAGAGGGCTAACAGGTCTCCCGAAGTCAACGATCCTCCCGATTTGGCACAAGCACTTGACCTTCGACGGGCAATACTGGGAGAGGTGATGGTCTGACAGAATCTTCCATTGACTGGATTGGACAAGGCGGGCAAGAAGGGGCGAATGCAAGCCGATACGCAATCAGCGTTGTGGACGTCCATCCATTCATTCTCGGCGTTAGGACTATACAAAAACAAATAAACTCCAGCGCCCATGTGAAGTAACCAGGCTGAACTCCATCCATTTAGGGACGGTCAGCCTTACCGGACATAACTCGACAAAGCGCCCGCAATGTGACCAACTACTTTATAAGGCAGTCAAGTTGCAGACAGGCAAGAAAAACAGTCCCACAAACCTCCCTGGATTCTCAGATTGTCCCGCACCGTCCCGAAAACAATGGCAGAAACCAAAGGCCAATGCCTCTGCGGCGCTATCGAATTCGTCGTGCACGACGAACCCGTCACATCCGTCCTCTGCCATTGTATCAACTGCCAAAAATCCAGCGGTTCGTCGTTCCAGGCGAACTGATTCTGCAAGAAAGAGGTAGTGCCTCTCTGTTGTCTTCATCTTGGTTGAAAGTCAGCAGGACTGATGACTACGGTCGCAGCAATTCAACCTCCTCCAAGGTCAGAACAGCATCACCTCGTATCGCGACAGTGCCACCGACGCTGGCGTCACGGTCGTCCGCTCATTCTGCAGCAAATGCGGGTCGAACGTGTTCACGACGAACCTCGATAATCCGGAAATCCAGGACTTTGTCATCGTCATGTCTGGCTGTCTGGAGGAGCGGGCGCGAAAGGGGTTCCGGCCGAAGCAGGAGTACTACTGCAAGCGGCGGCAGGGGTGGGTTGTACCAGAAAGCGCGAGCGAGAAGTTTGAGGGGATGACTTGAGAAGGTACATGAAGACTTTCCGAGATTCGTTAGCCCTTCACACAGCCAGTTCAGTAGCCGTCTCAGCAACGCCTGGAAAGACCAAACAACCGAGAGGCTTGATTTCGAGGGCATGGACGGAACTTCATATCTGCACGGAGTAGACCGTGTCCTGCTAGCTCTTTCGTCCATTCAGACATGCAATCATCAAATCCGAACCCCTGGCCATGCCACGTACAAACTCACAGACTTCGGATCTACCATTCCCATTCTCTAGGAGATTCGGAATGGTCGAGTAGTCTAAGATCCGCTCACGTCGCGCCCAAAGCCAACCTCCAAAGCACATGAATCAACACACGAGTCGCCACCCATTGCATGCTCCATGAGAGACCGTGGTAACCATACCTAAGCCACCACCGGCGTCTGATGCAAGATGCACACCCATTTCATGGCCTGAGTGGCGGAACGATCACTCACATTTCTCGCCTCACGGAATTGGAAGGTCACCTTGACCTGCGGATCACGATTGAGGTGCTTGCGAAGTGCCTGCCAATATTTTTTGACGTACTGATCTCCCCTCTTATAAGTTGCATCGAAAACAGCCAGACGTTGAGTTGGATCTAGTCTGCTGGTGCTCCTACTCCATTTCATTTGGATTGGATTATCCCGCCAATTCACCTCGATGTCAAACTCGATGTCGCCCGCCTGTCTCTGGGCGCAGAAATCAAGCTTTCCTCGGTTCCCTTCCAACACCCAGTATTGATGGTTGATGACCTCCTTTTGTAGTAAATCGTAGAGGGCGGCGGACTCTTCAGAGGCCAATGTTACAGACGCTTCGGAAATTCGAGGCAGTGCAGAACTTGGTTCTGCCGTGAGGGGCCCCCCTCTTGTCATTGGTTTGGACGGGCTGCTGGGAATGGCTCCTTTCGGGATCCGGTTCTTCACAATACGTTGTATTTCCGTTGTCAGTGTTCCAGATTTGTTTCGAGACGCCTTTTGGACCTTTTGGGCCGCCGAAGCGACCGGAGGAAGAGGCGTTAAAGAAGTTACATCTTCACAGGAAGCATTCCATTGGTGACCAGCGTTCTGGTTTTGGATGCTAACCATCCTGCTCCTCCAGTCACCAGATCTCGAACAATGCACAACATTGTTTGGACCACCGGTCACAGCTGTAAAGTCCTTGGCCATTGTGTCCGGTATGGCTGCAATCCGGTGCTGCGATTTGTTGCTGGCTGAAGTGTAGGAGTTAGTGGTTGACGTTGTGGAATTGCTGAACGTGTACCGGGTCTTCCCTCTCAACCGGCTTTTGGTACTAGAAGTCCTTTCGCTGGAGTGAGAAAGAACTCTTCGCGGCGTGCCGGACGTCGAGTTGCCTCGAGCGACTCCAATGATAAGGAGACGACATTGCAACCCCCGGAGCGAAACATGTCCTGCACAATGATACTGTACGATATCTCATCATCTGCAGCGTCCTTGAGCCCCAAAAGAGCGCTGCAAACTATTTCGGCAATGGTGCTGACTTGGCTGAAGGCTATACCAACCATGGCTGGTTCCTTGTCAGCAGGCGACACGTTCTTGAACAAGGATTGCACAGCTTCGAAATCTGCATAATCATCCTGAAATATGCCAAGGACCTCTAACCTCAAATATAAGGCGGTTTCTTCTCGCTGGAGTTCACGCTGGTGTCCCTCAGGGTCTTGAAGGATTTTGCGGATCTGCGGAAGCCTTCCCAGGTCAACTTCACCAACATGCGCGCCAGAGCCTGAGGTACCAAAAGGCATCTCTGATATAGCGTGGGGCGTAGCGTTCGTGGACACGTTAGCTGCGAGTGGCGCGTCATTGTAACTAAACGGAATCGCTCGAGCAAGGACTTTATCAACCGGCGCGCTATCACCACTCACATGAGCTACGCGTCTGTCTCTCCAGCTGTTGCGCTGACTTGCTCTTCGCGCTCCCCGGCGACTGTGCTGCACAGTACGGCGACTTCTGTTTGAGAGTAGATCAAGCGCGGCGCGCGAGGTCTGGGTGCCACGATGCTGCATCCCGACGGTGATCATGGCCTCTGAAGCGCCTTCTGCAGTTGAAAGGTTCTGCTCGTCCCTTACTTGAGGATTCTCGGTCGAAACAAACATCGGTCTGCTTTGGCCTCTATTCCCCATGCTTTCCGGAGCCTTCGTGCGAGGTCGACCGACTAATCGCGCCAAAAGGCGCCTCAGCGATCGGGCCTTGCTTGAGCCAGAGAGGAACGCGGTCAGCTTCGGAGCTTCGCTCGTCTTCTCCATCTCCTCCCGCATTTGTTTCAATTCTTTCTCACCTTGTTCTCTTGCGCTCTTCGTTGCCTTCTTAAGTTGTTCCGAGCTCTCTAATTTCGTCTTGAAATCTTTCTCTGCTATCTTCATGTCCCTTTCATATCTTTCTCTTCGTTGATTCAATTGCTGCTCCGCCAATCTCCTTACTCTCTCGTCGGTGTGATCTTGTAATTTCTCCACGGGCTTCCCAAAGCCCTCTCTGGCCCTTGTTGAGTACAATGGCTCCTTATCCAGGGCCGGCTCATGACGAATATCTCCTGTAATCTTAGCATCGGCCGGCGTCTCCGAGAACTCCTCCGCCGCAGAATGACTGGAGCTGGAACTGCTGTGGCTTTCCAATGCTTCGCTGCCATGGATGTACATATCTTTGACGTGTTGTAGCACCGTAACCACTTGTCGTGCTTGCGGACGGGATTTGGGATCCGGGTTCAGCAGACGTTCCACGCAATTGAATAATTCCCATGACCACTTATCATGGCACTCCCGTCTCAATCCAACCATAACCCTCTGAACAGATGGCCGTAGAGTAACAAGCCCGTCCACTTCGAGCCAGAATGCATCTGTACTATCAAATTTGAGGGCCACATCTGCGAGTCTTGATTCTGAGAATTCAGAATTCGAGATCCGGTCACTCATCAGGACCCACACCAGAATCTCGAGAATCACACATCCGACAGCCCAGATATCGAACGGCCTTGAGACACGCCCCTGGGTCTTCGCCTCGGGGGCCATGTACGTCAGCGTGCCCTCCCCTTGAGAATATGCTGTAGTGTAAGCGCTGGCATGCGCATCTCCGGATTGCCCACGCCAATGGCTTATCCGCCCTGTTCCAAAATCAGACAGTTTTAACGTACCACGGTTGCGGTCATTGCCGAACACCAGTATGTTTTCGGGCTTGATGTCGTGGTGAACTCCAATGAGTTGGGAGTTCTGCCTTTTGTCAGATCCACCAGGTACAAAGCGGTGAATATGCCCAATAGCATCAGCTAATCCAATGAGCTGATCTAAGAGCCACAGTACAAAGTCGTCGCTACGGTCAGGTTGAGGCCCGTTGATCATGGCTCGCAAGTTTCCCGCTGCCAGTGGGTACAGAATATAGTATCTGTTCTCTTGAGTCCAGCTTCCAAGATGCGTCAGTAAATGTGCATGTGGCCGATCCTGGAAATGGCGCAACATCATTTGCTCCCTGGAGAAGGCCTCGGAAACTGCATCCACAAAACCAGAGAAAACCTTGAGTGCGAAGGGTTCGTTGACAGCCTGAAAGCTTAAGTCAGCTGGGGTCGTCAAAGACGCTTCGTTCTAGTTACCGCACATAGCGTATGCAGCGTAGGGTCCACGAGGACTTTGTAGACTTCGCTGAACGCTCCCCGACCAATAACATCGTCCCGCCAGTCGAACTGAATAGGAATAATTGATCCACGGCTCAGATCCCAAAAGGCACGGCTGGAACCGAGACTGAGGGGGAAGAATGAGGCAAGGCTTGCCATTAACTCATAATAGTCCCGAGCTCGGCAATTACGAAAGTCAGCAGGGTGGTCCAAAGTCCCCTGTGGCGGGATATTCAAATCGTGGAAGCCAGCTTCCAGAAGAGCCATAAGAAATGTCATAGACAGGCGAGAATAGCGACATGCTGCGTGTAGGCGTGGTGCTTCAGCCGCGATTCTTTCAGCAATGCTAGCAAGCTTTCCGCTGGTGTCAAACATCTGAAAGCTCATTCTCACAAAGCCTGCCTCACAGAAGGGCAGCAGGTCGCCTTTGGAGATGTAGCGCTGACCCTCGAAGTTCGTGCGCATTTTTGATCTCATCTCTGAGTAAACGGCTTTCTCGAATTCCGGCTCATCCATAGGGAACGTGGGTTGGCTGAAGTCAGATGTGGAGGAGTATCCAAAGAAGACATCGACTCGAGGTTGTTGAAATGGCTCCGAATGAAACGCGGTTGTTATGGCATGCTCCACTCCAGGCTGTTCCATGTTGATAGTCCAGGATTTATTTCCTGCTTCAACTTTGCAATATGACCACAGCAGGTAGAATTGCCTGCCTCCGAAAGGTCGAGAGAGACCCGCAGCTGATTCAGGAGCTTGCCGTAGGATAGTGCGTATCAGGAGAGACCATGGCCGCATTGCATAGCGTTCAACTTGTGTTAATCGACCAGAGCTGGGACCATTGATGGTGTCCTCAAAAGCGTGTAGGATTATTGTAGGAATATCGCTCCTCCATGCCGACGCGTTCTCGATTGAACGAAGAAACAGTACAAACTTCTCAAGTCCTAGTACTATTTCCTGGGTCTCCAACCCTTTCGAACTCCCAGCATTGGGCAAGTCCATGCTGTGCATCAGAGAGCTTATTTTGTCAGCGTGAGCTCTGTGATCTTCTGTGAAACGCTTCAACATCTTTGAGCTGGTGGACAAGGACTCTGCGTAGTCAGTTATCACCGAGCCAAGAGGGAACACCTTGTCTGAACGCAGCTTCTCTCTGAAAGTATATGCCGGCAGGAACAAGCTCTCTTTCAGCATATGTAGAGAGCTGTCGCAGAGCCCCATCCACTGGTCCAAGCCTTCAAGGAAGGCAACATTTGGGTTGGTAGACGCGCCGGACACCAAAGTCGCAGATTCGCTGGAGCCAATTTGACACTCAGGAGGTTGGCCATCTCGATTTAGCGCGCGCAGGACGTCGGGAGAAAGAGACACCAGCGATCTTTGTGAGACACTGGGGCTGCGGGTGGGGGGTATAATAATGAGTGGAGGAGGTCCAGAGCTTTCATCCATTTTCGATTCGCTTTTCTGAGGTCAGGATTCCAAGAAAGAGCGGTTTCATGCAATTCTCAAAAGAATGCGGCTGCGCTTTGCGCAGGGAGATTTCAGCCTTATTGTAGTTCAATCGGGCAGTAGTATTCAAGTCAGAAAGGGTCAGGATCGCTCCAAGCCAAGGAGACGACGGCGTGCAATCGGAGCTTGAAGCTACGACTTCCTCGATTACTGTGCACATTGTGAAGGAAGGAAAGAGAGCCTGAATCGCGCGGTGAGGCTGTAGAATTTCGAAGCAGGGAGGGCAAGGGGCCGACTTCAGCTGAGGCTTGCACGTGGTTCGCATTCGTGTTGGCCAAGACTCGAAGGACGTTGACGAGTAAGGCTCCGAAGTGAAAGATACGGAGATGTTCCGCCGGGGAAGGCTGGCACTCCGCTTTCTGTCACTTTACCACAGTAGGCTGCGCGACTCGAGGCTTCGCTTTTCTCCACAATATCCTTGCGTATCAAAACATCCCAGTCGCCAACAGAGTTACCATTATGCCATTATGACCAGCGGTGTCAAACGCTCATTCTTCACCAAGCCAGCATGGGCTGCCCCTGCCGCCTCGGCGCCTGCGAAGGAAGAGTCCTCAGTCTTCGGCCGAAATGATATCTACCGTGACATCCTACAGGCTGAACACGCGAAGAAGGAAAAGAAGGCTGCAAAGGCCAAACACAGAACTGGAAAGCAGGACAGCGAAGGGCCAGAGGCGAAGAAGAGGCGGATATCTAGCGACCCTGCAGACGCAAAAGACCCCAGCTATGGCTCAGATGCAGAAAGCGTCTCGAGCCAGACAAGTCTCAAGACTGAGAAGCAAAGTCAAGATCGGCCGGTGACTCGAAGCACACCTCGCAAGCAGACGTCGGGGAGCAAAGGTCTCGAGGAATCACCAACAAGCCGCAAGTCGCCGTCTACAAGGGAGAGTTCCAGACGCGATACCGTTATACTCCACGACGGCGATCAACAGTCGGATGACGACCTAGTGATATGGACACCTGTGAAACCCTCGAAGCCGTCCCCTGCTAAAAGAAAACCCAAGCCGCCGTCCGAGGACGAAGAATCAGAAGAAGAAGACCCTTACGTGCGCGAACTGAAGGCCAAAGCTCGCGAGAAGGCTCGCCTGCAGAAATTAGGCATCGAACCAGACCGACCCAAAACACCTCTCACCACATTCTCCCCGGCGGTCGGCCGCACGAGGTCTTCATCAGTAGAAAAGCCTCAAAGCCGTCCACTCTCGTCTAATTCCGCGCAAGACTTCAATCGAGCCACTCCAGTCTCCGAACAAGAAGACGACCCTCAAGTCCGAATCCTCATACAATCCGACATACCCGATACCAAACCGCTCATCGTCAAGCGCAAAGCTTCACAGTCTCTCAAACAAGTGAAAGAGTTCTGGTGCAAAAAGTGGGGTCTGCACGACTCCGTGACGAGAAAAGTCTTCTTCACTTGGCGGGGGACCAGGCTGTTCGACTCGACGACGATGCGCGGGATCATTCTGAAGCTCAAGAAAGACTACAGGCAGCAGAGTGCAAGCGTAGGTCTAGACGGTGACGAAGACGAAGACAAAGACCCCAGCGAAGGAAATATCATGCTTGAGGCCATGACGCCGGAGATATACGAGGACAAGCAGCGACAAAAGGAGCGGGAGCAGCAGGCGCAGGCACAGCAGGATGAGGAACACGAAGAGGATGAGGCACCTACGCCCGCTCCAGCCGATGACGGCGCAATTGTGATTCGGCTTGTCGCGCAGAACCTTGAGCCTATGCAGTTGCGTGTGCGGCCACATACAACTATGGCGAAGATCATGCGTGGGTTTGCGGCGACGAGGAAAGTTGATGAGGGAAAGACGCCATGGTTAATCTTTGATGGTGAGAGGCTGGATCCGGAGCAGACGGTGGAAGATGTCGGATTGGAAGATGAAGATGGGGTGGAAGTTAGTATACGGTAGTACGGTGGTTTCGGCACCCAATGAGACACGATATGATCAAAGATGGATGTCCCATAAGCTCTTGCAGAAGGTTTTGCTTGATTCATTGATTGATATTGTCATTCGACCACGCCATTTCGAAAACACTGTGCTTGGTGATCACTAGCCCGATGCACCTTCTCATGTGTCGACGAGCTTTGAGTCCCTCGTGTCTTCCGGTGAGCGAAATGTCTCCATCGTACGGCAGTCGTTCAAACAAATGCGCCGAGTTTGCCGTGCTGTGCCATTCCACTGGTCTGCAATTGTCCGTCCATCTCCCTTCACAAACAGAAACAGAAATCGTTTAATGAGCACCAGTTCTTCTCGACTCGGCAATGACTCGTTGCAGATCATCGACCTTTCGCTTCGCACGGCCGAAAGTACCAAGCTGCGAACACAAGTAAGTTAGCTTTCGATTCTTGTCCCAACGCGGCGTCCGTGTTTTGAGACGAGTGTCGGAGGACATGCGACTTGAACATGGCACATTTGTCCGTCGCTAACGATGCCCGTCCAGACCTAAGGGGCGTGCAAATGAAAAGTTGTGGATGGTAGAACGTACTCGCTTCTTGGCCAACTTTCTCGCTCTCTTGTCCTTGCTGTTTCTCAACAATTCGATAACACGGCGCTCATAAGGAGCCAGGCCAGCGACTTCCTTGACGATCTCGCGGACGAAAGCAGTGCGCTTGCTAAGCAGGCCCTTGCGGCGGGAGATGCGTGGCTTGGGGGTGATGGGTGTGACTTGCTGTAATTGACGAAATTGATTAGCATGGTTTCTCTCTTCCAATCTCTCACATCCAGCATGAGCTCGGTCGGACAGTGTTGAATGGAGAGCGAGAATTCTTTTCCACCAGACTGTCGCTTGCCAGAACTACTGGAAAAAGAACCCCTCGACCCGTCCACAACGCCTCGAGGCGACGCTCATCTGGGGGCTGTAGGCAACTCACATGGCCCTTGTTCAAGCCGACGGCGATGCCGGACTTCTGGGTCGCTTCCTTCGCCATCTTTGCTGGAGGTTGGCGAATTTGTTGTCGTGAGGAATTGATTGTCGTCTTCGATGTCGCTAAAGCCGCAGTTTCAGCGAAATCTTCGCCAAGGAAGGTGCGATTGTGCAAAACCTGCAGGGAAGGTTTGGCGATTGTGGGATTTGAAAGAGGGAAGGCGCGGGTGGTGGTCTTGGCAGTATCATGCTTTCGCTCCGAAGCAGCCCTGGAACTCTCACTCATACTGGTACCTATGTTTCTATTAAAGTCGTCCATAATCATGTTCCATTGCATCCCACCGGGAGAATCTTCCACCTCAAAGTTTGAGTGAATGCATCACCAACTTCTTATACCCATCGAGCGCCTCCTCCAAATCGCCCACCGTTAATCCTTCATTTTTCCCATGCGCAACCAGAATACTGCCAGGGCCGTACAGGTACCTCTTCACGCCCTCGTTGACCTTCAAATTCGGTATATCAGTTCCGTAGTTCACAGTAATCGTATCAAATCCTTGGACATCCACATCCAGCGAGACAGGGCCATACCCCTGACTGAACTCCAGCTCCAACTCCTCGTCCGGATCAACGTCTCTAATGGCCTGCGTAACAAGCTCCTTGACGTCGTCGACGTTACCTCCAGCCAGCCTGAAGGTGACATCCGCCGTGGCATACTCCGGAACGACATTACCCGCAACACCGCCTTGCATGTATCCCACATTGACTGTGCTCTTGCCGTATTTCTTGCTCCGGGGCAGTCCGCCTACATCCTCTGGAATATCGCCCAGACCATCGAGAACCACCAGGGCAGGTAAAATCATGCTGTTTGCACTTCTTCCGAGCCAAGGGTATCCGGAATGCGCAGCCTTACCCTGCGCCTTGATCGAGACCATGAAGATGCCCTTGTGTCCTGCAGCGAGTTTCCCTTCTGTAGGCTCACCGAATAAGATTGCCTTGTAGTCGCTGTTCGTGTCCTCGTATAAATCTGAAGCCGAGAAATGTTTCATTCCATCGCCGGTCTGCTCTTCACCGACGACAAAGAGCAGTGCCACATCCGAAGGGTCGAGCTTGGTGTCGGGATCGGCAAGCAAGTCCAACAGCGTCTGGATCTGGACAGCCACGCAAGCTTTATCATCGACGGTGCCTCGTCCAGAGATCAAGATATCCTTCCTTGAGGACTTCTTCTTGTTGGGTAGTGATAGCGAGTACGGAATATGTGGTGGCACAGTGTCGATGTGCGAGCTCAACAGCACTTTCGGCGATGGGATGGCTGCTTCTGTACTCGCTCCTTCATATTTAGAAACATCTGGGTACGCGTAGATGTTATACCGTGGCTTGGAACTGTTCGTTGCGTGTGGTGGTGGCACGCTCTGAGTCTTGATTGTGAAATTGTGTGCTTCGAGGATCGAAATGATCAATTTTCCCACGGCTAGCTCATTGTTGCTCACTGATTCGATTTCACAGATCGCTCTATGCAACGAGAGCAAGGGGGATGCAGCTATCACATCTGACAGATTTTCGTGACTTGATGCACCAGAAGCTGGACTTTGAATCGGCTGTTGGCCTTCAACGGGGATAAGCGCATTAGATGCGCAAAAAGGAAGCAGCGCCGCCGCGGCAAACCATGGCAGTTTCATGGTGAGCACTTCAAGGCGTATCCAGACCGTTCTGTTATAGAGACCGGAAGCTTTACCTGTTGTGTAATGAGGCGCGAAAGTCTAAAACGGGGATGCAATCCAAGAGGCACAATATTGACGAGGATGAAAAGCTTCCTCGTTAGTTGTTTTTCGGTGTTGAACTCCGCCACATCATAAAAGGCATCGTGCAGATCACGGTGATCTGCACCGATGGACTCAGTATAGCAAGAAGGTATTGGGACAATATCATACATGTCGCTCTTGCTACAGGGAGGCACATATCTACGTTATGCTTTGGCTTTGCCCTTTGCTTCTCCATTAGGCTTGGGCTTTTCTTTCTTGCGCTCCCAGACCATGAGGTATCCTTCTCTGGTGAACAGAGTTTCCGCTTCAGCTCTTTCAACGAAGAGATCCTGAATCTCCATCCACTCCGGTAAATCGTTTCTCTTAGCATGTCCCACAGCTTTGTCGTGGAGCTGTACTTTCCATGCTACCCTTGAGACTTCGGCACCCGCTGCTTTGTTCGCAGCATCAGCAGCATTAGAATCCTCACCTCCGCCAGTCGACACAGAAGTCGTGTCAAGGATGATATTGGCAGCCAGTTCATAGAGGATTGGTTCACCCGGCGGATGGATAGCCGGGTTCGGTTCAACATAAGGAGACATGTCCAAGCCTTTAGGCGAACCAAATGTTACAATCGTTGGATTCCGTTCCGATACGAATTTGTTGACGCTGAATCGCTTAATGTGGAATAGTAAATACTGAGGTAATGGGTGCAAAAGCCGATGGCGAAGTCGATGTGCCTGTCTCTCGGACGCATTTATGCCGTTGTACTTCTGCAGGAGAGTGGTGAGTGGCACTTGAGGAATGATATTTTTCGATTCAACAGCGTCCCGAAAGAGGGGAACTGGAGGTAAGTCGAGCGTGAGGATCAAGTACGGCGTAATGTTGTTTGCAATGGTTGATGACTCTTCGAATCTAAGACGGTCACCAGTAGTGTCGGATTTTGCTGCGATTGCCTGCGACTCTACTCGCAGCTTTCCTTGAAAGGTCCTCTGTATGATCGAGGACAAAGGTTTCGTCTTCGAACCGCCGAGCGTCAAGTGCAAGTTATTCAAGAACCAGGATAGAAATTCCACAGGATCAGATTGCTGGGTCAGAGTGAATTTCTTCGATGACCTCAGCGCAATCTCCTGCAACAACTCATGAGGCGAGACATGTGATTTGAAGGCTTTTGGATTCCATATCTTGCGCACCAGCGTACTGAAGCGGACGGGTAGCTGCGGTGTCGTCTGGGGAAATTGATGCAGAAGGAAGAAATTCCTTATGGGTGCAACATGTGCCAAAGCCTGCACGACCACGTTCAGATAATCGTTGGCTTTGATATTGTTCATACCAATAAATCCAGGACGATACTTCTTGTTCGACAAGTCGGTTGATAACCTAGGGTCTCTGTCCAACTTGCGCACCTCATCCTCTGTGAACTTCGGATCAACCACATATTTTATGTCATCCAAGCTCTTATTATGCACTTCATAGCCTTCAGGAAGTACGTAGACTTTCTTCGTCGCCATATTGATGTAGACATGATGATCGACTTCGAGTGCGTGGAAATACGCGTGCGACTTAGGGCCCCTTCCTTGAAAATATTTGCCGCACACCAAGCAAGCGTATACGTTGATGTTGGAGAGTGTGACCGAACAAAGCTTTTCGAAGTCGAAGTCGAGAAATGAACGATTAATCGTGTCTAGGTAGAGATCGCTGTACCCTTCCGTGGGCGCACTCTGTCGCGCTGGTGCCGCTGGGAATCTATCGTCCTCGACGTCTGATTCAACCTCTCCCTCCTCCTCGCCTGCCCCATCGAGTTTGTTCGGTTGGACAGGAGCTACGGCGTCGTGACTCGTGCCGTTTTCTGATGCACCGTTCGCCGTTGGTAACTCTTCCTCCGGGATGTCCTCAATCCGTACTTTCTTGCTGAGTGGTGATGCGTCTGCTAGGACTTCCTCCAGGGGTTCCACGGATTTACGCTTCGACATGACGTGTAAGTATATCATGAAATGGAACGAGGTTTGCTATTGGCGTTGCTGCGGCACAAACTTGACGCCGCAAATAATTTTGGGCCGCAGGCAACAGCCTTGCCGTATTTGATTGGTCATCTGCCTAAGCTGCAAGGCTGCGACAAATATCTCAGAGCATCACCAGCATTAAGATTCGAGAGTCACAGCCGATTATCTATCCACGTGTTTCTGATTTTGTAGAAGGGTATTCTTGTTATCATTGGGTAGTCAATGTACATCCTTCGGGTATCGCGGTCGTCAAAGTACATTCTTGAAAGACCATGCGTTTTCAGCAACATGGGATGTCTCATACTTTTCCCCATCCAAAACGCCGGCCCAGCCGTAATATGAAATGTGTGCTAGTTTTCCATAGCAGGAAGTTGATCAAGCTTTGCATAGCAAGAGTAATAGTCCAATTTCCCAAAGCCTGCAAAGATGCAGATCTGCTAAGGTCCGCTCCTGCTCGAAACGACAAGCCTGGCGGGAAGACATTGGTGAGCAACGAACGTGCGCTTGCAGCTACCACGTAGGTAGACTGCTGCGTTAGAAAGTCGTGCACCAGAGACCTGAGGAACAGTATGTCAAGAGGTAGCAGGAGGATCGGTTCGACAATAGATGCCACATTCAAAGCAAATGCCTCTGCGGGGTGGTTTGAAAGAATTGTAACACGATACACCGTATCGTCTTCGTCACGCACGTCTCGTGAGGAATGGTGTCGATAAAATAGGTCTTGTCTGGAAGGTCGAGTCCGCTCATCATAGATGTCCGTTTCTCGACGTACAGGTCGCGGAGCTGTCGTAGCTAAACTGGGAGCTCTAGTTATGCCTGGCTCAGGAGGACTAGGGGGTGATCCCGTTGGTGAAATCGGTCGAGGAGAGCTTGGAAGCGGAAGACCTGCCGCAGGCGTTGCCGCACGAATCCAAGCGTCGTCCTCTGTGTCTAACCATATAGGCTCGAGCAGAGTCTCGAGAGCGACCGCTGGCTGAGCAAGAGGTTCGGTGGGGTTTGCGTTATCTGCTAGAATCAGTCCGGAAGCACTTGTGCCGGTTATCTCAGGAGCTTCTTCAGACGGTCTGTCTTCCTCGGGGCCAGCATCTCTCGGTGGTAGAGGTTCTGCAGCTTCAACGGCTGACTCTTCCTGGTTGTCAGTCTCGTGCCTTGCATCAGTGCTGACTTGGGCATTTAGAAGGCCTTCTTCTGGTTCTGGCGTTGCGGTGGATGCATCATCCCTCTCGGGAAAGTCCATTCCCTCGGCCATCTCGAAGATGTCCACCATGGCTTGATCTGGGTCGAGGCCAAAGTCGGCAAACGCAGCGCGGATGGCCATAATTCTTAATGTTCGCAGAGCATGTCTGGGGTCGCCTTCGTCCCGACGGTCTCGTCGAATGAAGTCTCGATAGTACATGATACTCCGTTGTATCAACTCCTCTTCCATGTCAGGGGTAAGTTCAACTGCCAATGAAGCACTTTGCGTCTGCAAAATCCTCTCCCACACCCAAAACAAGGCTGGAAAGAGTGCCTTGACAGTATCAGACAAAGTCGATGGCTCCGTCTTGCTCCTTTTCAGCTTCGCATCAGTTCCCAATCCCGGGATGGTAGTGTCGTTGAAGACGATGCTGTTTACCCGTGCGCTCTGAAGGGAGATCCGGTCTGGTCGGTCTGGTTTGACCACAAGATGACGAACGAGCACATAAATCCTTGTGTATAGAACTTTCCCTATCTGATCTCGAATGTAGGCGATTGTGAAGGGGTGAGTCAAGAGACGAGTGGCGTAGGAAAGGAGTGAAGGGAGAGCTCTATCCGGGAGGGGCTGAGGTAGCTGAATGGGCGATCTCGCACTGAAAGGCACCAATGTCCACGGATGCGGAACGGCATCGATTGGTAGGAGGTAAAGGGACTGTAAGACGGAGAAGGCGTGGAAAGGGTATTCCGCTGTGAACCATAGTAGTCGGAGGCTGGTAGATTTAGCGGAGGACGCCATCGTCTAGGACATGCTCACCTATGAGTACCAACGACGCGAGCGGCTCTTGCGGCAAACGACGTGTTTATAGATCGAGATATGTATGCGAAGCGTCCATCGTCTAGAGTGTCGTCTCTGAGAGCCTGACTGACTGCCGCAACAGCGCCAGATGGAAGACCCGCAAGGAGAATAGGCCGAAGACCCACCATCTTCCACTCTTCCATCAAGATTTGAGGAAGTGGCAGACCTACGTAGGATTTATAGGTCTGTATAAGTCAGAAAAAGGCTGTCAAAGGGGTCTTTGACGTACTAAAATCCGGCGACGTAAGGTGCTCAACCATCTAGTTGACAGCTTCACGATCACACTTTCGACGATACCGAAATTCGCCCCCGCAATGTTTTCGTCAAGGAGGAGGAGATGTTTCTGCTCTTCGCTCATACTCTGCCAGGCCGAGCGTTCTGCCTTCGCTTTACGAACAACAACACCAACTGTCGATAGGACTTCATTCTGAGCGCGACGGAGTCTCCTCCTTGATGCCTCAGAGGCTAGATTCTGTGGGTGACCACGAGCGTCGAACTGCTGGACATAGTTCCGAGCAGTGTCATGTTGAACGTTTGGTCCCTGAATGAAGTCTCCATTCTCGTCTTGGAGTGGTGGATCGAAAGGCGACCTTCCCTGAACTTGAGATCAGCCATTGGAAGATCGTGGTCTAATTCAATATATAACCGCAAGACTGTTGAGATTCAAGACACTGGCGAGTCCAGAGTCAATATGAACGAGAGAGGAGAGGAGCATAGCCTACCAAAGCGAGCCGGGCAAGATGAGCTTGACGGCCCATTCTTCGCAGGTCCGATTAGGTCCGGAATTGAGGACGAGGATAGTGACTTGGACGATGACTGCTGCCATACATCGTGAGCTACCGCTGGATGGGATTTATGGCAGATAGCAGTCTTGCCCCTCCGCGCGACATTGTCACTCCCTGTTTTGATCACTAGCAAATAAAGGATCGATGTTGAATGGATCGAAGGCTGGACGAGGCTTTTAGAGGCTGAGAGGCTAGCGCGCCAAGCTATTTCCGGATAAATCTTTAGCGTAACTCCGATTTAAGCCAATCATATCTCTAGCTGTCTCTGGATCTTTTTTGATCCAAAAATTTGTGATGACGGCGACGACTTTCCGCATAAAGTTGATGTGGTTGGATCAAATAAAGAGGAGAGGAATTATCGGCTTTTTAGGAGTCGCAATTGATGGCACGACCGTAGGTGAACAGTCGCGACAGTACAAATGGCGACCAAAGTCAATTTCAAAACCACCTTCGAAGCAGCGAGGACCATCGAGCCAATCTACACTGGGGGCGATGTTTCACACAACTCGACTGGCACATTAATCGCCAGCTGTGTTGACGAAGATGTCCTTGTATTTGATGTGAGGACGGGAAAAGTTCTATGTCGAATCGAAGGGGACGGAGAACCTGTGACCAGTTTGTGTTTGGCTCCCGATGCCTCCCATTTGGTAATATGTTCTCGCTCACTTTCCATGCGAATATTCGCCCTTGTGTCGGAAGAAGGACCCCAGACACTTTCATCCAAACTATCACGAACCTTGAAGCCTCACAACACTCCAGTCGTCTCTTCAGCCGTTGACTCGACTGGATCCTTACTGGCGACTGGTGGCACCGATGGAACCGTTAAAGTATGGGATATTCGAGGGGGCTACGTGTCTCACACTTTTCACGGCCATGGAGGAGTTGTATCTGCCTTAAAATTCTTCGCTTCAGAATCGACTGCGCCATCCAGGAACGCAGACGGGAAATGGAATCGGGAACGGAAGAGCCGTGACGGCGATCAGATGGCGGTCGACGGAACGTACCCAGCTCAGGCCATCTATCTCGCATCAGGTGGCGAAGATGGAAAGATTCGCGTATGGAATTTGGAGTCTCGAAAATCGGTCGCTGCCCTGGATTCACACGTCAGCGTTGTACGAAGTCTAGATCATTCAGCAGATCAGCAGCTTCTGCTGTCTGCCAGTCGTGACAGGACAATAATCTTATGGAACACGCAGACCTGGAAACAACTTAAAGTGATCCCTGCACTTGAGGTCCTGGAGACTGCAGGATTTATCAACAATGGCAGATATTGCTACGCTGGGGGAGAACACGGCGCAGTACGAGTATGGGACGCTGTTGCAGGTTACGAAGTCACACCAAAACAGAAACCTGGCTTCGAGAACGACGCAATCACGATGATTGTGCATATCGCCGATGACGACGCACTGCTTTCCATTCACCAAGATCGCACCATGAGATTTAGGGACATTTCAAAGCTACGAGACCTAAACAAGTCACAATCTGTACTACAACTACCTCTCATTCGGACGATGGCGGGCAACTACGACGAAGTTATTGACATGGCCTGCGTCGGGCCGGATAGGACCCTACTAGCACTCGCCACCAACACTGAGAGCATCAGACTTGTTTCTATCGTAGACGACAGCAACAAGACCTCAAAACCAGGTTCCTTCAGCAACGACGTTGCTCTACTTGAAGGGCACGAGGATATCATAATATGCCTAGACGTCGACTGGTCAGGCCACTGGTTGGCCACGGGTGCAAAGGATAACACTGCGAGACTGTGGCGATTAGATTCAGCCTCGTCATCGTACAAATGCTTCGCTACGTTCGCAGGACATGCAGAATCCCTGGGCGCCATAGCCTTACCAAGAAGTCAGCCCAACAATAACGCTGCATCCAAGAATCCCGCGGACCATCCACCTGCCTTCCTCCTGACCGGATCACAAGACAAAACCATAAAGCGATGGGACACCGCACGACTAATATACACTCCATCCATGACCGAACCTCACTCTGGAACGAAAGCTCTCTTCACACGAGTTGCACACGAAAAAGATATCAATGCCATCGACGTATCACCCATCGCCCCCTTGTTCGCCTCCGCCTCACAAGACCGTACCATCAAAGTCTGGTCGTTAGAAGACGGCTCAGTCGCAGGCATCCTCCGTGGCCACAAACGAGGAGTGTGGTCCATCCGGTTCTCTCCAGCCGGGACACCGGCCCTGCCCCTCGCCGATGGCGGCTCGAGTGGTTCTCGTGGCCTCCTCGTTTCTGGCTCCGGCGACCGCACGGTTAAGATATGGTCTCTGGCTACATACACCTGTCTCCAAACCTTTGAAGGGCACAGCAATTCCGTCCTGAAAGTCCTCTGGCTTCCGCCGACTCCGTCTCAGCCCTCAGACTCCGATTCTGATACGCATCCCGACCCTCACTCACCACAACCCACCCAGCCGCTCATCGCCTCCGCCTCCTCCGACACCCTCGTCAAACTCTGGTCCCCCTATTCTCCCTCGGACTCCGACCACCTCCTCGCCACATTGGACAACCACACAGACCGTGTCTGGGCTCTCGCGGCGCCAAACTCCTACCCTTCCAAACAGCGCTACCCATTCCCCCTCATATCCGGCGCCGCCGACGCCACTCTAACATTCTGGCGCGACACAACCGTTCAAACCGCAACCCTCGCCTCCCAGCGCGCAACGCAAAGAATTGAACAAGATCAAGCTCTCCAAAACCACATTGTGTCCAAGAATTACCGCGAAGCCATCACGCTTTCACTCGCGCTGAATCACCCCGCCCGCCTTCTGCGCGTGTTCCAAGATGTGATCAGCTTGCCTGACTCCGAGAAAGATACGTCGTCTATCATGGGCGTCAAGGCCGTTGACGACGTCCTGGCGAGCCTGGACCATCAACAAATCTACAACCTTCTCGAACGCGCGAGGGATTGGAATACGAACGCGCGGACCGCGACGATCGCGCAGACAATCCTGAATTGTCTATTCAGAAAGTATCCCGCTAGTGTGCTAGTTGATATTGCCAAGGACCGGAGTCTGAGGTCAAGCGGGGGCAAAGCTGGTGGCATGAAAGAACTCCTTCGTGCGTTGGAAGTGTACACTGAGCGCCACTATAAGCGGATGGAGGAGTTGGTCGATGAGAGTTATCTGATTGAATACACACTCAGAGAGATGGATGAGATTGTGGGTGTTGCTAGTGGTATTGAGGGAATACTCGCAAATGGACACGGAGATGAGAAAGGGGTTGAGGGGGATTTTGTCATGTTAGAATAGTAGCCTCGAAAAAGAAAGGATAATTTGATGCTGGAACCCTCCACCAAGAGGGTAGAATGTATGGTATTCCTCACGCAGCGCTCAAGTCAAGCTACCTCCTGTCACGGTCGCGGCGCTCCTTATCTCTGTCCCTGTCTCTATCGCGATCTCTGTGGCTGCGGTGAGACGAACTCGAATCATACCGATCATCATCTCGATATCGTTCTCGGTCTCTGTGTCTGTCTCGATGCCGGCTATCATGGTCGCCATCATCCCGTTGTCGTCGGTCTTTCGATCTATCTTCGTCCCTTCTTGACCTGGAGACATCGTAATCTCTGTCGTCTTTGCGTCGTCTTGCGCGAGAAGTATCTCTGTCATCCGCGTCTCGCTTGGACGAGCTTGAGCGCGAAAATGAATTCATCTGGTCACGATAGTCATCATCTCCACTCTTTCGATCCCGCTCGCGTTCACGGCCCTCTTCCCGACCACTGCGCTCCAGGTTGCGATCTCTGCGCTGTCGCCAGTCTTCCTCTTTCTCCTGACCTTTCGACTCTTTCAACCTCTTCTGCAATTCATCCTCCGAGATCCGTTCTCCTGTGGCTTTGTTCTCGCGCATGAGTGGTGTGAAAAAGCCTTGGCCCTTGTTGTTCTTTCGCATATCTGCCTTGCCCCAGGCGCCTAGTTCAACACCATTCGTTCCTGGAGCGGGTTTCGCACCTATTCCGAGAAATCCTTCCTGCTTGCGTAGCTTTCGTGGATTCTCGTCTGCTGAAGGGTTGAAATTGATAACCTCGCCGTTGGCACGTCGTTTCTGACCCATCCCTCTTAGCATCGCCATGCCAAACTCTTCAACCGGCATAGCGGCATACTCTTCTAGTGTACTCGAGTCCGGTCTTGACGCGACGTCTTCTCTGTAATCTTGCGCCTCGTCTCGGTATGTGTGCATGTTTCCCTGTTGCGTTATGACAGCATTTGACTTCGGCTTGCCTGACCCATCGTCCAGAAGCGCTTGTAACGCTTCCTCGTCCGCAGTCAAGTCTTTATGTGTTGCCTCCGGCTCGTTTTCATTAGGCGCAGTTTGCTGTTCGCCATTGCCCTCCACAGCTACGGCTTTGCCACCTATTTCAGCAAGCTGCAGCCCACTCGCGGTACTGACTTCATCTCGTTCAACCACGATAACATGTCCATTCTGCTGTTGGGCCTGCACCTCAGCAGGAAGAAGGTTCTTACGACCTCGTCTTCGCCAATCGGCATTTCCGGCGTTCTTGATGACTAGCTCTTCCGAGTCCTGTACAGGCTGACTTAGAATGGCACCACTTGACGAAAAGCCAGTAACTGACTCGTGTCTAGGCTCTTCCTCATCTTCGTTGTCTGAATCATGGCGGAGCGCAGTTTTCGGCCGGCCATTTGCGAGTGCGGTCTTTCTAGCAGGTAGGATTGGTCCTTTGACTGGCGCAGAGGGTTTCTGCTTACCAAATCCGAAGGAAATTGGTTTCGACATGGCTGTCAAAGCGCATGCATTCGAATCTGAACATAAATATTTAGGCAGGCCCACGTCACGGATTTTGATGCCGGGATGCTCAAAAAGTTCGACGGCGATAATCATATGCTTCGCAGTAACCTACTACGGTCGGCCATTCAGCCCATTTTTTCGGCTGCGACCTTTCGTCAAGTGGCCTTCGTTTGACGCGCTGCCCAAAATTCGCATCAGCCTTTGTTTTTCGCTTTCCACAGCCCATCACTGACCGTCGCACACGGTTGACACCTGGTGTGTCGCCGTCTCCCAAAGTCAACATAGAGCGTCTCACGAATCCCAAAATACGACACCCGACTCTATACCTCACGATGTCCGCCAATGCAGCGCCGCCCGGCGCGGGCACAGATGTGGCGCTTCTCTCAACCTTTCAGAAACACATCGAGGACATGCGGAGTCTGTCACTCTGTAAAATCTGCATCAAGCCATTCTACGAACCCTTCATCCTGGGCTGCGGCCACACGTACTGCTATTCATGTCTAGCTAGCTGGTTTGGTGGCGCGCAAACCCGAAAAAAGAATAAGAACTGTCCAGACTGCAGAGCCGAAGTGACGATACAACCCTCACCAAATTTCCTTCTGCGAGATCTAGTTCATATGTTTATTGGTCGGGCAGAACTGCTTCCAGAAGATGAGACTGTCCACGAACACCAACAAGCCAGAGAAGATGAGGCTGTGCTTCTTGCAGCAGATCGGGCAGGGCCTGGCTTGTTCAAAGGGGTTTTCAAGCGCCCACACCCTGCACATGTATTCTTTCCTTGGGCTCGCGGTATATTGGACCACGAGGATAATGTCATGCGGTGCCCGGAATGTCACTGGGAGTTGGAAGATGGACAGTGTCTGCAATGTGGCTTCCACGAATACGAGCCTGGCGATAGCGACTTTGACTCTTTTGATGGTTCGGGTGGTACACCTCACACTGTTGACGACGAGTTTGACGACGATGGAGACGAACTTGATTACGAGTTCGATGTCCCTATAGGCGCTCTTCATCCAGGCTACGACTCGGCAGCCACTGATACCAGCGGCACCGACTATGGTGAAGATTACGATGAGGAGGACGATATGGATGGCTTCATTGAGCGAGATGATGAGCCAATCAATGATGATGCCAGGAGTGTGTCTACAATCACGCTCCGTCGTCTGGATCGTGAAAGCAGGAGCAGAGACTACTCGTCAGCAGCCGAGTCCGACGACTATTCTGAACACGCCGCAGATAATCGTTACGCCGGAACTCAGCCTGAGGGGAGTGACAATGAAAACTATTCAGATGGCGCAGACGACCAGGCTGAGGTGCATACGAATTATGATGAGACGACGGAGGCATCAGAAAACGAAGACGCAAACACTTTTCAGCCAACTAGCCGGTATAGAGGTCGGATCAGGAGGATAATCATCAGCGATGATGAAGATGAAGAGGATAGCAGCGAGGAGATCGAAAGAATGCTCATGGGGCGGGCGACAGATGGGACAGGAGGCGGCCATGAAGTGGACGAGGATGAAGACGAAATGCTAGACGAAGAAGGAGGCGACAGCGACGCGTCAGGGTCTGACGAATCAGACATTCGACCTCCCCATTCAGCTGCACGGCGAATGCAGCATCTACACAGTCAAAGAGCCAGACGCAATAATTTCGGACCCTATGCGCCTCACCAAACTCACCGACCATCGTCCTATGGTTCTCGAACCAATCCGTCGAGACAGCAGTCGGCGGATAGATACGACAGACCGTCACATGGGAGGCGGATACCCGTTGGTGGTGGGAACCGACATTTCTAGATGATAGAAGCACTTCGCTGAGGGATCGCTTCAGTGACTAAGCGCTGAGCATGGCTTCAAAGAGAAGCACGCGTGTGCTTGACGGCGGCGGGTCCTCAGGTGGAGGAATTTCACCAGAACGAGAGATACGGAATGTATCACCACGAATGATACCCATTTTATGATTCACTTGGCTTGATGACCCATTCAATCCCCTTGATTTGCCTTGTTACGCCGCGCTATGCATGTGTACATCAGTATCTAGCACTGGTTTCCTTTTGGTTTTCATTTTCCACCCGGGCCATTGACTATGCAGCTAATACTTGCTTGCTCGTGTCGTATTCCATATCGATAATGCCATCTTTCTTGACCACCTTGACCGTCATCCCCTTAAAGTCGATGGGTAATCGTCGCTGCAGCTCGTCCGTGCACATGCGTAAAATCTTCATGCCTTGCTCAAATGAGATGTCTGGATGGTGGTGCTTGTCGAGAATGGAGAGGCAGTAGTATCTAATCGCTTTTGTCAGCAGCAGCTTCTCTTTCTTTCTGGGTGCTATGGAGGTACACGTACTGAGCATATCCGTGGGCGGCATAGGGCACTTTGGCACTGCTGGCGAGATAGTCCAACCAATACAGACTTGGCTGCTTTGTGATCGGATCCATCCCACCGAGCAGCAAATTCACATTGTACGGCTTCCTGCTGCGCAGTGATCGGGCGAGTTCACCCCTGACAAAGCTCGCGACAGCACTGGGACTGAGGTCGGCCTCGTTGCGCATGGTGTACAGGGCGACGTTGGCTTGAATGTACTCAGCGAATTGGATGGTGTCGCCTGGTTCGCCGGAAAACGCGAGAAGCGTATGTTTGTTGAGTTGGCGGGTCTTGTCGTCGGAAGACTTGAGGATCGTGGCTCCGCGCATGGCGGCTTTGCTGGCGGCGATGATTGTGAAGTCGCGGCCTGTGAGGCCGAGAAGGACTTCCCTAGACTGATGTCAATTGAGGCAAAAGGGTGAGGATATGGGAGGCTTACATGTTGACGGTAGTTGAATTCGAGAATACTGGAAAGGATTGAGGGGGGTAGAAGGGGTATGAAGTGAGAGTAACAACCACGATTAGTGCTGTCGCTGTAGACCAGCCCGACACGTACGAAGCTCTGCCTTGCGTTTATTAGACGTGATCTTTTCAGGGAAGGTCAGGCGAATGGCGAGGCTGAGAAATCTGAAACGAGGCTGAAGATGCGAAATTCCGCCCGCATCTTCAATTTTTATTTTTTGGAGAAAGCCTTCAAAGTTGTCAACCACAAAAGTTGCTGCGAGGCGGCAATACGTGCATTCTTCCCACGAGTGTATCGGAGTACGAGATGTCCTTCTTCACGGCTCCAGCGTCGCAGCGGAAACGCAAGAGGCCCACCGAGAATGCAGGCAAGCCTAGAAAGAGACGGGATGCAGACAGGACCGAAGCACGCGACGAGGAAGATGAGCGGCCACAGCGGAAGACACCACGAGCTCGAAAGCAGGAGCGAGACGAGTCGATTTCCGGAAGTGAATCGGACGAAGAAGTCGAACACGAGACCGATGTCGAGTCAGAAGCCACCTCCGAAGAAGGCGAGACCGCCGCCGAGCGCAGAGTGCGGCTTGCACAAAGATATCTGGACAATATCAGACAAGAGGTGGATGAAGTTGGCTTTGACGCCGAAGATCTTGACAGAGACCACATTGCACAGAGACTCAAGGAAGATGTGGACGAGGCAAAGGGGAGACAGTACAGATTGATTGCCACAAGCCTAGACTTCGCCAATGCCAGTCATAGCAGTTTTCGGGCAGACACTGATAGCACCACAGGTGTTGCAGTGTGCGCGCCATACGTATATACTGTGAGCAAAGACAAGACTTTGATAAAATGGCAACTACAACCACCGGTTACGTTGTTCAGCAATGGCTCTGCAGCGCCTCGAAGACGACGACCGAAGCAGTTGAAGTACGTGAGGGGAGTACAAATCAGGGCTTCAGCTCCCCAACAGCACGGTCATACCGGTGCGATACTATGTGTTGCAGCTTCACCGGACGGGAACTATGTGGCTACCGGCGGAGCGGACAAGAAGCTGATCATATGGTCTGCGGAAGATCTACGGCCGTTGAAGACATTCACGACCCATCGAGATGGCGTTACTGGTCTGGCTTTTGCACCCAACTCGGCTACACAGACTGGATTCGGAGCACAGCTATTCAGCGCAAGCATGGACAGATCATTGAAGACATACAGCTTGGCTGGAGAAGATAGTCTTGCATATGTCGAGACACTATTTGGCCATCAGGACCACGTAGTCGACGTGTCTCCGGTGTCAGTCGACCAGTGCGTGACAGTCGGTGCACGAGATCGGAAAGCTTTGTGGTGGAAGGTTGTGGACGAGTCTCTGACGAGGTTCCTGGGTGACAGTTCGAAGAAAGACGAGTATCAGACCGGAAGCTTGGATTGTGTGGCTGCGTTACCGCCTTCAAATTTTGTGACAGGCTCTGACTCTGGCGCTATCAGTCTTTGGAACGTCCATAAGAAGAAGGCACTGTTCACGATACAAACTGCGCACGGGGTCGAAGAGCCGCCGCCCTTCGAAGAAGTGACCGCTGAATCGGATCCTGCCGTGATCGAGAGACTGAAGAAGCTGGACACGAGGAGACCAACCCCGCGGGGCGTTACAGCACTAGCTACAGTCCCGGGTACTGATGTTGTTCTCAGCGGAAGTTGGGATGGCTGGATCAGAGTGTGGAAGCTCAGCGACGACAAAAGGTCACTGCTTTCACTGGGTACGATTGGAAAATTTGAGGGGAACGGCTCGGATGCAATTGAGCAGGCGCATTCCACGCCATCGAGCACACCGTCCGAAGTCGACGGAAGTCTACGGGAAGAGGCAGCTCCTGGACTTGTCCGAGGTATCATCAACTCTCTGGCTGTATTCGAGAGACGGAAGGAAATCACAAATGAGTTTGGAGGAAAGAAAGAGGGTGGATGTGTGGGTATTTGCGTCGTGGCTGGTACAGGCAAGCAGATGCGGCTAGGAAGGTGGAAGAAGATGCCACATGGAAGGAATGGCGCAATGGTGTTCGAAGTACCACTTCGATCAGACAAGCAGTAATCTTCGCACTGTTAGAATAAAACTGTATACTTTGATACTCTGAAGGCAGCCTTGTTTGGTTGACGGTGTAGATTTCCACGATGGAAGAGCCTCGCTGAATCCCGTATCCGTTCACGTGACACACCCGCCTCGGGCTTGGCGTTGTAGCAGCGTCAAAAAATCCAATTCGATCATCCAAACTTCAGCTTCCTTTTTTTCCTCTTCAGATCAAAAAAAGCAACAGAGCCAGCCACGACCGTCGTTTCTTATATCTACAGCGATGTGTTGCCATGGGTTCTTTGAACTCAGTGGCTCTGGAGAACAATTTTCCTTGTAGGAAGTTTCTTTCTCGTTGGGTCCTCTTCAGTGAGGGCGATGAGTCTGGAATGTCGATTTTATGGGAGACAGTCCTTCTTTTCTAATCAACGCTGCCGAGCGCATGATCTAGAGGCAACTCCTCGAAGTGTCTGAGCTTGAAGCCCTTCCTGAATGGTCCAGCCTTGTTCCATCCTCGCCTCTGATTCGCAGTCCGAGGAATCATGTCACGAATCATCTGCAATGCTTTCGCGCGCTCTTTGGTCCCAACTTCAAAGGATGCGTTGGATCGTGCACGCATTCCGAAGAGCAGTTCTTCTACACGAATGGAGTGAGTGTTGTTGTGGTGGTGTTGTGCATTCCAGCGAAGCTGTTATGTGGACCTCGGCCTCGCACGGTCAATCCTATCAAGGTAAATATCATTGCTCGCTACAAAGTCCCTACCATTTCCTTTCATCAGCTTATTTCTAAGTCTCGTACACTCGTTTGGGAAGTGCTCTTGCGCTTCAGTCACTCATTTGGATCTGTTGTCTTAAGATTTTCCTTGTTCCCTTACCCAGAATTCGTTTACTTGTCGAGATAGCTCCTTGCAATTCTTCCACAATGAAACGATCCAGCAAGTCCATGCCCATAGTGGCGCTGCTGGCTGTCAGTGCCACTGCGCAGACCACGACTCAGATCAACGATCCTGCCGACACTGGCGTCACGACTGTAACATACTCTGTCTGCCCGACTGCTGTGACCATCACTACAACTCTGTCCAGCACTCTCACCTGGTGCCCAGGAGGTGGATGCAATGGGGGTGCACCAACAATCACTCCTCCACCCGTCATCGATGGTCTCGGAACCGAGATTCTTGCCTTTACCACAACTTACCCTAACGGCGACATCGGTGTCTATCACGAGTACCTTACTGTCTATCAGCGACCCAACGCTACTGGTACGGGCATGGAGGCATGTACCTACACAATTAGGGAACAGTGTCCATGCGAGACCAGGAACCCACTCTCCATTCCAGCGGGTTTCACAACAACTGTCACTGCATGCACTGCATGCGGTGAGAATGGTGCTGCTGCAACTGTTACACTTACAACCCCATGCGAGACCGGCCCATATGCTACCGTTACGCCGATGGTCGGTCCTACTGGTGTTAGCGCCCCAGGCTCAGGCTCAGGCTCAGGTTCCGGAAGTGGCTCTGGTTCAGGTAGCGGCTCTGGAGCCGACTCTCGAGTTGATGAAGGTACCGGTGCCGGTAGCAGTGCTGGATCAGGCTCCGGCAGTGGCAGTGGCAGTGGATCAGGTTCTGGTGCCGGTACTGGTTCAGGTGCAGGTTCAGGTGCAGGTTCAGGTGCAGGCTCAGGTGCAGGCTCCGGTGCTGGTTCAGGTACTGGTGCAGGCTCAGGCGCTGGCTCCGGTGCTGGTTCAGGTGCAGGTTCAGGTGCAGGCTCCGGTGCAGGCTCCGGTGCTGGTTCAGGTACTGGTTCAGGTGCAGGCTCTGCCTCTGGCTCCGGTGCTGGCTCTGGCAGTGGATCAGGTTCGGGTACTGGGTCGGGTACTGGTTCAGGTGCTAGCAGTGGTGCAGGCTCTGGTGCTGGATCTGGCGCTGGTAGCGGTGCTGGATCTGGGATGGCGGGCGCAAACAGTAACAACACGATCTCGCCACTTATCACGCCTGTCGCACCGTCGGCTTCATCATATACCGGTGGTGCTGGCCATACGACGGCCTTTGCTCTTCCTGAGGTGTTGGCTGCTGTCGTGGGATGTTTGGCTTGGATGTTGTAGCCTTGGTGATGGATGCTTTTCGTTTTCAGGAGCAGAGATTGACCTTTCAGCCTGGGTCGTGGGACATATTGCTTTGAGGGTACCTTGTTGGTATGATTCCAAACACAAAGGAACGTTGATGTGTTGGTAGAGTGGTTAGCACCTTTTGAGTCATGATTTAGGTCGTCGTATGGGCATCTTGTTTCGGTACAATATCTCGCAACACTTGTCTGCATAAATGAATTCTGTATGTACCTGATCGTCATGCCCACAGATCGCTTGTCGGTCAAGGTGGCTAGCGGGATGCCAAAGTCAAGTCCCCCCAGTGGTCCCCATTACCGTCCCGGCTGCTGGCGTTGTGCCTCGATGGATCACCGGCAAGTGGATGGCAGGAGAAGCCAATCAGTGGGATAAAGAGAGCATTGACGCCCAAGACGTGGGGCACGTTGTCGCTGTACAGCGCTTGGCCGGGCGGCTACAGTCTTCAGTCTTGCGAATGGACGAACTGATTGAGGATTGAGACGAGACTTTTTCCAGTACGAGTACATGGCCAAGGATAAGATACATCCCCCTTGAACCTGGCATCTTGCGTCTTCCGCCGTTTTTCTCTCGCTTTCAGCCTGCTTCGGGAAAAGAAGATCTTGAAGAAACCCAGTCTGCCGCAGCACGTTGCGCCCGAGGCCACGGCGGACTTCCTCTCATCTTCTGCCTGCTCTCTTGGTGTTCCTTCGACTTATCTATTTCCGTATATACTGCAGCGCTTGTTTCGTCTGCTTCGCTCGTCTCCCGCCTGATCTTCAACCCTACTTTTTATTGCTAATTCAGACGAAGGGGCCTAAGGTCGACCGCGGTCATCATCCTTTTGCATCCCCCCGCATTCAGTCCAGCACAGCCTTACGTAGACTGCGGCCGCGAGGTCACTCCTACAAGTCTCTGGGCGAAGACCGTTGCGGCACGCAATCTTGACCATGAGTGTACCCGGCCATCATGGAAGGTCGGAAGGCGAAATGTTTCTAAATCGACCCTCCGATCGCGACTCACCTACCATCGTCGAACCACTGCGCATCAACAAGAGGACGGCCAGTGCATCCTCTGGCGTGTCAGCCACAGCCGGAAAGCAAAGTCCTGCTCCTCAACAGCCTGCTCAGAGCACAGCTGTCTATCCTATGCCATCTTTACCCTATCCAGACGAGCGAAGCAGGCAGCAGGCGCAGTCCTCACGACCCAATGGCAATCCCGCATCGAATTCATACCCATACCCAGATGTAAGGAGAGTGACTTCTCCAGAGCAAAACCCAAGCGGGACAAGACAACCAGGGCAGCGAAGGACTTCAGGAGGTGGTCAGACGCTTGCGGAGCGGCGTGGAACTATACCAAAGCCATTGCCAGAATCACCAGGGCCGGACGCTCCCGATAAAGAAGGCCTGTTCCAGCGCCCACCACAACGCGGAGACGGTCCAGCTACGGCGCCCTTGCCAGGAAGTCAAAGCCAGAGCAGTCAGCAGTATTGGCCGCCTCCGTCGACTGCATCTACCACAGACGCATTGAGCAGGCTAAAGATCAGAGATCCATCCTCGATCAATCGGATAAGCTCAACTGCCTCCACATCTACCACAAGAGCTCAGCGGGGATCACCCCCTCCGCCCGAGACCCCAATTGTAGATCTTGCTGCACGTCCACAGACTGACATCGAGGCCCGCTACGCCGCCTCTGGGATTGCTGGTACGGCGACTTTGACTAGCTTGCAGGCTCAAAGTCTGGCTGCACAGCAAAGGGCAGCTCAGTATGGGGCATCTGCTCAACCGCAGAGTAGTGACCCTCCGAGACGGCCATGGACTCCAACAGAAGCCCCGGGCGCCAGTCCTCATCCACCCCCAACGGTCTATCAGGGCATGGGAGTGGTGCAGCCATCTCCGCCTACAGCTGCAGCAGTCCCAGCGACCCAGCCTACCGTTTCCTCTCCTGGACGAGCCCCTCATCCCGTCGAAAATGAGATCTCGAGGTTACAGCCTCATGAAGAGCCGCCGCCGGCGTACTCTCAGGTATCTGGAGCGAACGGCCGCCGCGCAGCTGAGAAACAACGACAAAGTATGGTCGGGTCGGGTACATCGGCTCCCGTTGCCGCAGCCCCGGCTGCTGCGGTTGCGGCGGATACCATGTCCAGCGCGCCAATGCCCAACCAGCAGGACCATCCGGCTTTTGCAAACGATCCGAGGCAAAACTCCCAGAGGCCTGCCCTGCACCCAGCTGTGAACGGTCAAGTGAGCAACGCGCAGCCCGCGATGCCGCAAACACCCTCACAAATTCCTCCGGCATCTCCTCCGCCGCTTCCAGAGGGGTGGATTGCCCATCTTGACCCTAACTCCGGACAGTACTACTATATCCATTTACCTACACAGTCTACTCAATGGGAGTTCCCCAAAGGTCCCACACCCCTTAATCTGGGTGATACGCCGCTATCTCCAGTGGGCAGCGTGTACCAGAACCCCCTTGCTTCCCCTGGACTTTCTTTCAGCCAGAAGCCACTAGCATCGCCAGGCCTGCCACTATCTCCAGGCTACGATCAACAGAGTATGATGAGTCTGTCGAATCCCGCCGCATTCACAGGCCCACCTCCTAGCAGTGGTATAGACATCTACAAAGTTGTGGCTACAAATGGCGTGTACTTTGGCCCATACCTGCGCTATACCAACATGGACATAGAGCGAGGCATATGGTACGGATCTATTCTTCTCGTGACGGATGCGCCCCAACCGCCTACCATTCATATTCATCAGAGTCTTGACCTGTCTCCAAACCCGCGGCAACTGAAAGCTGCCAATATATCCCAGCATCAACGATGGTCTTTCTACAAGTATGAGATTGATCTCCTCATGGAAGAATCTGGACCGGCGAAATGGACCTATGCTATCACCTCCCATCTTGGATGTACTCGTTATGAGTTTCTGGTGGCTGGTAAACACGAGACGAATTGGCGGTTCATTGCTACCTCGGGTAACGACTTTACACTGAACGTAAGCGCCAACGAGCGCGCCCGCCTAGGCGGTGTGGGATTCATGTGGAAGGACATCATGCAGAAGCATGCCGAATGCGGTGGCTTTCACTGCCAACTCGGACTGGGAAGTCAGATATACGCTGACCGCATGTGGAAAGAGATCCCTTCGTTGAAACAGTGGCTAGGGATGAGCGGGAAAGAGAACAGAAAGAACGCCGTCTGGACTGCGGCGCACGAGGAGGATGTGACGCATGCGTTTTTTCACTATTACACGAGTCATTTTGACCAGCCTCATTTACGTGAAGCTTTCGCTCAAATACCCTACATTTTGACGCTTGACGACCATGATATGTGAGTTGCTTGTCCTGGCTGGCCATTTTCACAAGCTGACGCTTTTTAGCTTTGACGGATTCGGATCTTACCCCGAGTACATGCAATTCAGCAACATGTTTAAGAATATCGGACGCATTGGAATTGAGATGTACCTGCTCTTCCAGCACCATACAACACTCGAGCTTCTACGCAATTTATCTGACGACCGCGACCTGTTTACCATCACAGGCACTGGCTGGCATTTTGTCAAGTTCTTGGGTCCCGCCGTAGCTGTTGTTGGTCCAGATACCAGAAGTGAGCGAAATCCTCACCAAGTCATGGCCGGCCCAACGTACCAAGGATTGTTTCCGAAGATCGCGTTGCTCCCGCAAACCATTCAGCATTGTATGCTGATGGTACCCGTGCCTCTGATTTACCCTAGACTCGACGCTGCAGAGCAGATTGCGCACACCATGGCAACGGGAAAGAAAGCTGTGACAGGAGCATACAACGTCCTTGGTAAAGTTACGAGCTCTGTTGCGGGAGTTGTCGGTGCCAAAGGTGCAGTGGGCTCGGGCTTCGACTCTGTCAAACGCGCCGTGGGGAAGTCCGGACTCATGGGAGGCATTTTGAACCCGTTCGGTGATATCGATGTGCTGGATGAGCTCAAAGATCAGTGGACACATGAGTCAAAGGTAGGTTTTGCTCTTCCCTTTCCACCCTCCCCATTTATAAAGGGGGAATGCTGACGGCTTCTGTGTATCAGGACCTGGAACGCACCTACTTCATCCGCACCCTTCAGGGCATATCCCATCAACGCTCGATAAGGATGACATTCATCTCCGGTGCAGTGAACACGTGTGGTGCAGGCCTCGTTCACGACCCCTCCCACCCGTCGGATCACAAGACGATGTACCAGCTCATCTCGAGCAGTGTCGTCAACACTCCGCCGCCAGGCTATGTCATGAAGCTGCTGAACAACAATAAGCCACTGTACATCCCGCCGAACGGGCAGCGCAGCGCGCCGAACCAGCCAACGGACACGAAGGAGGACATGATGGAGATCTTTACGCACGATGTCAATGGACAGGCTGTGAATAATCGAAAGTTGATGGCGAGACGGAATTATGTGGCGATCGTGGTGTATGACCCGGAGATCGTGAATGGAACATTTGGGTCCACAGGGATGCATCGGGGTGGAGGCCGGCTGAGTCTCGCGGCGGATTTTCTAGTCCAGGGAGAGGGCGCTTATGGGAATGTGGTCAAGTATGGGCCTGTTGTTGTGCCGAGTCTGGAGTTTGGGAGGTAGGATGATCGAGTGGAGGACACGTTGGATATGCCGGTTTAATTGAAGAAGTGGTTATGAATAAGACAGCGAGGTTTTTGCATAGCGGTTGGAGCCGTGTCTGCTTTCTGTATGACTTGGCCATGTTCTTGAACAAACGGGCAACCAAAAAAGATTCTAGTCTCTAGAGATGCTCCGGGACGGAAAAAGCATCTCGTGAAGCCTTGGCTTGGCATCGGGCATGTTGTCGTTTGTACGAGTACCTGGTACTCCTCTCGTACTCCTCTCAGAACCACTTGGCTGAAGTAGTGGACATTCTTTCATATGGCCATGCGGCGATGATTTTGTCTCCTAATTCTCTCGAGATACTCTTGCGGCCAACTCTTGTCTTCTCCATCTGACGGCATTTTCCATACAAAGCCACAGCAGTGGAAGCATGCACAACATGACCAGCGCCGTAAACGTGAAACACCAACCTGTTCCCATACTATCGATCATGGGATTCACCACAGCCGTCATACCTGCACCCAGCGACGCCCGAATCAGATTTGCTGCGGCACTCGCAGAAGCTGCGCGTGGCCGGTTCAAGTCAATTAGCAAGACGCTCAAGGTGTTGAACCCGGCCAGATTGGTGTATCCAAACAACACCAGCATCACAATCGGGCCAGCTATGTGAACCCGGAAATGCAGCATCCAGCCATAAACTATCATCGTGAATGTCCCAAGCACAAAGAATGGTAGCCCGATCTCCAATCTGGCTCTTTCAATGGGAAATCCTTGCAGATCAATTTGCTTCTTCCTGTCTGGGTCCAAGCCGCGCTTCAATGCGTGCCGTCGATAGTTTCTGTCGAGGGCGATGCTGTTGGTCACAGACGACAACAGACTGCCACCCGCTATCGTCAGGAACACCAGACCTTGGGCGGTACTGTCGAAGCCATATATCTTGTTGAACTGCGTGCTGAGCGTTGCTGATATCGCATAGAAGGCTGCATAGATGATTGCTACAACTGACAGGATCACGCTATTCTCGAAGTTGGCGAATATCGCCAGCGTCCCGAGCGGGTTGGGCAAGCTGAATTTCCTCTTCGGTTTCGGTGGCGCTTCAGCGGCCTTCTCGTTCTTGCGGTTCTTTACAATATACCATAGCGACCTGTTCAGCCGCGGTGGTATGATCGATCCGTCCCCGACGAGCTTCCGCGCGGTCTCAGGGAACCAAATCAGCAGAGGCACAGTATAGACACCAGCCGCGATCAGCAGGAACCAGAAAATGCTGTGCCATCCGAGATGCTGAGCGAGGAGACCGCCCGCGATAGGAGCCACGCTCGGACCTACAATACCAGTGATTGACGTTATGCTGATATAACTCCCACGCTCGGCGGAGGTCACCACATCTGCAATTATGGCTTGTTGAAGAGTAACCATTCCGCTCGAGCCGCAGGACTGGAGGCATCGGAGAACAAGGAGGCCAGCGTATGTGTTGTTCAAAGCGAGGCCCACATTCGCTGCCATGAAGACAACCATGCCCAGGACATACGTCGGTCTGCGGCCTTGGGTGTCGGTGATGGATGACACAAAGGCCGGTGCTATTGCTTGAAAGATCATGTAAGTCGTTATGGTCAGGTTGACCTGGCTTATGCTGACGCTTAGATCGTCTGCGATGGTGCTCAAGGCTGGGTAGTAGATGCCGCTGGAGAAAGGGGAGAAAAGGCCGCCGAGGGTGGCGCAGAGTACGATGATGATCTTCTGCCGCTGGCTGAACGCTGAGTATGGTTTGTCTCCATCATGGTTCTGACCCGCCGGCTGACTTTCTTGCTTTTGGTCATGTTCCCCCGGGGCGGATTCTTGAGTCGGGGGTGTTGCTTTCTCGAGGTCGATAGTACCCCTGTTGCTGTCTTGTTTGATTGTGGTTGAATGCTGCTGATCTGGTGTAGGTGAGATGGCGTCGCAGGGAGGCTGGTCTTCTGATGGTACAGTTCGTTCGGGCGATGGCATGGTCCGCTGCATATGCGACTTAATGTGCAATATACCATTATTCCAAGTAGCCTTTCGCATTCTTATGACGGTCTGTAGAGCCCGTTAACGGCCCGGAACCGGCACAATCTAACGACATTCGGGAATTGCAAACACACCACACGCGTACGTGTGATTGGATGGAGCAGCAAGGCGTCCCTCCGCATACTCAAGAGCGCCGGTCCTCATGGCTCCAAAACATAACACAGTCACCTAACAGTGTCGGTCTTGATACTGCGCTGCACCCAGCGGATAGACGTCGCAATCAACAGGAGGCCCGCCTATCCCACAAATTGTCCTCGCTGCTGTTTGTCGTCGAATGGCATCCTAGCGCCAAATTACACGAGATAACCATGAGACCGGCAGTGACACTTCAACAAGTTTCTGCTCCGCTGTTGCTATTTGTCAGCAATGTCAACGAACAAAGTCTAGGAAAGCTACACTCCGAGACTTTCAAGGTGATCGACACCATTGTCTAAGTGGCTTGCCGACACGTAATGCTAAGGAGGAGGGCTCCAAAAGCGTGTCAGAATTGTCGTGGTCGAAAAGTCAGATGTGATGTGCTCAGAACAGGCGCGCCCTGCAGCAACTGTTCTCGGTCTAAGGTCGTATGCTCCGTCAATCATACGAGAAAGCAAAGATCGGGCAAACACGCGAAGGAACGTAACATTCCTGCGTCGAGCGTGCATGCTTTCGAACTTGACCCGCCAAGGGTCAACCATCTGGTTTCGCAGAATGATGGAGCCCCAATCTCTGCGGGGACTAGCACACCGGAGGAAGAGGTGAGTAGCAGACATTGTCGGATGATAGGTTGGTACACATGGCTCTGATATGGCATGACGCTTTCTTACAATTGCAGCTGCAGTCCATCGGCCAGACCTTGACGGTGGCAATCAAAAAAGAATAGGTCAACCTGCCTCTCACGTGGCTTGGGATTCCCAGAGCAATCTGGAATGGCCGCACCTCGCGGACGCAGAACCATCACTACATGAGCACGAAGGACGCCAGACTCAGCTCCCAAGCTACATAGCACCACTGCCACCAGATCTTGATCCCGATATTATTCAATTCCTGCATAGGAAAGGTGCCCTATCACTTCCGACGCCCACCATGAGAGATGAGCTCATGCGAGTATATGTCTGCTATGTGCATCCATTCTTGCCGCTTCTGGACCTTGGAGCATTCATCAAAGCTGTCGCTAGCGAAGATGAGACTTGCAAAATCAGCCTAATATTATTCCAGGCTGTCATGTTTGCTGGAGCATCGTTTGTCGACATGAGTTGCCTTGAATCTGAGGGCTTCCAGGATCGCAAACAGGCTTGCAGAGCACTGTTCCGCAGACTCAGGGTACGTCACATTGATTTTGATAAGGACTAAAAGGCAGCCGCTGACAAGTGAATCTCAGCTATTGTACGATGCCGATGTCGAACCTGATCCTACCACGCTTGTAAAGGTCTTGCTTCTGATGACCTACCAGTGTGACAAGCCAGGAGACACCAAAGGCCGATTCTACTATCTGAGGATCGCAGTATCACTTGCGGCCGATATTGGACTCAATGAAAGCCTTACGTCAGGCCACCATTCAACAAAGCAACTGAAAATGAAGCGCAGACTATGGTGGTGCTGTCTGATGAGAGAGAACTTGCTGGCCATGAGCGAACGACGGACAGCCGGCATCTCTACAGACATTTCAACCGTCCCAATTCCGCATCTGGATGACCTCAATGATACAGATCTGTCCGAAGCATTGTGCAGATTTTACATGCCCAACAGCGAAACAGATGCAAGGATTCTGAGCAAGTTGTGCATTCAGAAGATCAAACTGTGCGTTCTGATCGACCGCATCCTCGATACTTTATATGAGTTGGGCCACCACCAACCCTTGACAACCACTGGGCCTGCAATGCTCCTCATCCCCAAACTGTCGGACTCACTGACGGCTGAAGGCATTGCTCGGGACCAGGAATTACGCCAATGGTATGCAGAACTGTGCTCTACCGAGGGGAGCATGGTTGGTCAGGATCATCGTCGTAATGGAAGAGTAGTAGGCCCACATTCTGCCATACTCGAAATGCTCTTTTACACGGTCGTCGGTATGGTCCATCGACCTCTGCTCCTCCACACCCAGTCGAAGGAGTCGGCTGCCAATGCACTCCAGGACTTCTCCAGGCAGACTCTGAGACTGGCCGCTCAAAGAATCACCGACATAGCAAACCCGTTGGCAGAAGGGAATCTGATACGATTTCTGCCGTCAGTAGGGGTGCCGGCGCTCCTTGCTGCCAGCATGCAACACGTAAAGGACGCCTTGTCCGCAAACCACACCATCAGCGCCGCTGCACTCATGTCTCTCGAACAGACCATGCATTCTATGGTTGAGCTACGAGGAATTCATTGCCCGGTTGAATGCACTATGGGCCTCTTCGAATTCGTCCGAAGTAGAAAGATCAACAGCCAGCATACGGCGCTAGGACAGGAGTCAGTGCCTCAATACCCTGGAGAACGACCGAGAAGCTTCGCTACTACTTCTACAAGAGACAGCCGGACTTCACTAGGCCACGAAACCTTGGTTTACAACAACCCAGATCAGTCTGCATCAGTACTTCTTAATCAAAAGCATGCTTCGACTGGTGCGGCTTTGACTGCCACCGTGGATGACGATTCGACTCGACATGGCCGTGCCACTGGGATTCAACAAGAAGAATTGCTAAATTTCCGCTTACCCTTCGCGAATATCGAAAGCCTTACCGAAGCCGTTCTTTCTGGGGTTTGTGATGCTGCAGACTTTAACGCCTTTCATTCGTAGGGCTTTTGTCCCTGGACACAACAGACAATGATGCATTCACTCCGAGTGAGCGGCAGACACGCAAAAAACTTGAGGGAAAAGGGAGCAACCCTCCAAACATAGTCTTATGTTCTAGTGATCAATTCCGAACCATAAGTGAGCTGGCTTCTGACGAAGTGTCTTCCATATCCTGTTTCTACAATCCAAAGTCTTCGAGACTTCAGCGAGGTACGACGGGCTCCCTCATTTGAGAGTTGCAGATTGCTTATGTGAACTAGCCATGTCGACAATGACCTTCGCTGTCTCATTGGTGGCAGTCACGGTTGGACAATGTCCCGTGAGGAGTTTGTGGACCTCCACTTCCTTGCGACTTCCTTCCTTGATCTGGTCGATATAATGCTGTTGCTTCTCGGGCGGAATGATCATGTCGTGCTCGCAGAAGATGTACGAGCACGGGATATGCTTATATGCTGGATATGTCAGGATGCCCGCGAAGCTGGGCGCCGAGTGTCTGGTCATGGTCTTGGTGATTTCGAGTGCTTTCTCATAGGGCCAATCGTTGAATGTCGCTTGCGCGCATAATTCCACGCCAGTGATTCTCATGAATCCATCCTATGGGGAAACAAGATTAGCCTCGGCTCTACGCCATGGGAGGAGTACCGCAGCCCCGGCACGGCCACGGCCAAGGTCATCTAGTACACAGAGTCGAACGTACCTCGCCGACATGAACCAATGCTGCTGGCGGTTCGCCATAATCCTTCCGGCTCGACCCGCCTTCAGGGAGCACAATAGCAGTGAGGTAGATAATCTTGACGATTCCCCCGGGCTTACCGCTCGCCTGTCGGTCGGCCTTGCTAGCACCTTTGGCAGCTTCGGTGGCTATAATGCCACCGTACGAGTGCGGGACGACAACAACGTCCTTGCCTTGGTCGGCCAGTTTCTCGATGATGCCTCTAAAGAAGACGGCGTCGTCCTCCAAGGTCGCCGGCTCTTCGGGGGGATTGCGGCTGGCCGAGGGGGCGTTGTTGACGAAGCATTCGTAGCCTAGGGCTTGGATGGCATCCTGCAACGGGTAGTACATGCTGGCATGGGAAAAGGAGCCTGGGATCAGCAGGATGGATGGTTTGGACGCCATATTGATAGATTGCTCTGAGACGAATACTAATGGTCAATGACAGAGTCTGCTGGTCGATGGTTGAGCAAGTGGACGATGGTAAAGACAGTGCGGGGACTTTATACTAGTAGATTTGGAAAGCAACGAAATGCACCCTCCGTACGGAGGACAGATACGAGTACTGACTTCGTCCGAGATGCCAACTTACGATAGTTGTGTGGAAGTTGTCGCTTTGTCAGAACGGCGGTGGACGGCCTTCTGTGACTGTGGTGTCGCTTATCCGTACACTGCCCAGCCGGGCGGCCTGATCTTCGATGGATGACTTTACGAAGGGCACCGGGATGTTTAGCAGATCATCGGCAAGACAATCCCAATAGAGTAATTAGCCGTGCTGCCCATTGCTTCGTGGGGCTTAGGTAAGCCATGCACGGCCATGCCCTTCACCGTTTATGCATAGAAGATTGCATTATTATTTGGAGACTTATCTGTAGTCGAAGGCCTGGTCGCTCTAGATGATTGTAGACAACTATCTCCCCCTCTTCAACGTCCTCCTGGCCATTCTCCCAGCGGGCATCCTTTCATCTGGCGTATGATGTTGTCATCTTGGCTTGTGCTGTGCTCACGTGAGCGACTGAGTCAGCGACACTGACTATTGGACCGGAACATTCTTCGCAAGGCTGGTTTCTGCATGCCGAGCAAAACCTCATCATCACCATGATGCGTATGTTGTGGCATGTTCCGGAGGTTCTGGAATTCTCCAGAGAAACCTCCATCTCATTCAAGGCACACGACATCACGCTGATGATGCGATCTGCCATGCCATGCCATGCCATGCCAAGCGGAGGGCTGTCCACACTGCTCGATTGCTCGATTGCTCGACTGCTCTGGCCTTGAAGAAACTCTGTCTTTAGCAGTTGTGAGGCTGTCGTAGCTGTGACGTTGTACCAAATCTTCAAAGCTGGAAACGCTTTCCGACCAGTGACTGAATGCAGGTACAAAACACAAGATGTGTAAGGCAGGCGCGTCGAGTGCCAATTTATCAATCTTTCCAATCTTTCTCGTGCTCCATCTCCTTCCCAGACAGCAACCCGTACGCCCTTCAGAGATTGATATTTCTTGTGCATCATAACCCAAAAGCAAAGTCGGTTCAAAGACGTGTGAACTAACAAGATGCCTCCGTACGTGTCACGAGCTGCGCTGTTACGCAATCAGCTTGCTGCTTCCTCGAATGTGAGACGACGATTTACTCACAACATGCCTAGGACCCTCCCCATTTTCTCCTTGGAGGGCAAGACGTGTGTCGGTAAGTTACTACCTAGGTATCCATGAGGCCCACCTCATACTCACCACTAACTCTCGTACAGTGACTGGGTAAGAGCAGAGGCATAATATGAGGGTGCCTCGTTGCTGACCGACCCCCCTCCTAAGCGCCTCTCAAGGCCTCGGCGCTCAAATCCTCGCTGCATTCGCCCTGTCCGGTGCCAAAGGGGCCGTTGTCGACCTATCTAAGGAGTCAGCAGACGAAACCGTGAAGAACCTTAAGCAAGAAGTCACAGATGCCGGCCTTCCGGAGCCTGAAATCAAAAGCTATGAATGCAATACAGCGTCAGAAGAGACGGTTACCAAGACGTGGGATCAGATCGTCAAGGACTTCAAGAGAGTGGATGTTTTGGTCACAAATGCTGGCTCTGCTGGTGGCTCGGCTGCCGAGGACTACGACTTCAAGGAGTGGCAGAAGCTGCTCGACGTCAATGTCAACGGCACCTTCCTCTTTGCAAGAGCAGCAGGAAAGCACATGATTGAGGAGGGAATCAAGGGCAACATCATCATGGTCAGCTCGATGAGTGGCAGCATTGTCAATCGACCTCAGAAGCAAAGTGCTTACAACGTGGTATGTTTTACCATCGTCCCTCAAACATAGAATGCTCGACTGACATACTGACGATGTACAGAGCAAAGCTGCAGTGAGCCATATGATGCGTTCAATGGCTACCGAATGGGGTGAACATGGTATCAGAGTCAATGCTCTTTCACCCGGCTATATCGACACCGCAAAGACCCAAGGCGAAGAGATGGAGAAGATGAGCAAGGAATGGGTGGACATGATTCCTCTGCACCGTATTGCAAAGCCAGAAGAGTTCCGCGGAACGGTCGTGTGGATGGCTTCTGATGCATCGTCGTACCTCACCGGCAGCGACATTATCGTTGACGGAGGTTACACTGCATGGTAAGTGAGCAATGTGAGTCCTGACTCCTTGATCACGGTATATACGGCACAAGCAAGCGAGGAGTTTGGGAGTTGCGAGCAAGACCAACATAAAGATACCGAAAGGGCTGCTGAGCATCTGCCACCGCGTCAACCGAGTCGTTGAGATGAAGACTACCACAGTACGTCATTGCTGTCGGCGTTAACGGAGAAGACACCGGCGGGGCTTCATGAATCCTCGAGTCCTGCTCGAGTCCTGTACGAGTACTGCAAACCTGCGTTAGATATATTTTCTCTACCACACGAATCCTTATGCTTGAATCCACCTACTAAGCTTGCCTCGTCTTGCCAGTCTTACCCTCGCGAAACCCATGCTCAGAAGCCTTAGACCATTATCGACAGTGCCGACTCAAGTCGCGACAAGCCGTCTCGCAACCCTCCACCACCAATTTTCCCCATTCTCTTCGTCGTCCGCTTCCAAGATGCCCCTCATACCTTCGACAATGTCGAGCAACAAGCCTCGGGTAATCCTAGGTCTAATGACCTTTGGCCCACCAGGGACCGAGTCCAAAGGTGGTCGGATCACGACGTTGGACGAGTACAACAAATGCCTCGACTACCTGCAACAGCGAGGGTACAATGAAGTCGACACAGCACGGTCATACATCGCCGGGGAACAAGAAGGATTCACACACCAGGCAAAGTGGCAAGACCGCGGCCTGACCCTCGCGACGAAATGCTACCCGGTCAAGCCCGGCGACCATGCGCCCGACAAACTGCGCGCCAGTCTGGAGAAGAGCCTGAAAGAGCTGGGTACGAACTGTGTGGACATCTTCTACCTGCACGCACCGGACCGGAGTGTGCCGTTCGAAGAGACGCTCGGGGCGTGCAATGACATGTTCAAGGAAGGCAAGTTCGTGCAGTTGGGACTGAGCAACTTTGCGGCGTGGGAGGTTGCGGAGGTCTGGAACATCGCCAAGGAAAGAGGGTGGGTGAAGCCGACGATCTATCAGGCCATGTACAATGCCATCACGCGGGATATTGAGAAGGAGCTTGTCCCGTGTTGTAGGAAGTGAGTTTACCACCCTTCAGCATCCAACCCCGAAGCCGTATGTATGGGGAGGGCGAGGACGATTGGGATATGCATGGATGGACGGGGCTAACGGTGGTGACATACAGGTACGGCATTGATCTGGTCGTATATAATCCGGTAAGTCGGTCTCTGATATGTGCGCTGACATGCGGCGATGTGTGTGCTGACCCATGAGAATAGCTCGCTGGCGGCGTGTTCAGCGGCAAGTATAAATCGAAAGAAGACGTTCCGCCAGAGGGACGGTTCGCGGATGTCGCGAAGGCTGGGAAGGTACGGACGACTCTCTTCTCTTTCCTTTCTTCTCGCCCCGGTGCTTCTGTGTATTGTATTGAACGGCAAGAAAAACACCACCGCTGACTTGTTCATCATTAGATGTACCGAGACAGATACTTCCACGACACCACGTTCGCCGCGCTACAGCACATCGAGCCCGTGGTCAAAAAGGCTGGCCTGACACTCCTGGAGACCGCGTTGCGGTGGTGCGTGCACCATTCCAAGCTCAAGGTGGGGAGCGAGGGCAACGATGGAATCATCATCGGCGTGAGCAGTTTCGGTCAACTCGAGACCAATCTGGCCGATCTGGAGAAGGGCCCCTTGCCGGAAGAGGTGGTCACTGCGCTGGATGAGGCGTGGGAAATGTTTGCGTACAAGGGGCCTTCGTACTGGCGGTAACCCACTACGTACGAGTAGTAGATGATTGCTTCTGCTTCGGATCGGACCGTATGAAGGGGCGGTTTTGGTAAGCGGTGAATACTGCAAGACAAGAAATCCTAGACCAAGGGAATGGAGTACGAATCTATCAAACAACGCTTTCCGCTAGGTATACATCAGAACACGACACGATTATCCCCGTACAGGAGCACGCACACCAAAACCCCATCCTTCGACCTTCAACAAACTCAGGATATCGAGCGCCCTTGCCCATGACCTGGAGGATCACACGAAAGGCTTGGCAGGCATCTCCACCGGCTCCATTTCTTGTCTCGAGTAGACAGGAAGTGTGCTTACCGTAGTTGTATCGTGGTGTGCGTGCGCGTGCCCAAGTTCCACAGGTTTCGTCCCTGCCGGCAATTCGACCTCCGCCGGCTCCTCTTGAGCCAACTCTGCTCTGGCCGCAGGTGTAACAATAGCAGCCGTTGAATCTAGTTCTGCCTTGCCCGACGGGTCTCTCTCGAGCGTGTTCGTTGCCATGGCTGGGTTCGTACGCTGCCTCTGCCGTCTGCGTCGCCACAGCCAGGAACATACTCCCCCAGCAACGATGGCCACCGCGGCTATACACCCCACGACAATGCCCGCAATAACACCTCCGCTGATCGGCGAGCTTGTGCCGTTCGTGATCGAGCTACCTATCGCGGCTAGCTGTGTTTCGTTGCAAATTGCTTTGATTTCCACGCCTTCGGGGTAATTGATCGCATAAACGTTGGACGTGTTCGCTGGGGCCAGTTGGAAGCTGCTGTCGCCGAGGTTGACGAGGTAATTGGCCTGGAACAGGACGTTGCCAAACCACGAGATACCACCGCTGACGACGTCGGCGCTGGCAAATGATGTAAACACGAAGCTGTCATTGTTGTAGACGTAGGACCCTTTGTCGTCGTATTTGCGGTCTGGTAGGAAGAGTTCGTACCAAGGGATGGTAAATTGGTAGCCGTCTGCGCCGTCGTCCAGTGTCACGGTGACGTTGCCAGTCGGGCCGTCCGAAGCAGACCAGGACAGGACTTCCGTTCCGGGGTCTTTACCTGCGCCAGTGACATTGCCGAACGTGTTCAAAATGTCCTCGGGCAGGAGAGTGTCTGTGGATGCGGTGTTCAGGATGCTGTCGAAGGCTTGGGATGACGAGTTGAATAGACTGATAGGCCCCTGGCCGCTGTCATATGTCATATTGGTCACATGGATGGTCATGTACCCTGCGTATTGAGGGTTGGAAGTAAAGTTTCTCAATGTCGCGCCCGTAGCGATTCGATTGTGATCGTAGCCGCCAATGACCAAAAGGCCGTCTTGTGGTGCCAGTACTGACCGGCTTCCGGCCCAGTAGCCCCAGGCTCGTGAAGGTGCGAGGTTTTGTTCGGCTAGTGTTTGCAGGAATGTCGAGTCCGCTGCTAGTGGCAGTGTACCTTGTGTAGCTGCGATACGGTTAGCCGTGATTCTGGCATGTTCCAAGGTACGCGGCCTTACCATCTGTGGGCGAGGTCATAGCCATTGGAAAGCCAGGAAGCAGGCTGTTGTCCGACAAGCGTATCTCGTCCTGGAAGTAAAGGAATGAGAGATCTGCATCTTCCTCGACCTCTGATTTACTGCCGTTCCATTGCGCGAGTGTCATCATGTCGTAGGTGCCCGACTTCGAAGTATCAAAGGAGCCGCCAGTTGACCCATAGCAGGAGTAGTTGGTCGAAGGTCCGCAGCCCGCAGAATTTGAAATGAGCACATTGTTGACACTCGTTGCCGGCCACAGGGCGAATATCTGACTCGGTGTCCCTATACCGGTCTGGATGCCCCGTGTTTGGGTGTAGCCGTTGCTGGAGATTGTGACGTTGGTGATTGGGAAAAGAATGGGTGCGACGCCATTTGCACAGGTCATGGCGGTCTGCCTCCAGGCGTGCTGTCTGGGCAGCACAGCCTTCGAGAGGTGGGTGACGGGACGACTCTAGAGGTTAGAAACGATAAAAAAGAATACAAAGCTGTGTAGCGCTAAAAAACGAATGGCATTGACTTCGGATTTCGCTGCAGGAACAGGATAACGGTGCGGTTCTCTGAACAAAGTAAGCAAAGCAAGGAACGGGAGACAACGTTAGGACAGCTCATTCGAGGTGAAGTGCAAGGTGCCATGGTATTGAGGGACAGCTCGCACCTCAATCCGCTTCCGGCAATTCATGCCTTCTCCACCCTTTCTGACGAGGCAGATGTAGGAGATGATTGGACCACTGCGAGCAGCTATTTACTTGTAGTAGGCAGTTATCCCGTGGGCCCAGGGGTTGTCCGTGAGTCCGCAGGATGTCCATGAGGCGCCCACCTACCGCTTCCCTGGTGATGGGATTCAGCCCATTTACTCGTGCAACTGGTGGCTCCAATCTTGGACGGGTCGGACCCAAAGGCGCCATCAGTCAAGGATCATAAGAAGAGCCGGAGGTGCAGGGAAGACAACCGTCCTCACTCGAGCATGGGGCCGCGTGTGCTGTCATCCTGGATGAGAAGCTGAACAAAGCGAGGCAGACTAGCGGACACGGTGCGTTGATCGATGAAAGAATGAAGGACTGAAAACGCAGGAAGTGAAATAATGGGTGGCCTGGCAATTGTTTCACCCAAAGAAGCCTAGCGCAGCCTTGTAGTGACCTCAGCCTTGTCTTATGACTACGCGAACACACCGACTTCTTTCCTTTTCACGTTAGAAATGCGAAGCTAAGTACTTACTCAATACCAGGGGCAGGCCAGTCATCTCCTCCGTAACCGTATCTTGTCACGAATGATTAACTCGTATCATTATTCCTGCATTGAGCTGTGACTGATCATTTCCCCGAAACTAAGAGATCGTCTGCCCCTGGCCTCCAATCATACAGGGACCTTTTGCGAGTCCATGGCGATCAACCCGCATAGTACTCCCTACACTGTCTGTACAAGCCTCAAGTCCCAAAAGGGTTTGCACCGCGTTATTGTCGATCCCATCCCGAAATGACTCCATACATTCAAAGCTCAGCCCCCAACAGCCGGCGACCATGTCCCAATCTGAGGCCTGCAGGAGCAAGCCGTCGCCCTGGTAGCGTTTCATTTCTTTTGACTATCCAGCCTCAGTCAACGCACATAATCCTAGGTGACGTTTTGCTTCTAACTTTGTCGAGATCTGCAACAAAACGTGGCAGAGTAAACAAGCACGAAATAGGAAATGGAAAGCAAGGCTAGTAGTACCTGGCTCAGCCCTGCTGCTTCATGTGGTGAGAAGTATATATCCTCCCAAATCCCCCCTTGAAGCCTCAGGATGCTCACTTCAAATCACATACGTGATCAAGTTCAATCATCAATATGGCTCCCGGAACCCAGATCGATTCGACCTTTTCGCAGGTCAAGGCGACTTCTGCGACCATTGACGACGATAACACCAAATACTGGCTTTACGACCCTTCCCGGAAACTCGCTGGTGTCGCAGCTGGGATCTTCGCCATCCTCGGCATCCTCCACCTCATTTTCCTGATTTTGCGAAGGCACTGGTTCTGTCTTCCGTTTGCCCTTGGAGCATTTTGTAAGGATCTCCTCCCTTGCGGTACGACGCCGTCATCCACTAACGATTTATCTTAGTGGAGGTCACCGGCTACGTCTTCCGCGAACTCTCCGCCCGTCATCAAGACAAGCTATGGCTCTACGCTGCGCAGACCATCTTCATCCTCATCGCACCCGCCCTCTTCGCTGCAGCAATATACATGACCCTCGGCCGGCTGATGAGGGCCCCCGGCTGCACCCTCCTCTCGCCTATCCGAGTCAAATGGCTCACCAAGATATTCGTCCTGGGCGACGTACTCTGCTTCTTCGTCCAAGCCATCGGCGCCAGCATCCTGAGCAATGCCAAGTCTGACGACAAGGACAAAGAAAACCTTGGCAAGGACGTCGCGTTGGCCGGCCTCATCCTTCAAGTCCTGATCTTCTTTTTCTTTATGTTCGTCGCGGTCAAGTGGCATTGGCGTATGCGGCGACGCATCAGCTCCAAAAATTCGAAACCACTCTCGGGCATGAGGTGGGAAACGGGCCTCTGGGTTCTGTACATTGTCAGCGTCATCATCTCGGTGCGGAACGTTGCTCGCGTCGTCGAGTTCGCCGGAGGATCCAAGGGCTATTTCTTCACTCACGAGTGGACGCTGTATGTCTTTGATGCACTCCTGATGGCTTTGGTTCTGGCACTCTGCTTCAGCTGGTATTTTATCCTCGGCTCATCGAGGGACGGGGATATGCTTCTCTCACAAGAGGATGACCATGGTCAGCCTGAGACATCCGTGCCGCTTTACCCACCACGGCCGTACAACAACTATGACTATGGCCGGCCCAACGGGTACGCTCCCAATGGGTATGCTTGAGACAGAATACAGCGGATTGTACCTTATAGAAAAGGCTTGAGAAGAGTAATAGATGGAGAAACACGGCGTTCCCCTGGGACAGATGGTACTTTCTGGTTTCGATGGTTGCTCGTGGATTGAAAGCCAGAGTTGGCGTTCGGGCAGTCCAATATCTGACATTCTCAGATTAATGTTTATTTTTCTTTTTGGTTCGCTCATCAACAACAAGCAGTACTACGTAGTAGATTGTTGCTTCAATCAGCTTCATCCTCAATCTCCAAGTCCCCAACTCTAAAGGTCTTCCCCTTCATGTCCGCATAATCCGAGTGATTATGATAACTCTTCACCCGTTCCCTGACGTACTGTAACCCCGTCACTTTTTCTTTGTCCTCCTCCTGTCGCTCGCCCACAAGCCCCAGTCTCTTCAACAGCGGACTAGCGACGGGCTTGATGTCTACATCATCGCCCGGGCGGACGAAATAGAACAATCCCAGTCGATCCACGTGTGTCTGATCCTCCGGCGGCCGCACCACCCGGTGCGTCGTGCTCTTCAAGTACCCGGCCGACCAGAACGACAGTGTGTCGCCAACGTTACATATTATCCCGGTGCCGCCGCCGTCGCCGGGCACGGGCGGGACGTACTTCCACTCACCGGCTGAAGTTTTGATCTGCAGACCCGCGATGTTTTGGTTCCACAGCAACGTGAGCGAGCCGAAGTCCGTGTGCGCGCGGGACCAGGTATTTTGCACCTTTGCGTCGTCGGCAACGGAGCGCGGGTGGTACGTCATGTAGCGCAGATGGTCTTCGGAGGGTGAGTCGTACGCGTGGCGTGATGAGAAGTAATCGGGCGGGAGTTCGAGGATGAGAGAGAAGAGCGTGAAGATTTTGCTGGCTATGTTTAGTGCTTTCTACTCGGTTCAGTCCCCGGTTAGTCTCGGTTCGAGGCCCTCGAGCGAGTGCTCATGGTTGATTTGAAAGGGGAGTGGGTATTTCGGAGTGCTATGGTATTAAGTAGTGATTGCGAGTGGAGGCGCAACAAGGAACGTTCGGCTTACTCTGGAAAAGTCTTCAATCTCAGGACGATAGGGTTCGAAGAACGGATGCCGGACTTCGTTCTCGTACTGTGGGATGATCTTGGGAACATTGAAAGACTCCTCGATGTTTGTTATATTCGTAGACATTATCTTCTTCTCGTGGGCCTTGTACACCAAATCAGCAAGATCACCCCTTGGATTCACAAATGTATCCAGCAGTCCACATACAGCTCGGTACCCGAAGAAGTTGCCATTAGCAAAGTCGCAGCGGTATTCCGGCAGGTTCTTCTTATCAACAGGTAAATCAAAGAACGCCTGGCCAATGTCATACTGTCGCTGCACTTCTTGGTCTGAAAGACCGGTCCCTGTGATGCTGAAGAAGCCTGTCTTATGGACCTATAACATCATCAGCCTCCATAGAATGGATAAACACAATGATATATCTCCTGACCGCATCTCCAAGCTGCTCAGCTAGCTTCTCTTTCCCGCCGGGCTCATCGAAAGTCGATATGTCAATCACTTTGATGTCCGCCCAAGGTAGATCAAAACTCGTCTTCGGTGGCCGTTCCCATTTGCAAAGCCGTGGAGGCGACTGAGACATTGCCGAAGGCATCTTGTGGCTGGAGGTACGTCTCTGTTTCTCCAATGAGATGATCCTGTTAATAGTATGATTGAAGTGGAAGTACAGACATCAAAAGAGGGGTAATCCTTCTTAACCTTGGAAGTTACTGTAGTCATAGCACGTCGCGGCTAGGAATAACGTAATTCCGATCAGAGCACGCCATTGTCGATCGGTATGGTGCACCCCAATTGTCGCGTACGGGAAGATTTAGAGACCTGTAGAAGTATCAAGCACAGCCGAAGTGGTACAGCATCGTGCAGTCGGCGAACCGAACCAAAGGGTGCGTGATGGGGGCCTTCACTGACACACCGCGATGCCGAATGGTACTCAGGCTTTCAGGGGCTCAGCCTCGCTTCCACTCACTCTATTATACGGCATCCGAAGTATGCAGCCCTCATCTTGGTGCAGCCTCTTCTTGCTCAAAAACAGAAGCTCCGATTGAACGGTGCTGCTCTAGTTAGCTCCTTGACCGCGACTGAAGAATGAGGTGCTGTTCCGCCAGGCACGAGCAGCAGATCAGAGACGAGATCAATAGCCCACGGAAAGCGGATTTCGAGGACATTTGGTATTTCATCCAGCACTTAGCATTCGCACGACAAGTAGTCTGGATGTATCAATATTTCCATCTTCGTGTGCCACTTCTCGGGAGCGAATTGGCCGAACGTCATCAAATTCAGCGAAGGTCACTTTCCTTTAGCAGCAGCCCGGCCCTTCCTCGCCCTCGAGCCAAAGCGGAATTTCATGTCATCACTGTCATCATCCTCACCGTCGCTGCCTCGCACGACTGTGACAGGTAGTGTTTTCTGGCGCTTGGCCTTGTCCATGCCGAGTGTACTAGAGGCAGGCCTTTTCCCGCTGGCGGTGGATGATTGAGTGGCTGCGGCTTGCGTCGTGTCGTGGCGGCTTTCGGCTTGACTCTTGTCAGCGGCACGTGTCCGCCTTGGGGTATCAGGATCAATTTTATGATCAACAATTTCAGCAGCTTCACGCTGAAGCCGAGTCGTGGCTGGAGAATTTGATGAAACGCCATCGTCGTTTTGAGGCTCAACCTCATCGGGATTCTCATCCTCGTCCTCAGAAATGACATTGACCCTAGATCTTCCGCTGAGAGTACCAGTTGACCGCTGTGTCTGGCTTTGCGACTTCCGACTTTTCGCTTCCTCCTTCCTCTTCTTCTCATGCTCACGCTCTTTCTCCCCATTTGTCTTCGGCCAATACTGATCACCTAAGCCCTGGGTAGGCTGCTCAACCGCAACAAGCGGGACAATGACTTTGGTAGCGTGCCCTCTACGTTGAGCGGGTTCGCCCTTCCTACGAAACCCTTTGAAATTCGTCCGTCCATTCCACTTAGGATCCCAGTTGTCACCATGAGCACCGTTGACTTTATTGAGGTTCTTCGACCGTTCTCGCAAAGGAAGCTCCATGTTTACCACAGTGACTAAGTTGGCGGGTGTTTTGTCCTCGACGTCGCCCATTGCCTCAAATTGCTCTTGTTCCCTTCGTGCAGCTTCCTCTTCTTCTTCGCGCTTTGCTTTGACCACCTTTCGAACATCAATTTCGCGCTCTTTCTTGATTTTCTTCGCGGCCATTTGGCTTGTCTCTGCCTGCTTACTCCCAGCTTGTCCGTTGGCTCGTGCTTGTGCCGTCCTCTGTCTTTTGAATGCTGCAGCTGCTGGAAGAAGGTCATCCATCTCTTCAGCGAACGCATGTTCTGCGTCTGGACTAGGCGAACGAGGACGTTTCTTCTTCACAGACTGTGGTTCTTCCTTGATTTTCGTTGTTTGTCGTTGGATCTTCTGTTGGGCTTCCGGGCTCAGAACCTCGGCCTCGTCGTCTTCATCGCCCTCGTAGTCAATAATCTCATCCGGATCAAAAGCGTCATCGAAATGCTTGAAGCCACTCTTCTGCGTAAATCGAGGTCCGGAGAACGGCCGAGGAGCACTCTCTATCTTGCTGCTGGCTTGGGAGACATTGCGAGAAGAGATTTGTGACTGTCCCGGTTCCGCTGCCGGTGTAGTTTTGTTTGCGAGTCGAGTAAAGACCTTCTCTGCGACATCATCTGGTGCAGCTCCACTCGGCGCTGAGGAGACAGATGTTGCGTGGGGTTTGTCCAGCATGGTTCTCTCTGATGAAGTGTTCGCTCGGACCTCACTGGGCTGTCTTGTGACCAAAGAATTGGCAGGCGCAACCTTGCCATCGTTTGTACTTTCGAAAGGAATAGACTGTTGAAGCAGTCCGGCATCGTTCGCCAGTATAGCATCCAGGAACTCGGACTGGTCAATGGCTCGCTGATCCATTTTCAAAGCAGTCTCACTGATCACCTCGTTCATCCACTCCTGGATGTCGTCTTTGCCTGACCATCGAACCAACACCACCTTTGATTCTGCAGTAGTTTTGGGTTGACCATTAGCTTTGTGACCTGCCGCATTTTGAAGGAAGTCTATCAGGTTATTTGAAGTCGTCTCGCCATTGACCATCTTGAACATCATCGCTTTGCCGTGACCACTAGTGATGACGGGAAGCAGGTTGTCATACTGAGTTTGATCAACAAAGACGAAAGTGTAGCCTTCAAAGATGGTCGCTCGTGCTGGGTCTGGCTGATAGGACTCTGCCGGTCTGATGCTGGGCTCTTTCCCTGGTGGGGGAAGATGGTCCTTTGGATTCGGCCATGCACTATCAAAGTCCGTCTCCAGAAGAGAGAGGTTTTCTTCCTGGCTGAGATTCTGCGGGGTGGCACCGTACTCCAGTGCGTCGATGAACGACTCAGCGACCAAGTATTTGCCTGCAACCAAACCCTGCAAACCCTTTGCGGTGTTTCGCTTGTTTACCACCACATGAGTCGTATTGTCAGAGGAGAAATCGGTGATAGCCTTGATATCGAGGCTTTCGACCCTGGCCTGCTTGGTCTTGAGGACACCCAATTTGATCTCTTTTTTGAGAAGGCTGAAGGTGAGGACGCATGGGTGCCATTTGATGACGATCTCGCTCGGAAATGTGCCCGGTCGTACCGAGTTCTCAGCATCTTTCAACTCTTTGGAGCCGCCCTTTATAGTCTCAGCATTGACGGTGGTGCCACTCTTGGAATTTTGGTCGATGATTCTGATCTTTGTTCTTGCGTGGATTTGTCCCGCATCACCTTCCTTGACATTGTCCACCTCAATAACAAAATGCTTCCTCGAGACTGTCTTGTGATCAATTGCAAATAGAACCCCCTCTTTTCTCACTCTTCCAAACAGGTATCGCTGGCCAGGCTTGAGCCACATGCGTTTGCCCTGGAGGAAGTCTCCATTTGACTCGAGGATCCACATGATGAGGACATTGGAGGAATTATGTCGACAGGTGTCATCGCTTGAGAGGAAGTCTCATATTCCTGCGAGTGAGATGCTCCTGGAAATATAATGGACAATTTCCCCAGCGCAGGCAAACACTGCAATCCTGGGCAATCAACGTTTCATTGTGACGCGTGACGCGCAGTAATTAAGCCAGCTGCACCCAGAGCTGCAGTTAACCGTTAATCACCCAAGCTAGTTCCTAGGCAGTGATGGCGGATTATTAGCGGGCTCGGGTGCCTAAAAGGTTCATCCCGTGGTTAGTACGATCCTTGGAGCATAGGAGGGGCTAGGTCACAAGACGTCTCACAAGGACAAAGATCAACAGGGCATGCCCACTTCTCGTTGTCATTGGCAGCCTGCGCTGGGTCATCAATACCGACGTCAGACGAGGCCCTTGGTTCTCAGCTTCTTACTACGAGCGACTGCTTCTACAAACACTTGCCTCCTCAAGTAAGCTTCCCTGACAGAATTGAAGCGATCGACCGCGGCCGAAGAATACTGTTACATCATGTCGAACGATCTGAAGGAAGAGAACACGCCCGACCTCAAGGTCGACGAGAGTCCCATCTCACCCCTCGAGCGCCGCAATTCCCTCGAGAAACACTTGCAGATGCGACCAGAGGCCCAGGATCTGAAGAACAGACACATCCTGCTCGACACAAACGCTGCTCCGTGAGTTAAACGTTGCTACACAGGCTGCTTTTGTTGACGTTCCCTGCGCAGGTCCCTCCAAGCCAAGCAGCTGGAACTTGAGCGTCAACAACACTATGACAGCCTGAAGAAGAACCTCGAGAAGCGGCCGGATCGTGAGGAGTTGGTCGAGAGTAAGCATTCCGGATCACGCTTCAGGCAGTCGACGCTGATACCCTCTTAGGAAACATTCTCCCCGATTCCACGGCGGCCCCCGCCCTACAAGCCAGCCAACGCAGTCTCGAGAAGCACATGCGAGCCGATAGCCTCGAACAGAAGATACAGCAGAGACCCAAGCCGGAACAGTTGGTCAAAGAGGGTATCCTGGAAGCAGATGAGAATCCGGTCAAGGAATAAACAAGCGATATATCTGTTGTCTTTGGCTCAGACATGATGTGATGTGGTGGCATCGGCAAGGTTGATGGCAAACAGACAAACAAATGCTTCAGTAGCTCATAATATAGCCCAGCATTTGGAACTTGCCAATCCCTTTTGCATGAACAGCGCTGTGACATATTTTCGCGGTCCGGAATTGCCTCCCCAGTGCCGAAACTGAGGGCGTTAACCAGCACTTCCCTCTGCACAGGACACCATGTATCCTTCCTCTGACCGAACACGCGGCATCTCGCAGAACTCTTTTCTCGTCATGGACATCAACACTCTCGGATACCTTCAGGTGAGCAGCATCAGGACCAAGGTTAATAACTCTCAACCTCGGGCCTCTCTCTATCCTTATCCTCCCCAAGGTCCGGCCTCCACCCCTTCGGCCTCTCCTTGCCTCTGACGATCATACTATACACACCATTCTCAACCTTCTCCACACTCGCCCTTGTCGTCTTCATCTTGGTAGCAAAGTCTTTATTGAGCCCATAACTCCCACTCGCATCCAATTTCTCCAGCTCGCTCCTGAGGACTTGTAAATCCGCCAGTATCGATCCTCCACCAGAGCCTTCCGCAGCGTCGTCTCCACCACTGACTCCGGGCAACTGCCCATTCGTCGCAAGGTAAGTGATCGCAAATCTCATGAGCTCCCCCGTCATGTCGAACACGCCCAGCGCATAATCTTCATACGTGAGCACGATGCCATCGGGAAGTTGTCGCTGCGCATCGTCGAACCGCATCACCGTCCGCTGTTCGAGGTAGTGCTGGAACAGAACGGCCTCCATGAACTCCTGGATCCCACCAGAAATGTTGCCTCTGTACCGGTTCGCATTTATGCTCTGCAGGTCTGGCACGACGGACTGTAAGAGTTCTCGAATAGTGTTGTACATGGGCGTGATGGTTTTGGATATGCTGGCGTGGATGGGACGGTTGATCTCTCGTACCCTACCACACAAAGAGCCTAATCAGCATCTCCGGGACTTCTAATTTCTAAACGGTGCCATGTTTGGGTGTTCAAACGTCCCACTCCCCAGTAAAGAGACCCAAAACGTGAATTGCGTGGTGATGCTTTGCTTACCTCTGCAATGCAAAAATACTATTCTCCAAATTAGCACCCTTTCGGGGTGAGCAACGTGATAGACTCACATCTTCTTACTCTGCGCAGTGACATCTCTGGACACTTTGATGACCCTCTCACGTCGATCATGATGCTCGTCCAACTCCGTTCGGAAAGTTTCGAACATGGGCACAAACGGCGAGGAATTGGAAGGTTGTTGATCGACGTTCATGCCATCGTGTGATCGCTTTTGGCCTGCCATGTTCGACTTTGCACGTTGGGATTGTTGAATAGGGGCGGAATATGGGTATGCTCAAACAAACAAAAATTGAGTCGAGTTGAGCGATGAGGCAGCCTTGCATGCAGCCAGTCCTGCCGCTTTAAGAAAGAGGTATCCGCAAAGTTCGGCCTCGTAGTTTTACTTCGCTCAAGTCGAGGTCTTTTCGAGTGCAGCTTATTGGTCTTGGAAATACGGATGTCTCAAATATGCTCTCGGGTCTCTGAAATGGAAGCACAGGTCCAAAGGGTTATTGACGGTGGACGGTGGATGGCGGGATCAGTATAACCAAGGCACTGCGAAGGCAACTTGACTGACATCTCGAGCATGAAAGCTATTGTTCACTCGATCCATATCTAGGCCAAGCCTACAGCTCGGATGAATACTGTGCCAGCATGTCCTCAGCCGCTGTTGGACTGGTATCAGTTGCTTTTCAAAACCCTATCCCTAGGTCCCAAATGCACCTTCGCAAGATTGCTCGTGTCAATATGACTATCCGCACGCGCCCTCCGAACCGGCTCCTTGCCCTTTATCGCAAAGCCAGTGCTACCGTTCTCCGATGCAGGTGGCATAACGAGTACCCGTTCCGACTTCGCAGACTGCTTCGACGCTTCATCCGGTGACCCTTTGTTTGCTATGTCCCTCTCATCCGCCACAATGACGCCCAAGATCCAACAATTGATGACAAAGAAGCCGAGGCTTGTCGCAAACAGGCCAGGAACGAATGTGCTCTTCCCCAGAAATTCAAGTTCATAAGCCTGCTGGAGCCACGCCGCTTGACCGATGATCCAGAGCGCCAACGCAGTTGTTCCCAGTCCAGGCCGTCGGATGAGCGCCGAGTCTGGTAGATACAGTGGCAGGAAGACGAGATACCAGAGAAAGTATTGCGAAGTGCAGACTTTGTTGAAGGCCACGAACGCGAGAGTCTGGGCGAGCATTGTTCGTGGTAGATCTCGTTTCGCAAGAGCAATTGGAATGAGAACCGTGGATAGCAGGAGTTGCGGCACGAACGCAAAGGACTCGAATGAGAAGGAGGAGCTCTTCGTAAAGTGGCTGGTCGATTGAGCCGAAGAGAGATACAAAAGCGTGTTGTATGGTGAGAAGTTATGTCGATGGTCGATTCGAGTAAGGTGATGCAAGAAAGTGTGCTGGAGAAATGGAGACCCGTAGATATTGTACATGAGAATATTGAGCACGGTGAATGTGATGAGCGAGGTAGCTACAAGCAGTATGCGATCGCGGTTCATGAACTGCAACGTTCGCTGAAAGATCGCAGTCCCGGGAGACGTCTTGGTGGCCGGACCCAACGCCCACAGCATGCTTGCTCCGTAAATGAAAGGGTATATCTTGAAGTGAACGCTTAGGCCGAGGAGCACGCCCGACAGGAGTATTTGTCTGGTTTCGAACGCCCAGAGCAGTGCCATGACCAGTACGCAGAGAAAGCCTTCGCTACTTCCCCGAGTACTGATGTTTGCGACCATGGGGTTGAGCAGCCACACGCTGGCGTATCCAAGGGCCCGGGCCTCATGTAATCCCCTCCTCTTCAACAGAATCAGAATAAGCCAACCAGCGATCAGGTCTGACAGAGCGAAGATTGTCTTGCCGAAATGAAACCACAGTCCACCCCAGCTTGTAGGGAGCAGGATCCAAGCGAGTAGAGGGGTATATCGATATGTCGCTCGGGTGTAGGGTGACGACCCTCTAGAGACGGCGCGAGCTGCGTCTGTGAAAACATAGTAGTCGATGTCCGTGTATTTCAGGGCCGAGACTGAGTCCTGGTATATTCCATAAACGAGGAGCACTGCCCGAAGGACGAAGGCCAACAGGAAGATGAACGTCGGCGAGGAGAAGAGTGAAGGATTCGGCGATGACATCTTGTCGACTACTGGACTACATGCCGCGAAGTCTCGAGACTGGGAAGCAGCCTCGTGCGTACTTCCAGCAGTGGATGGTTGCGCAAAATTGACGATTAAACTGGAAGCCTGCCAAGGAAAGTACAATCTGTGCCGCCCTATGCTCATCACCGGCTCGCGCGAGCTAAGTTAGGTGTCCGATCACCCGCTGCTCACCGGTTGTGGGGGTGCTCCCAGGCGTCTCGGCACTGAGCCAATTGGTAAGGGCCATCATGGGCTGGTGCGGCCGTCGTGCGCCATCGCTTGTGCTATGATGTGCCTAATTCTATGCGCACCTTAAGTACAACAGTGCTCCGTACATGGTACGTCTACTCTGACTACGTCCTCACGAGGGTCGCTTCTAACTGGAGTTATTGGGAACCTGGGTTCTGCCCTGCAATAGCTAACAGTGGGACTTGTTCGACCGCTAAAGGCTCATACACCTTACCAACCGCCTCCGCGCCCACCACCTCCATGGTGTCCGCCTCCTCTGCCACCTTCGAATCCTCCGCGTCCTCCACCGAAGTCGCCGCCTCCGAAAGCACCGCCGCGACCTCCACCGAAACTTCCACCTTCGAAACCATGACCTCGCCCTTCGCCGAACTCCTGTCTGCCGCCATGGTTGCCACCGCTGAATCCCCCTGGGCCACCGCCGAAGCCGCCATCACCTCCACCTCCATAACCACCTCGACCGCTCTCAAAGCCTCCACGACCTGGCTCGAAACCACCCTGCTGATGATGGCCTAGTCCTTGGTTTCCGTAGCCGTGGTTATATGCGCCGCCATGCTGGCCCTGAGGGGGATTGCCAAAGCCCTGACTCTGCTGACTGTAGCCCTGCTGATGGCCTTGAGGGGGACCACCATAGCTCTGGTTCGGTTCGCCGTAGCCGTGTTGTTGTTGGTGTTGATTGCCACCAAGCTTCTGTTCGACCTTGTGCTCGATCTTTTCGAGTAAAGACTCCTTTTTATGTGGTTTGTCGTGCTGCGAGAATAAACCACGATCGGATTCCATGGTAGGACCTTTTCAACTGAGATAAATCCAATAATCTACAATGCTTCCTTATGGCTGTGCTTGGTATAAGACGGTAAGGTTGTGATCGTACCTACCTAATATATGCCGCAGATATGAAATATGTACGGAGCAGTGCACCAAATGTAGTTGCCGCGCTAAAGTTGAATGACGCAGGATCACAGCTTGACGATGGATTTTTTCTTGCTCTAGGCAGCCTTAACTAAAGTCTTAACTAAAGATAATCTACTTTAGGCGACTTAGTGATAAAGAATAGGCGAGAGTTAGGGGCGGAGAAACGAGCTTCGATATCTCTGGGGACCGTTCTTCGAATTATAGCTTAACGATAAATTTTTTCTTACTTTAGGTAGTCTTAACTAAAGTCTTAACTAAAGATAATCTACTTTAAGTAACTTAGTGATAAAGAATAAACAAGAGTTAGAGACGAAGGAACGAGCTCCGATATCTCCGGGGACCGTTCTCCGGAGCAACGGAAAAGAAAATAAATGGTCTTTTGACGTCCTCGTCATTCAACTTTAGCGCGGCAACTACATTTGGTGCACGTCTCCGTAGTCTTTCGTCTGAATATCCTTTGACGTCTTCGAGTGCCGCGCGTCACACTATCGCAAAGGAGGATGAGGACCAACATGGACCCATAAGTTCGTCGTCAGCCAAGACGAAGCTTGACGTAGGACCCGAGCCTTGTTTGGTGGCCCGCCTTGGAAGTTGAAATATGTATACCAGGTACTTGGCGCCGATCAACCAACCCGTCGAGGCCGTCAAGCAGGTTTCTCCACCACCATCCGCACTGCCTAATATCACGAACTCGAGGTTTGGATTGATGATATTGTCTATCTACCCGCACACGCTTTGATGAGCGTGGATGAGGCAGTAGCCTCGTGGCACAACAAGCCGGCGCTCAAAGAATGTACATCGAGTCAAGGCTCATATCTCCTTCCAGTCCATTTGTTGTAGCTCCTTCGGCAATCAGCTTGGCCTTCTTCGCATTCCTGCGTTTGAGCAGAAGCCAACATGCGCCATAAAGGAAACCAGCAACAACTGTAAGACCGGCAGAAACGGCATTGCCAGGTACATACCGCGGGCCTTGCTGGGTGGGGTATAATTGCCCTGAGACCAGATTTGAGATGTTAGCGATCGAATAGGCCGAGGGCATGCCAATTGCACGTTTGGAATCCGGCGCCAAATTGGTAGAAATCCAAGTTACGGCCAACGTGGAAATGGGATAGAGTCCTAGTCAGGTGTCATTGGACGAACACATCAGCAGAATGGCGATATCGCTTACCTAGGACAAGAACGAACATCCCGGCATAACCAACATTGGCATTCTTTGACCCCACGCACATGAGATACCCAACAGCTACGGGTGCACAGCATCCGATGATGAACACTCCTCGTCGCTTGAGTTTGTCGGAATAGTAGACCTGGACTGAGAGAGAGATGGCACCAAGGACATAAACTGGGATGGTCATATAATTGACCTTGAGGGACGCAAACCTAGAACCGATCAATCAGTTATTCGGAGACTTCATCAAAGAATAGACTCACCCAAGTCCAGAGATAATAGTAGGCAGGAAGACGCCAAACCCGTTGATGGCAACGGATGAAGTAAAGAAAGCTATGCCGAGGAGGTAGACAAAGGGGTCGGTGAGAGCGATCTTGATCCACTTGCGGTCGAACTTGTTTTCCCCTCGGATCATAAAGTCTCGCTGTTTTTTCAGGCGCATGGTTTCTTTCTCTTCCTCGTTTAAAAACCATGCCTTTTCGACCTCGCTTGGTAGGAAGAGCCAGCCAATACCACAAATTCCGATTGTGATACAGAATTCGACGATGAAGAGCCATCTCCAGGCGGCGAGCCCGTGTCGCGATCCCATTGTCTGAACGGCATATGCGAATAGCCCGCCGAAAGCACCAGAGATGCATTGGGCGAGGTTGGTCGTCATTATACGCTTTCCTGCCAGTTCGCGCGGATAAATGGTGGAGAATAGATAGGCGAAGGCCTGTGCCAGACCGGCCTCGGCGGCGTTCAATAACATTCGACAGGCTATAGCCTGACCGTAGGTATGGATGAATGCAGTCCCAAGCGTGCAAATGCTCCATAGGACGAATGCAGAACCGATTGCTTTGTTGGCACCCCAGCGCCGGACGGCCAGGACCCAAGGGACCTCGAAGACAATGGTACAGACGCTAGAGAGAGTCTGGATGTTGCCAAACTGACCGTTCTTGAGCCCGATATCTTCGTCGAAGCCGAAGACTCGAGCATTTCCAAGCTAGTTAATTGTTAGCAACAGTCAGAGTCGCATACTACGTATATCAAGGCTCCGCTTACGTTGTTTCGGTCCAGGGTAGACAAAACAAGGAAGATCACTGAAACCGGCACGACATACATGTCGAATTTCTTTCGCGCCGCTGCTTCCTTCACGGGATCGACATATATGGCTGTCTGTGTGCCTTCTTCATAGTTGTCAGCAAGTTCAGCGTTGACCGCGGAGTCCTTCGTCATCTTCTCCATCGTCGGTTCGGATTATGTTGCTGTAAGAGCCCCGGGAAACTTGTCTGAGGATCTGGTTTCAGTCCTGAGTTGGGGGAAATGGTCTGTTGAGAGGAAGGGTATAGATCTCGTCGAGTCGCGAGTCTATATACTCGGCGGTCCTGCATGATGAGGTTTCAGTATACAACCATTAACCCACACGAATGGTGAAGAACATCTGGGTAAGTTCTCCTCAAGATCCTCAAGATTGAAGATTCTCAAGATAAGACGATAAGGCAGATATCTCGCAGGATGCCGACTTAGTCAGGTACTTACACAGTTGTACACCATTGACCACTTAGTATCGGGCTCTAAGCCGTGGCGGCGTTTGTCGTTATGCACCTGGAGGGCAGATAACGATCGGCATTTTCCGAAGGGCACATTTCGAGCTGGCCGTTATCTGGCCAACTGCCATGGAGCCCCACGACAAACATCCTTTATCATCATCTCTACGCCGAAAGGTGATGTTCGAATATACTCTACCGTAGAAGCCTTCGATGTCGCGCGCCGACCAGAGAGTTCCAAGAGGGGTAACGGCGTGTCAGAGGTGAGTCGGATGGAACGCTCGGGTCCAAGATCGTGTGGCGGACCTGCGATAGGAGACTGACCGGGTGCACAGGTGTCGTCGGAGGAAGCAGAAAGTACCGACGGCCCTTCCCACTCCAGATACCCTTGGGAGTCGCTGACAGTCGGTTGAAACGCGCAGTGTGACCAGAAATATCCGAATTGCTCCAACTGCGAAAGGGCCAATGTTCCCTGCCTGACATATCACTCGGCGAAACAGGCGGACGTGAGTTCAATGGAGCCTTGACCTCAAAACGCCTCGCGTAACTGATACTCTTTCAGATACCTCGCAACTACGTGTCCGACCTAGAGGTGCAGGTTGAGAAGCTGACTCAAGAAATCCAAGATCTGCGAGAGCGAACTCATGCCAGGTTGACGACCGGTGGAGATGTTACTATTCCTGTTGAATCATCCTCCCAGTCCGGCCGTGAAATAAGCATTCTTCCTGCAGAAAGACCGCATACATCTGACGGAAGCTCAAGTCACTTCGACGATTTGGTTACGAGTGTCAGGAACGTCGTCGTCGAACCTTCGAGACAGCCGCGGTTTTTAGGACAGAGCAGCGGCATCAGTTTCGCCAGAATGGTTATGGCAGCGATACAAGTCGACGCCATCAACGCCATTCCGTCTCCCCTGGTTCCGGAGCACCAGCCATGCGAAACATCTTTGTCTGCGCCAGCCAAAGCGTCTCTTCCACCGCGCCCTGTTGCAGATCATTTGGTGGACGTCTACTTCCAGTATCGCACGCCGCATCTGCCAATCCTAGACCGCTCACAAGTGGAGGAGGCCCTTGAGAGCGTCTACCTCGCTGATAGCGGTACCAAGCTCTCGGGTCGAGTATTCGAAACGGACATGTTCACCACCTACATGATGTTCGCCATCGCCTTATGCGATGTACCTCATTCATCCGGCGGTCGACCAAGCCAAAGCGAAGGTTGCTTTTTCTCGGCGCTCGGTTGGGTCGAAAAGGTCCTCAGGTACTCGAAGAGTGATCTGGAGACTCTCCGTGCTGTTCTCCTGTTGGCTCAATTTGTCGCCCTATTCCCTTCTCGAGGAAGCCTCTGGCATTTGACAGGCTTCGCGCTACGCTTATGTATCGATGTCGGCCTGCATTGGGAAACCGAAGAACAATCTCTGAATATGGATCCAGACCTATTGAACGACCGCCGGCGCTTGTGGTACTCGACTTATCAGTTTGACCGTCTCTTGTGCATTACGCTCGGGCGCCCTTTCGGCATTCTCGATGAGAGCACGCGTGTGCAGCTTCCAAATCCATGGAAGCGATCTCGTCGGTGCCCCGGGCGCCAGCCCAGCGACTTTGACATCCACACCGAACGAACTTACAACCACTTGTTCACCATGTCAAAGCTGGAGTCAGAAATCAAGCATGTGCACCATAGCCAAGTCTGGGCTTTAAAGTTGGCCTATCCTCGGGCGAATCACACGGCCTGGGTCCAGGACATCCTGCCTCGTCTGCAGGAGTGGTATGCCACGATTCCAGATCCTGGGAAAGCTCATCCCTCTTCCATCTTCGCTTCCCAGCCCTACTGGGAAGTCATCTATAACAACGCGCTCCTGCTGCTCTACCGGCCTCATTCATTGGCCCTGTACCACTCGACGGACGAACTCCTCATCTCTTTCGAAGCCTCTTGCAAGGTGATCGCAAGTCTCAAGGCCCTGCAGCGAGATGGGAAAGTTGAAATGCTTTGGAAATCCGTCCATCATCTCTTCATGGCCGGCTTGGGAGTCATCTATGGTCTCTGGCACTCCCAAGAAATTCGAGACCGAAATCCCGTTGGCAGTAGCATTGCTACGCTTCAATCTTGCGCATCGACCCTTTGTGCCATGTCAGAGACCTTCCCCGGAGCCGTGGGCTGCCGTGATGCTTTTGATACTCTCTCCTCTGCAACAATTGACTGGCTAGTCACCAGGGACGTTGAGGATGTACCCCAGAACCGTCTGGAATTCGAGAAGCAGGTGAAAGAGGTGATGCAACAACTGCAGCTATCCCGTGAAGGCGCGATGACGACAAACCCCAATGGCACCGATAACATGTCAGCTATGCTGTCAACCGATAACTTTGAGATTAGTGAGATGCTCAATTCTGCTGCGCAGTGGCCTGAGTTGGGTGAGGAGATGGATTTCAGTGATATACTGTAGGACCTTTACCAAAAATGATGGGAACCGGATTTGAACCTTGGATCCTGTGAGTAGGAATTACTGAAATCAGTGGCTCCTATAACTATGGTAAAACTTATAGAAAATGTTAAAATAAAATGTGAATGATGAAAATCAACACATCGTACTAAGTATCTTCGCTATCCATCTACATCGCCGTGGTGCACGTCGCGCGAAACAACAATAATAGAATTGATGGCGTTGTTCGCCCTTAGTGGTAGTGGTAACGAAGAGTACTTGACTATGGCAACCAGTGTACAGGATACTGATAGATGATGGCAGCAGCTGCGGACAAGCACTAACTGATCTCCGCCCACCACTGTCATGAGTGCGTTCGTGTACAAATGTACAGAAAAAGGAGAGAGACCAGGCCACATTATTGAGCTCCCCCTGCAGCTATCGCTTCACTCGCAGGTCCATCGTTGACAATAGATTCATAGGCCAAAGGCTCCTTGACCAGGCGCGCTTCGGTGAGACCCTGCTGCCATCTGTCGAAAGCCTTGCGCGGTATCGAGGCCGTAGTCCACATGCCGTTGCGACGGAAGGAGTTGGTAACCTCGACGGCGACGTCGACGGGGACATTGGGGAAGAGCTCGGCGAGTTCATCGCGGAGGGACTCCGCGTCGCGCTCGAGCACCCAGTCGACGCCCTTGCCGAGGCCGATACAGAACCGCTTCTGCTTATCGAGGACCTCTGGGGTGATCGTGCCCGTTTCCCGGTAATACACGCTCCAGGGCACGTCGCCTTGAGTGACCATTTCCAGGGCGATCGAGACGTCGGAGTTGCGAGCCGCGATCGCCCGGGCAGAGAGATTGTCCGTGACAAAGAAGTCGCCCATGCCTCCCTGGAACAGGTTGCCCAGCATCACACCGTCGAGGTCCTGGATGAAATCCACAGACCTCGGATCGATGCCGTTCTCGCGCAGCAACATCTTGAAGAAGAGGCCGACGCTGGCGCCGCCGCCGGACTTCATCAGGACGGCGCCGCCAACGACATCGGCCAGTCTGAACTTTTCACAACTGGTCCGTCGGAGAAGGGCAAGCGGCGAGCGATTGGCGATCTGCGCGAAAACAGTGTAGTCCTGTACTCTGTTGCGGTACATGGACGGAACCCAGATCCCACCAAGGGCCATGTCGGCTGTGCCGTCGGCGAGTGCGTCGAGAACGCCATCCCACGGCGTAGGGATCGTTACTTTGACCTCGAGCCCTTGATCTCGAAAGAAACCATGGCGTTCGGCGATATATTGGGGCAGGTAGTTGAGATTGTAGCCGGTGGCGGTAAGGTGGAAAGGTTGCATGATTTGTCCTCTTCTCGTCCGAATGCAAATCTAACAGGCCTATTGATGGTTCAATATGTTGACGGAATGGTTGCTTGGGATCAGAGATACCAAGGTTTATGTATGCTCTGGAAGAAAGACTTCGTGCAATCCAATCTGCTCTAAAAACTCACTTCTTTTTTTGTACCTACCTAGGTAAGCAACAAAGAGCGGATCCCCGTGGTTTCACGCTTGATCCGATTGTGATCAGAGACCGTCGTGGTTGGATTTAATCCCTCGTTACTAGTATACTAGTATCGGAAGACTGCGAAAGCAATCGATTCGACGATCTAAAGCTCAGCGCAAAATCCCGAGATTCGAGAATCCAAGGATAGACTCCGTCGGCAGATCCCGAATGACTATCGGTAAGGACGTACACATTTCATTGATCAATTCCAGGCAATGAGCAGGGAGATGCCGACATGTAATGATACAGCCAGGTTTACTCATGGGTTTTGCAGGATATTGGCCAGGTGGAAGTACTAGTACTGATAAATGCTTCATCTTTAGAACCGAGATACTTCGAAGCTGCCGGCTCTTTAATCTCATACCACATACCCAGTCAGCACCGGCATGTCCTTTTCAGCATAGCAAAAGACACCGCGTAATCATACCTAGGTATCCAGCAACCCAGCATGGCCCCCAAGATCACATTATACACCGCTCATCATTGCCCGTACGCTCATCGAACTCAGATCGCCCTCCGCGAGCTCGGCCTCGAGTTTGCAACGGTCCTGATCGACATTATGATCCCTCGCACGCATGAATATCTAACCATCAACCCGGGTGGCATGGTCCCAGCCCTCACGTACGACGACCTCGCCCTGACCGAATCTGGTCTCATTTCACAATTCCTCGTCGACTAATCCTAATTATCAGAGACCGGCTACGAACTTCATAAAAGCTTGTAGAAGCTTGTGAAAGGGAGTGTCATCATCCACGTGGACGGATTTAAAGTGATTGGCACCCAATTGGTGCACCGGGGTATCAAAGCCTTTCCGGGGGAATCGTTCAAATATAGACCGTCGTTGGTGGTGTATGTACTGTAGATCCTCAAGGCACGTAAAATACCTCAGGAATATGGCAGCACCCAAGTTGATCGAGTGTGGTAACCATTTACGTCCACTGTGCCATAAGCCATAACGACGAAAGACGAAACTACTTCGAAAATCCGACGGTCCAATCTTGATGAGTCTGTCTCGGTGAAGGTGGCGCTTCGTAAGGTCTCACCCACCCAACCATGCTGCGTGCCGACTTTGCGGGAGAAAGCGAGTACAGTATGTGTTTGATGATCCAGTCAATTCGAGGCTGGCTATGCTGTCAAGTAATTTAAGACCTTGACCCTTGTACGAGTGAAGTCATGCATTCGTCCGATTAAGCTACAGCTGTGATTCCTCAGCACGATGTCTGGAGCCATTCTCAGGTACTCCCACAATATGCCGCAACCTCCGATCTGATCCAAAATACTCAGCACCCCCTGTGACCACCATGAATCGCTGACAAGATCCGTTCCAAGCCCCGTTACATGATCGGCGCATGGAGGTATATCAAGCACTTTTCCGTGACGGTAATTTGCACAAAGCGCCATAGCTCCCTTCGTATTAACAGCAATAAGCCACATCTTTCCAACCAGCACAACTCCTTGAGACTTCATATCCGTCCAACTCCATGTCGCCAAAAGCTGTCGATTCGAGGTCCACAGCGCCGTGCATAGACCCATACCGACACCAACCATGACACAAGAGGGTCTGAGCTACCAGTCCGATCCCAGCAAGGATAACTCCATCAAAACATCCGCGATACCGATATCCATGAAGATTTCCTCCTCATCGCCATCTGCGTGCCCCACAACGCTCGGTTCCTAGTCACCGAGTCAACTGCCTCTCGCCTCCGCTACGAGCTTATAACTGCTTGTTTTGATGCTCCGCGGCTTGCACTTCGGATAGAGACTGCACCCAGACCCAATACCTCCCACACTGGTTGGACTCGAAGGCATATTTTCAGGAGTTCTGTCTCGAATGCCCGTCACACCAGGGGAAGTCGGCGTCGCCTTATGCCAGCCCGCAGGCTCAATGCCATCACTGAGCTCTTCGTAGCTAACATCAGACCGTACTTCGCTCAGTCGTTCCACGATATCCTCATTCCAGATTCCATACACTCTGCCATTCTCAAGTTGCCAGTAGGGATTGAGCAACGTGCACGGTGAGTCGAGATCGATAAAACGTATACGCACATATTCCAAGTGCGGGAAGAGAGCCAATGCCTCAACAGTCTTCATCACCAGTCGTTCAAATGCACGGATGAAGACCAGATTGGTAACTCCAGACCCGTCAGCTATCACACCGCCAAGTTCGTGAACGATAGGTTCGCCAGTCTCCGGGTCAGTGTCTGTCACGCGCTGTCTGCAACATGACTTGACGACGATTTCCAAGGCCTTGAGTCGTGGCTCTTGCCTGCTGCGCGAGATTGCCGAGAATGCCGATGTCCATAGACATTCGCAAATCTTGCCGGTGAAAGACAAAGACTCCAGCTGCGGCAGGACATGGCCAAAGCGTTCGCATAGATGTGGCTGGCCGGGACTATAATTCGATCCAAGAGTGGACGGATCTTTGCTGTACATTCCATCCAGCGATATATTAACGTGCCGGAGTTGTAAGGGCAAGTGATTCAGGATCGTGTCAATGGTAGCGTCCGCCTCAGGACGCGGCTTTGCGTAACCACAATGCCATTCTTCGACGTTCGGTAAGGCTGCTTCAATCGTCTTCCAATCCGAGTACCTGCGCATAATATTCCAGGCTCCACGCATGGCGAATGTGCGGATATTAGGCAGTTTCTCGAGCCTTTGCTTCGGATCTGGGAAAAGTGTTTGCGGAAAATGCCGAATCATGTTCGACTTCTTGCAGTGTCCTCCCTCGAGTGTAAAGACACGAGAGTTTGGAAAGAAGCAATTGATATGACTGAATATTTCGGACAGGGTTGCTGAGTAGGCGCAGAGCTTGAAACTGAACCCCAAAAAGTCATTGGCAGGTATGAGGCTTTCATTCGTTTGGTTCGCGAGATGATAGTGTCCGTTCCGGTCTGCTCCGAGGGAATTGAGAGGATTGAATGTGCGATGATCCAACGATGCCTTGTCGCCCCAGACTGGCACCCAGAACTCGATATGTCTGACGTACTTGGTCAAATCCATATGTTCATAGAAGAACTCCTGCGATTCAGCCAATCCCGCTCTCGTGCCCTTGATCTTGATGTGTCTGTATATTCGTTCCTGAACCAAGTCTCGCCAGGTGGGTGAGACCAAAGCGAAGTCGGAAACTGCCTTCCTTCTTGGATGTCGCATCAAGGAAGAGACGTTCTTTCCTCGTAGTGACGTTGACCCAGCATACACAGAGTGCATGTCACCGAATATGAAGTCGAGGATTTTCCCCTGCACTTCCAGCGGAAGGTCATTTAGCGACAGTTGTGGTCTCTCATTATTCTCCTGCATCCCGGTAATTGTGGGCGCCTCTTCAGTATTAGCGATCCTTTCGGGCGCGGGCGCCGGCGAGTCTGTTGCTCTGATTGTTAAAACTCCCATTGACTGACCGTCTTGTTCAACCAGGTCTGCGATGGAAGCTACTGACGGAGCGCGGTTTTGGGGCGCTGAGAGAGGAAAGGAAACGTCTGATCTGGGGCTCTTGGTCATCGGAGCGAAGTGTCGTTCATAGATGTCTTGTGACCGACTCGGGTCGTTTTCGAGGACCATCTCTTGCACGAGCATATTGACCGAGGAGTGACTCGGAGTACATCCGACTGATTTTGGCATGTACGGTGGGTTTTGTGCGCGAGCCGAGCGCTCCGCAGACAATTAAATTGCGCCTCAACGTTGTTTATTGTTGCTTTTCGGCTTGTGGTTTAGGTTGCGGAGCGGACTGAAAAGGATGGTACTCGGTAGCGACAGGCTTTCGTTGACGGAGATAGAGGGGTCGGACAAAAGGCGTGAATTTTATGAGGTCAACGGAGAGGCTTGCAAGGGAGTAGTATAGTTGTTGTTGCCTTAACTTTGGAAGGCGGCCATTGTATATGTATGGAACACAAGACGCATGCAAAGGGGCTGATTGACTGTCGTGTGTTTGATTGTCAAAAGTGGAGAGGTCGTCGCCGGCGGTTGCATGTCATGTTTTGGCTGAGCCACGCAATAAACAAGGCAACCAATCGGGGTGCCGAGTCTACCTCAGCCTTGCCAAGGTCATACCTTTCACGAGGCTGTCTTGTTGTTGTCCTTCGCCGGAGACTGTTCTCCTTGATCGCTCACCTCCAAAGCTATCGACTGTTGTCACACTGGCAATCCATTTTCTACATCCTGAGGCACGCCATGTCAGGTCTCTTAAGGTAACACAAGATATCCTTCCACTGTGTGCTGAAAATCCCGACCCCCGAACGAAATATTTCCCAAATAGGCAAGTAGGTCTACCCAATCCGGCCAACGATTGGTATTTTCCATCGCCCAACGCGAAGTTTTTATGTTACGGTCAGAGTTTAGGGTTGGCGGTTAGGCATATTATGCTTGATATCCCTCGTCGAGTCGTCACTTCGGCCCCAACCCACCACCTCTATGATTCTCGTTGATCATACCGGGCATGGATACAAGATGATGTATTCCGCTACTGATTTTCCAATCACAAATCACATATAATATGAAATCAATCCATGCTTGACTTCGTGATATCTTCCATGTTTCTTCTCACATGTCCAGATCGCCACTAAGGTTTGCACATTTGTCCAGGGTCCTGCGCTCAGCACTTTGAGGACTATTATTGATTTCTACTTCCGAGACCACGTTGTCGACTCTAATGATGAGGTAAATCGTGTAGTTCGGCGCTAGTGTGCCATTCGACGACAAACAGCAGCCAGGACAACGTGTGTGGCACGAGGGCCTCCTGTTTGCGAGATACCGCCTTGTCAGTGAAGTCAGGCAGTCATCACCCAGTCGAATTCGACCTTTCTGCCACACCTGACCCTTAGTACTTCATCATTTAAAGTCCTCGAATCTCCCTCTGAATTGGACCGATGGTAGAGGCCTCTGTCACACTCTGTTTAGACTCACCCAGGTGGTCTAGCGGTATGTGTCCGGGATTCCCCCTCGAAGGTAGGCCGATTTGGGTTGGCGGGTGGGGCCTCGTCTCCTACTGACAGAGATGGGAATCCTGGGGTAGAGTAGCAGGTATGCTAGCAGACTGGTCCGCGAGACGCCCGTTGACTTTTTGCTTCTCTTGATAGAATAATACTTAAGTAAGAAATATCTGATTTTGTGGTCTTTTTGCGGGTGGTTCTGGCCGTCGACTCTTGTGCAGTGTAATAAATGCGAGGTCGAACTCGGCAGCTGCTTCAATGATTCAAAGTGGCGAGACGTGACAACGTGGTCTCGGAAGTATAATCAATAACAACGAACCTTAAAGTCCTGAGTCGAAGGAACAAATATGCAACCTTGGTAGCGATCTAGACAAGTGAGAGAAACACGGAAGATATCACGAAGCCAAGCGATTTTCATATCTGATTAAACAATCAGGCCGCGGACACTTCATCCCAATTACTGTATGAGCGAGTGTGCTGCTTTGCTAGCACATCTGTGGACATATCTCCTGCAATTAGCTCTTAGCACATTGATCTTTCTTGAGATAAACCCGTCTTCTCATTCGTGCTGTCAGCACTTCCACCGCCACCACAGATTTGTGCTTTCATCCCATCCTCCAGCTCTTGAAACTGTCACCGAGAGCAGATAACATCTCTCATAACTGGGGGATTCTGTACTCATGATTATGGAAGACTGGAAGTCGATTTGAGAAAGCTTAAGCTCATAATGAGATGACTGGTTCCGAGATAGTAGCGGCTGGCCGTATTCAGTATCCGTTGTTAAGCCACTGGAGCTGGTGTCGGGCTGCATTGAGCTCTAGTGAAGGTCGTCGCATTCGAGGCAGTGACAGTAGACGTGTAGTTAGCTTTCTGCAAGCGGATTCGTTAGCAAGCAGGAAGGAAGCACAGACACCAGTTGTCATCAACCGAGGCACAATACCAAGAAGACATGACCCAGCACGAGGACTTCAATGTTCGAACAACCATCGCAGTCATACAACTTCGAGGTGTAAGTCGTGAGGGTGTATCGAGTCGTTGTTGGTCCGGTAGAGATGACAGGCTCAGTGTACGCAGTGTAGGTGCAGCCTATGGTCGACTCTGGGGTGACGCCTTGGAAGCCAGTGGGATTGGTGCTGCTCAAGAATGTTTAGTCAAGACTGCCACAAGATATCGGACCAAGTCACTCACCTGAGACTCGCTGCAACCAAGGCATGGATGTTGAACATAGTGAATGTCACTAGGCACAGGAGCGAACCACGGGGAGACTGCATGGTGACGTTGGTGTGAGGAGACGAATAGCTATCGGCGTTGGTGCAATTCGAATCAGGATTGATGGTGAATGGTTGCGGATGATGGCGACGTTGAGGTTATGCCGGGCGAGGACAAACTGGCAAGGCTCGTGTCACGAGGAATGATGGTGAAGGGCGGTGATATTGTGGGAAGGAGCCCGGCAAGGAACCCGGATTTCATCTGAGAGCGTTAGACTGGCCGACCGGGACAGATGACTGTTATTATTATTGGTCGTGTATGCATCACCTGGGACTGAAGAGTCATAAAATGCTTCTTCAGTCTCAATGAGTATCTTGTGCATCGCTGCAAAAGGCGGCAAAGGGCGTCAGGCCTCATGTAGTCCGTGAGCAGCCCGCCGGAGTCATTCTTTCGCAATAATTTTCATTTTGTCTCATGCAGCCTTACGCCGGGTTTGACACGCAAAAGGAGAGGACGTAATTGTACAATTGACTTGTCAAGCCTTACAAGCTTCCACAGCCATAAGCTCGAAGATGCTAGACCTCTCCTAGGTCAGCCATTATGAAAGTAAGTCATCGTATCTCGCGTCATGAAGATGCAGCCCTTATCATGCATTGGTGATCATTACCACCCCAATCTCCGTCCTCCAATCTTTCGACTTCTCTCCATTTCTCAACTCTCACTGACATTCTCGATCCGACATTTGTTACCATGCGTGATGTGAGGCGTTTAGTCGTCATCACCAACCTGGAATAGTCAGCGGACGCCTTTATGCTTCATCGTCATCACCAACTCGGAGAGTTCCTTGACTGCCGAAGCCCTGGGACCAGAATCCCTCAAGGGATGGAGAAGTGCTCGACATGCTGTCATGGGTGAACAAGAGCCAGAAACCGAAGACCTGCAAATAGTCAGAAGACATCAACCTGGATGAAGACAGTACTCACTGGTTTCGCGAGGATGTCCAGGACGGCGTAAGCGACGATTTCCTGGTTGACATCGATGACATGGCCACCTTCGGACAAACCCCAAACACTGTTTGTTGTCAGTCACTGAGAATTTAGGAGTTGCTGAGGACTCACATTGGGTAGATCGTCCACAAGATGAGAGTGAAGCCAGCAATCGATGCGTAGAAGGTCTTCGTCTTGCTGTCCTTGTTGGCAACAGCAGTGCGGCCATTGAAAGCCAATTGGTAGACCACGACCAGGTAGGCAATACATGCCCACACATACCAACCCCAGGTCTGGCTGTCCTTGCTACCGAAGGCAGCGAACAAGCCAGTCAGGATCATAATCACATCGGCAACGACGGCGACCAGGATGTTAGCACCACTGAGACCAGCGAGAAGGGACAGATCCAGCAGGAGAAGTGGTGTAGTAATAGCCCAATCAACGTATCTTGCCCAGTAGATCTCTCTCTTGTAGTCTTGATGTGTGTTTGGGACTCTCTTGTGATGGATGGTCTCGGTGTATGTGTTGAAGCTAGTGCCATCCCCGGTGGCCATGGCGAAGTAGGAGAGGAATGCAAAGGTAGTGATGAAGGAAGTCAGTATGTGGAAAAGGCGTTTTTGCTACAGCCGTTAGCGGAAGCTTCCTGTAGGATCAGTCCAGACGTACCACTGGAACGCGGAAAGCCATGCCATAGAAGGCGAGAGAGGAGATGGCCATGAGGACGACAACGACCCTGGGCTTCGTCAATGACCGCATACTTCTTCAAAGGCAACACATCCTACCAGAGGGTTCTCTTTCCCATGTCTCCGGCCGCGATAGTGATGACCGGGTTAGGGATTACCGTGGGAATTGGGGCCACCGAAGAGGTGGCTGAAGCAGACTTCAGCATATCTGGGTGGACAATCATGTTGACGACCGCTGATGCAGTAGAGACGGCACTTCAGAAGAAAGGTAGCGTTTGAATGTCAATGCTGACAGGATGGTTGATGTTTGCGAGGTAAAAGGACAACGTGCGATGGCCTGGAAGGAATGGGATGAGATGAAGAGAAGGAAGTCAGAAGGCAGCAGTCAAAAGGTGAAACCAAAGAGGTACAAAGGTGACTGGGAAGGAGCCGGTTCCCATGAGGGGAGAAGGTGACGATGACGAAAAGTCGGAAAGAGCTTCTGACAGCTTGTTGGTTGATGTGCATCGTGCACAGTATCCATCGTCAGCCAACTTCTTTCTGCGCCGACCATCCTTGACCACGCACGGCTTCCACCTGATCACTCCCTCAGGCTGCCGGTTAGCTTCCCACTGGTCCTCGATTTCTACCCAAGCTGGTTGTCCATGCTTTTGTTTGTCGGTGTGTGGTCAAAGTCCTGCCATGATGCGGGGCAACGCTATATCGACCAGGGAGGTCGTTTCCTAGCCTGACACACCTGGAGCTGACCACTCAGATTCCTCCATGCTGGCACCAGCCACGCCCACCCCGAACCACAAGTGCGGCCATAACCGCCACGATGGACGCCCGCATTGTAATTTCGTCCAACGATCAAGGGAGGACCGGCCACGAGAACATCTCGACTATCTTCCTTTGCTCGTTAAGTGAAGAGAAAGAGACCCCAAGGCCAGCCGGACTGTGCGCCCTCACAGCAGTAGACAGAGCGAAGGCTTGACGTCTGCTAGTCGGGACTCGAAAGCCTGGCCCATTATTGAGGTGGTGCTTTTCATCCTGGCTCCAGACATGAGGCTGGGCCGGTAAGTTATCCACAATATGTCCGTTAATGACGTCGTAGAAAGGGGATCCCGTACCACAGTCACTTCTTGAAAGTTACTTGAGAGGGTGCATGCATATTGTGTACATCTAACTCTACGGGCACATGCAAAGTCTGCCAGGGAAAGTATCGACAAGAAAGCCTCCACGACGTTCCTTGAATGTCCAAAGGCAAACCTCTTACGCCTCGCTACAAGTTCATGTTAGTCATCCAGCCCTCGTCCCCCGCATCGAATGGCGGGACTAGTGGTCGTGCATGCTGCACGTCAACTCTCCAGGGAATCCCATGACCACCAAATACGCGTAGTGCAGTGATGGCGCGATGATCGACCACTCCAGAACCTCAAGCTGCATCGTGATATGTGATATACGATCGAAGGGCCAAATACCACTAACCACGCCCCTTTGCAACAGTGGCACTGTCCCCAACGTTGAACCTGGGCTGAGAAGAGCACGGTGGTCATGGTATTGGTACAGGGGTATCTCTATCTGGTCTGCCCACTTGGTCATCTTTGAAATTCTGCAACAGCATCGGTACATCGACCGCAAAGAGCGAGCTCGTCCAAATCGGAAGAAGTCGACCGCTCCTTCGCGCCAGCATGTTCCACCACGTATTTCCAACATCTCGCGCACTTCTCCCTTTGGGGACTCTGAACAACAGCCAATCCGACTTTCTGCCCTGCAGCCGACACAATCTCGGTTGCCCGTGACCACTCCCGACCGCTCTGCATATTCAGACCATGTAGATTCATCCTTTCCTCCCCATATCCGAGCACGTGAACATTCGACACCACCAGAATTTCCACCCACGTCTCTTCTGGAATACTCGAGACATCCACGTCCCGCTGCAGATAGATCGTAACGTCCGATGCCAACGACTGCCCCATGAGCTTGCTTGTCCTCGCAGCCTCTTGCGCGCTCTTGACACTCGAATTGATAGCCATGATTGTCGGAAGCAACTCCTCTAATTGCCGATCATACCAGCTCTCTGGCAACTCCTTCCAGATCCTTTTTAACGGAGGCTCAAGCCCAATTTTGTAGCGCTCGGGAGTATACTCCCAAGTCTCCTCGATAAGCAACGGGGCGATTGGCCCCAACATCTCCTGCAACTGACAGAAGATATTATGCAGCGCTGTCTGCGCGCTCAGACGCCTCTCGCTGCTCGGCTTGTCACAGTAAATTGTGTCCTTGATGGCCTCGAAGTAAAAACTCGACAAGTCCATAGCGACCCACCGATATATACCACCAGCAGCCTTGTGGAACTCCAGATCGTTGTACGCCTTACGCACTGCCATGCATGTACAGTGTAAATGGTGCATGGCGATCTGATCGAGCCGCGCCATCTTGCTATACGGTACAGCCGCTTGCGGGTCAAAGTCCGCGAGCATGCCCAGCAACATCTTGAAGGTGAGCCGGTACTTGTCAAGCGCATTGTGGACAGAGCTAACGACTTTCTCGCTGATCACCACGTCCTTGGTCCATTCGCTGCCGGCGACCCACATTCTCAGCGCGTCGGGGCCGAGAAGGTGGTTGTCGCGCTTCTGTTTCTTCTTCGCTGGAGCCATGGCGGACGGTGAAGGTTTTGTAGCTGGTTCTATGCCTGCGATGATCTGACTGGGGGCGATGACGTTGCCGAGAGATTTGCTCATCTTCTTTCCCTGCGCGTCTAATGTGAAGCCATGCGTTGCGAGAGTGCGGAACGGTGCGTAAGTTGAAGTTGCGCTCGGATGGAGAGACTTCTGGTAGGCCACATTGGTAAGTAAGCTAGATTGAAACCAGCCTCTATGCTGGTCGGTCCCTTCGACGTATATATCAGCCAGCGGTGTCGACTGAGGCTGGGAACTGTCTTTGTCACTAAGAATATACGTCCAGCTTGTGCCGCTATCGAACCAAACATCCATTGTATCCGTGCCACGGACATACTCTGATGGAGCAGATGATAAACCAGGAACAACCCAGGCTGGGTCATCAGGTGCATCAGACCACCATGCATCGATCCCGCGTTCCTTGATGACACTGGTTATATGCGTGATGCTCTCTGATGATAGCACCTCCTCGCCCGTTGTCCCGTGGTAGAGCGCGGGGATAGGCACGCCCCAGGCACGCTGGCGGGATATACACCACTCGCTCCTGTTCTCAATGAAACTCCGTAGGCGGGACTTTCCGCTGTCAGGCAGGAAGTGTACAGCATCTAGAGCGCCGAGTGTGTCAGCTCTAATCTTCGAGATATCAGCGAACCATTGCGCCGTGGCGCGGATGATGACCGGCTCCTTCGTTCGCCAATCGATAGGATATTTGTGCTTGTAGGTGTGCTGATGAACGAGAAGGTCCTCCGATTTTAGTAAATCCAGCACGGTCTGGTTTCCTTCTTCGAAGACATACTTGCCGGACAGCAGGGAAGGATCGCCTGGCGATGCCGTAGTATCGTCAAAGCGACCTAGGTTGTCAACTGGTGCTTTGACTGACACGATTCCCTTTTTGATCAGAGGCTGTAGGGCGTCGTAGTCTTCCATGCCGTGTCCTGGCGCACAGTGGACGAGGCCAGTACCACTCTCGGCAGAGACAAAATCTGCGTGAATGATAGGCCTATGTGCTGCCTCAGAGCCGAACTGTGCTAGACCCGAGTAGGTAGTTGACAAGAGCTCCGACATAGGGAACTCCTCCATTACAACGATCAACTGTTCTCCAATTGTTTCCTCGATGTAGTCCAGTCGTGACTGCGCGACAACTAGCGGTCCGTGGGTCCGAGACAGCGCTACACAGTATTGGAGGTTGGAGTTGATCGCAATGGCTTGGTTTGCCGGCAGCGTCCAAGGCGTAGTGGTCCAGATCAGTGCATGAATACCATCAGAGTCGTCTAGCTTCAACTTGACCAAAGCCGCATTAGATACATGGTCGTCCTGATACTCAAGCTCTGCTTCTGCAAGAGCAGTCCCAGAAGAGGGTGACCAGTATACAGGCTTGTGTTTCCGGTATATCAAGCCGTGCTCTGCCATTGCTTGAAAGACGGACAACTGCCGCAGTTCAAAGTCTTTCTGCATGGTCAGCCAGTGGCTCTTCCAATCGCCCATTACGCCCCAAGATCGAAACCCCGCCATCTGTTTATCCACCGCCTTGTAGGCAAATTTGCGCGCGGCCTTGCGAATGGCGACGGGGTCAACTCCTCGTCCACGCTCCCAGCCATGGTGTTCCAGGGCCTTGAGCTCAATTGGCAAGCCGTGACAGTCCCAACCAGGTACATAGTCTATTCTCTTGCCCTCGGCAAGGCGTGACCGGCAAATTATGTCCTTGATGATCTTGTTGAGCGCGTGTCCAACATGCAAGTCACCGTTGGCGTAGGGAGGGCCATCGTGGAGTACAAAGGTATTTGCGGCGGGTCTCTCGTGGCGCTGCCAGGCATATAGGTCATCTGTGCATCTCGGAAGATACTTTGCGATGTCTGCAGGCCGGGGTCGAGGTGGGAAAGTCGAAGAGGGTAGACGCAGGGTGCTCTTCAGGAACTTGGCTGCATCTTTCGCCGCTTGTGTCATGTCACCCAGACATACACAGTGCTCTAGGCCACCTACGACTATCGTAGGCTCAACCAAAAGCTCAGCAAGAGATGCTGCAGCTCACAGACGAGTGTGGTAGTGTGATGGTTGATTTTCGAAATGAGCCAACTCCAATTTATTTTGTCGCGGAGTTCTGCACATCCGCCAATCGGAGTTCTACATTACTACTGAACGACGAGATCGAAATATTGCACAGTACCGTACGAAGGACCGAGTATGGATAACCAAGATCCCAAGGGAAGGAGCTCCAATGAGGATGACAGAGTAGAATCATATTCGAAATATCAGCCGACACTTCGTACGCTCGACTTAAAACGCCATACACCGTCGCTAATATTGAAATTCACATAAGCATGCAATTCTGACGGTAAAAAGGCCAGCGAAATGAGACTGGGATCACTCAAAAACAGGCAGATTGACAATTTTCATCAAGTTGACCGGCCGGACTGAATGAGACCACTCGTAGGCGAGACCCTAGAAGCCCATTCCCTGCAATGAAGTTAGCTTATCGGGCGTTACAAAGGGGATTGGCAAGACTCACGTCCAGCTGCCATCGTATAGTCTTCGGTCATCTTCTGCTCCATAGTCTGCCTCTTTGAGTGCAGCTTCGATAATTGCTGCCGTTACTCCTGTCCCGCAACTGGTAATTATGGGCTTCTTGAGATCGACGTGTTTGTCTTCGAAAATCTTCCTCAGCGCTTCCTTGGGTAGCATCGTTTTCGTTTCCGGGTCCAGAAGCTCTTGGAATGGTAGGCTTGTCGAGCCTGGCATGTGTCCCGACTTCAGCCCTGGTCGAGGTTCCGGCTCTGTACCTTCCCACCTGCCCTTCGACCGAGCGTCAAGGATCTGAATGTCTTCGGCGCCCTCTTTTCCATGATCGTATCCAATAGTCTTCATTTCTGCGAACTTGACCACCATGTCCGTATTGTAGCTGGGCACGGGGTATTTGGTGATGTTGGGCACCTGCGGCGGCCCGGTCTCGACAGGAAGTCCTTCTTTTACCCAGAGACGAAAGTTGTTGAGCACATGAACCTTGGGATGACCGTATACTCGCATCGTCCATGCAACCCGAGGAGCGGAGAACAATCCAAGCTCTTCAGTATCATAGATGACCAATTCATCCTCTTTCCTGACCCCCAGCTTGGACATGGCATGGGCAAATTCGTCGCACGTCGGCAGCATGTGTGGATATTCTGACTCTTTGTCTTTTATCTCATCAATATCGAAGAATCTTGCCGTGGGTATTCTCTTCTTTTGAAAGACGTCGAGCCCCGTCCTTTTCTCAGGATCGTTCGGCATGAACCATGCTGCACAAATAGGAATGACTTTCGCATCGGTGGAGATCGCGGTGGGAGGATTTTTACGGAGTGCTTCGTGGACTTCTTTCGGAGTGACAAAGTAGGAGGAGAAGGGTCGTCGCCGAGACATTGCTATGCTCTGGATTCGAGTGCCAGGCTGGTGAAAAGCACTCTGCCGCCACAACGACCGAGAAAGTACTATGGTAGCCATTACTGAGGAGAGATAGTCACCCTCATATCGTCGTGCAGTTGATCGGTGATTAATCACACTGTAGCGGCAGCTATCTGTGAGTCAGTGGGAAAGAGGGTGAGCAGAAGGAATGCCACGGAATGCCTATCATTTTGAGCTGCTCCTCCTGCTATCAAAGCTGCTAAGAACCGAGGAACTTACTCCACTTTGTCTCTGACGTACCGTAGTGGCGGGCTAGGTGGCGGGGGCTCGCTAAGGCTCACTTCTAGGCGGCACTCGGCGGCAACTGGGCGCGCAAAGCCGAGAGAAGAAACTCGGCAACATTTCTGTTTCGGGTCTCATCATCACAACTCTCCTTCGACCACGATTCGCGACCGATACGCGAACTGTGACGAGCTTCAGTATCATTACACGCATTGGGAGTAGTTGGCAATTATGAAAGTCAAGATAAAGACGTGGCACGCCGTCGCGACATGGCGATGGAATATGCCAGAGGATGAAGTCTGTGGCATCTGCCGTGTGCAATTTGACGGAACCTGCCCTACCTGCAAGTTTCCAGGCGACGATTGTACTCTGCTGATGGGAAAATGTGGCCACTCCTTCCATATGGTGCGCCTAATAATCACTTAGCAGAGAACCATAAGCTGATGAACTGAAGCACTGCCTTTTGACATGGATCCAACAAGAATCTTCCAAGGGGCTCTGCCCGATGTGTCGCCAAAGTATGCTCCATATGATATTATGGTATGCCAATCGTCTAACAGTCGCAGAATTCGAATGGAAGCAGGGCGGTGAACAGGAACAGCAGGCCACCTGAAATATTCTTTCATCGTGTGGAAAGCTCGACGAAAACTGCGGAGCCCAAGATATGTTCGAATCACAACCGCGCTCAGTAATCTATCCTTCCGACTAGCATTCGGCATAGAATATGCTATCACCAGTTCTGAAAGGCCACGGACAGCGAGAACGGCACGCAGTCGCCACCTGACTGACCCCAAGCTAGCGCCTGAAGATATTAGACGTGATGTGTATACTATGTTTGGGTAGCTTGACGGCCGAAACGGGGCGCTGAAATCCGGTCTATCAGACTTCACCTCGACCAGCGCACACAAAAGCTGCCGGGGACTTCATGACAACTTCGAGCTGTGGCTCATTCAGAGACGCGAAAGTCCATACCGGTTGGGTCGCAGGACGTGTATCTTCAAAAAAGGCGCGAAAGAATGCTACAGCGCGTGTTGGAGGGTTCCCTTGTTCGTAAGTTGCATAGGAAGAGTCGCAGCAGAACCTGGCTATCAGCGTCCATCACGCTACAATGCAGCAGATGGCACCGAGGCAGTTCTTGTCTACTATCGGCACTCCAGAGCCTGCTTGATACCACGAATCAGGTCTTTCGAGAACGTGCAAGCTTGCCAAGCGCACAGAATATCCGGAGCAATATAAATCTTCTCGAACAGACGATGGTGATGCATATTCGTTTCGCTTTCAGCAACGGTTACCACCTTTTCAGTGCACTTGAGCCGAGGCTAGGCAGTAGATTTAGGGGCATCCTGATCGAACCCCTATATTCGAGGTAAGAAGCCCTATGTTGGCCCCAAGAAAGGTCAGCCTATATGAGTGATTGATAGATATTGTTAACACTTGAACCTTACTAGGGGCGCTAGACGCGCAATGTTTAAGCTCCTTTAGGCTCACTGTTAGGCATGCTCCTTACTCTGTTCGAGGGCTCCTTCGTCGGCGTGCGCAGCCTATTTTAGAAGCATTCCCCAAGCGTCACACGTGAGAGCTTCATCGGACGCCGCCTGTATTCGAACTACCGGCAGACTGCAACACTCACCCTTGGCCTGCTTTTCCTTACCGCAAAAACACTAGCCTCGGGGGAAGACGACACGACGGCTGTCCAATCCTTCAAGGGCGGCATGAACATCCCAGCCCTACTCTACGCAAATATGGAATGTAGCTAGCTTTGGTTTGATCACACCCGCTCTGCTGGCTGTTTTCAGTGAGTATTTTAAGACGCCCTGGACAATCCGTCCCGAGCATCAGAACGAGGGTGATCAGCGGGGCGAGATATCCATATGCTGCTTTCCTCGTGCACCCGGCCGTGAGTGTGGCGGTCGGAGTGTACTTAGACAGACTCATGAGGTGTGGCACTTCAATCGTCTCACCAGTGCCGGAAACGTTAGGAGCATTCTGGACAGCAATGGGTGTAGGCATGCTCAATGTGCTTGCTTGTTGGATTGTCGCGTACGGGTTAGTTCAATATGTGCCACTCGCAGGAAGTCTCATTTGAGGTCTGATAGACAAGCGTCCACGAGCATGACCGAACTCGCTTGGGCGTCGCTGAGCACTCAGGCAAGTGTTTTTGCCATAGTATTGGTTATTACCATGTCTTATTCGAAGGAAGGCGACTGAAAGCGGCGGCAATTTTATGCTACATGACGCCCACGCTGCTTTAGCACCGAGGTGATAGTAGTAGTATTTCCCGGTTACTCCGTACTTCGACGAACATTTTCTCACCAACCTCTGATGAAGCGCAATGCTGACAACTTTGTCCTGGTTGTGAGCTCGGACTGACTGTATCTCATAGCAGGAGCGTCCTCTTCGAATTTTCCTTGACTAGTATATCATTCCAGATACCTCACCAGCGTTTCCTGGGACAGATCGGTTGAGCCACCAAATCGTGCGCAAACAGAGGCCAACATCAAGATGGATCAAGCGGCCGAACAACCGCGGAAGTGTCCCGGGTTGAACTGCGACAACGATGCGTCGACATTACAGTGTCCCAAATGCAAGGAGATGGGCGTTGACAGTTTCTTCTGTTCACAAGAGTGCTTCAAGCGGAGTTGGGTAGGCTGACCTTCCTCGGTCTTTTGTAAGAAAGACTCGATTGTCGCCTCAGCGGCTCATGCTAACAACTTGAAACCAGGCCGAGCACAAAGCCCTCCACAAGAGTACGAATCCTCTCCGCAATATCTTTGCCCCGAATGTCGTTTCTAAAGTTGATCCAGAAAGCGGCCACTTCAACCCCTTCCCTACATATCCCTTCACCGGTCCGTTAAGACCTCTCTATCCTCTGTCGCCCAAACGAGAGATTCCGAAATCAATACCGCACCCCGAATGGTCGCAAGATGGCATTCCGAGATATCCATACGTCAGAAAGAACAATGTCCAGGTCCTCGACGAGAAGGGCATAGCGGGCATGCGGAAAGTCTGTAGATTAGCAAGAGAAGTGCTGGATATCGCGGCGGCTGCGGCAAAGCCTGGCGTCACGACCGACCAGATTGACGAGATTGTGCACAATGCTTGCATAGAACGAAAGGTAAGCTAACTAGGCAGTTTTTCCTTCCGGGACAATATTGACTTTGAATTCCAGTCATACCCTTCGCCCCTGAACTACAACCACTTCCCCAAGTCCGTGTGCACATCACCGAATGAAGTGATCTGCCACGGCATCCCGGATCAGCGCGTCCTCCAGGACGGCGATATTCTCAACATCGACGTGACGCTCTACCACGAAGGCTACCACGGTGATCTGAACGAGACGTACTATGTCGGCGATAAGGCCAAAGCAAACCCAGACAACGTCCGCTTGGTGGAGACGACGCGGCAATGTCTAGACAAGGCGATCGAGCACGTGAAACCGGGCGTCAAGATCGCTGATTTTGGTGACATTATCGAGAAGCACGCCAAGTCACAGAATCTCAGTGTGGTCAAGACGTATTGTGGTCACGGTATCAACTCTCTTTTCCACTGTGCGCCTAACGTGCCACATTACGCGAAAAACAAGGCCGTTGGGAAGTGCAAGGCGGGAATGACATTCACCATCGAGCCAATGATTTGTCTGGGCCAACACAGAGACAAGACATGGCCAGATGACTGGACGGCGGTGACGGTAGATGGGAGTCGGTCGGCACAATTTGAGCACACCATGCTTGTCACGGAGGATGGTGTCGAGGTCTTGACGGCTCGGTTACCCAACTCTCCCGGCGGTCCAATACCCATACCTGCAGCAACAAATGGTGATGCGACGACGACGAATGGAGATGCTGCGGCAGCTTGAACTCAGTGAAAAATGATAGCGATTTAGCTGATACCATGTCGAATATGAGTTAAGCATTGCGGTAGGCGTACTGTACTCTGCATTATCTCCCAATGTCCCAATGTTCCTTAGGTTTAATGGGCTGAGTCCCTGATTGCTGCGAAGAAGCTGGCTAAGGGTACGCTGCAGGCGAATACCAGCATCCCAATATACCCAAGTGTACGGCGTAAGGCCATCATCACTTTATAGACCAGTCCCACAATCCTCTTTCGCCCATGTTCTAACTTCAGTAGACACTTCAAGCTTCACCACGCGCCGTCTTTAATCTTGCCTGCCTCTATCTCCATCATCCAGACTGGCGATCTCCATCATCCAGACTGGCGATCTCCATCATCCAGACTGGCGATCTCCATCATCCAGACTGGCGATCTCCA